GTAAAAAATGCAGCTGCTCGAAACCGAAACTGGTCTGGGGAGGAATAAATGTAGAGGAGGACAGTGTTTCCGGAAGTCACATAGCTACACCCAACCTCATTTTCTTTTTTCTTCTTTCTTTTCATTTCTCTGGTTGTGTGAAGCAAACAAAAATCGCGCATGTCACACTTTGCACAAAAAACGCAAAAGTCAAGCACTTCGTGCTTGACGTTTGCATGTTTTTCAAACTCTTACCAATTTGTGTTCGTAAGACAAGTGATGTCTTCAGCCAGGCAAAGGGGTGACGACTCGGCAACGTCTTCAGCTTGGTGGTCGGGTGTGTCATACCGAGTAAATCGTAAATGTTTTGATTGGTAAACAATTTTTTTTTCAAAGCCAGACAGATTTGGTGATACCGCGAACAACAGTTCTAAAGTAGGGTCTTTAGTTCTTATTATTTGGCTCTGGAGAGCTGCGGCACCACGGAAAGGCAGCAGCCCGTACCATGGAGGCCCGCGGTGCTGCGTCTAGTGAACATGATAATGTGATGAGTATATACATGCAAGGTGACGACGAGATAGATTGTTGCTATTGTGGAGGATGGCTGTCTGATTTGCAGAAGAAGTCCAGACTGCGGAGGCGGGTTGGGCAGGTCAGCAGCGAGCCATGGTGATTTGGCGATTTGGCGATCAGGGCATGAAGGAGCCCCAGGAACATGATGACTCTGTTGCTCACTGGGGTCGAAGCATCGGGCTCCAAGGAGGTAGCCCATTCAAAGTAGAAGCTGCCGCCTCTGAGGAACCGAGGCCGAGGGCTCGGATTGAGGCACCGCCATTGCTTAGTTCACTTAGTAGAGGTGCCATGCCCGTCGTCCTCCGCCATCGCTTGGTTCACTTCATTCAGCCGTCCAGCCCACGACTCCCGTGATAGATGCAATGTTGAAAATGATCCATATTGAAAAACAGCGCGAATAACACACGGACAAGGAGGAGAGAACACGCAGGACGAGGCGCTGACTAACAACTATCTATTCAGAAGACATACAGAGAAATTCACGCGAGGACTACTTCTTTTGCCTTTTCCACCAGTCATTCGCCATTACCGTAAAACCCCGAGAGATGCCCCACCCCGAAAGATTGTCCATTCCTATTAATCGTAGTGCTGGGATCAGTGATGGCCTCGGCGTAAATGCGGCTAGTTAGCTATGGTAGGATATACGCAAACATTGGTGACTGGGAAGTACAGATAGTTTTGCTTCGTTGCCGGAAGGGACACGACCTTAAAATAGCAATTTTTTAAACTTTTCTTGATTGCACATTGAAAGTTAGCCCACCCCATATTTTCACCATATTTGCTCTTGATGTTAGGTGGGCTATCTCTCGGGATTTTACGGTAAGCGTGCAACATTATAATTCATATTAATCAAATAAAAAAAATTCAAGCAAGAATACGCAATACCATTTTTCACGAGCTTTGAGTGTGCCGAACGATAGTCTAGTAATTTCGTCGTGGATCTGGGGTGGTGCATCCAGCAAACATGATCTTCTTTCACGTCAACTAGGATATCTAAAAACTGGATTTTGTACTCCTTAGGAGTTTCGGAGGTGAAGCGAAGTTCTAACCCTTCCTCTGCAAACGTCCTTAACACTTCCCTCATTGTTCTACTAAAATCTTTTTTCTCTACGAAAACCAAGTAATCATCTACATATCTAACAACTTTTTTGGTGTTTTTCGCCAGCCTGTGCTCAAGGGCCCTGAGGTGAGGATACCTGAGGTGGAAGGTCGTTGATGTAAGTAAGGAAGAGTAATGGACCAAGGACTGTTCCTTGGGGCACACCAGATGTAACAGGGGCCAAGGCAGATGAAGAGTCGTTAGCATAAACAAGCTGGTTACGTTGTGAGAGGAAAGATTTAATCCATGAGAGTACATTGGTGTCAAGTTTTAGCGACGAAAGTTTTAGTAGCAGTTGTTTATGCGGTACTTTGTCAAAAGGTTTAGCAAAGTCAAGAAATACAGTATCGGCTGGAAAACCGGAGTCGAGGTTAGAAAAAAGGTTGTGGGTTAAGCAGGGAAACTGTGTTTCACAAGGAAAGTTTCTACAGAAGCAGTATTTTAGTGTTGATGTTGTCGATGCCACAGGATGAAGGCACTTTCATAGATTTGATAATTTTAACTATACTGTCAAAATCATCATATATTGGATCCATACAAGGGAGGTTATAAGCAATGGTTGATAACAATGCTAAACTTGGGATGGTGAACCGAGCAGAGAACATGCCATCTAAAACTGAGGCACACTGACTCGCCTCCATTTTGTTTTTAAATTCATCTTCAAGGTTAAGTGGCGAGCGAGCGTGGCTAACAACTTGCCAGAATTGGTGAGGGTTATTGAGTAGCTGGGATGGAAGGGTTTCCTGATCGAAAGTATGTTTCTGCTCCGCAGGCATGCATGCATTTGTACTCGTTTGCGCATTCATTATACCTCTCCCAAGATTCAGTGGTGTTTTTATTTTTGGCTGTACGAAAACGGCCTTTCTTCTTATTGTTGAGTATTTTCAGCGAGCGCGAGTACCAGAGGTTAGAAGATCAGGAACTTATGGCGGTGCTTGGGACATGTATTTCAGTAAGTTCTAATAATTTGTTCTTAAATTTACACCAGTTTTCGTTCACATCCCTACTATCAAATTTATCTAAGAAGACTGAGAAGTCATTTGAGAGTCCATGTTAAACTGTTCATAATTTCCTTTGTTATATAGCCTTGTCGTTTTAACAAGTTTGACATGTAGCTGGTGCTTCAAATGCTAGGTCACAGTGTACTGCCTTATGATCACTTATGCCTTCGAATCCAGACAGCGACTTGATACATTCGGATTGACTGGTTAGTACCAAGTCTAATATATTTGAGCACATGTCATTTACACGTGTGGGAAAAGAAACCATCTGAGACAGATTGAAATCTAAACAAAGTTTAACAAACTCACGACAGTCACTGGTACCATGAATACAATCTTGACCAGGCGAATTCCATTTAATATCGGGGAAATTAAAATTGCCAACTAAAAGAACAGGATGGTTAGGAAGTTGCACACATAAAGCGGACAGTTTGTCATGCAAAGAAGGCACAAAATTAAATAATGCATCGGGTGGCCTGTAGCAGGCGCCAAACAAGATTGATTTAAAATTGCATTTCATTGAGACCCAGAATGCTTCGATAGTGCTGGAAATCGATAGATGCATCAATCTTGCCTATACTGTCGATACCGGTTATAACGAAGTCGGTTATAACGAAGTAGCGGCTACAGCGAAGCGATCACGATTTCCCATTCTTTTTTGCACTTCGTGATAACCGAAGTCGGTTATAACGAAATAGCGGATATGGCGAACCGTTTTCCGATTCCCGTTGACTTCGTTATAACCGGTCTCGACAGTAAATGATAAAGTTGGGGTGATTTGGCAATATTTTATTGCTGTCTATACCGGGATGAAGCCAAGTCTCGGAGATTAGTACAATTTTAACATTACAGGAGGAAATAAGAGAATGAAGTTCATCGCGTTTTGGCGTTAGGCTGCGTGCATTTAACTATAAAACACCAATTGGGGAGCTAACAGCTACAGCAGTTCTGCTCCCACTCCCTGCGTGGTCCTATGGGGGAGTTTCAATTACGGAATCCAAAAGTGTGTCATAAGCTGAAGGTCTTAGTGTGCATGTGCGATTATGTGTGAGTGTGACAAGTGTGACAAGTGTGACTCGCATTTCAGTTTCAGCGCTTGTTTAGCGCGCTCTCTGGCAGATGACAAAACCACCCCTGTTGCTCTATTTACTTTGGGTGTTTGGCTCGTTAGTTTTGCTGTTTGACAAAGAGAAAATACTCCATTTAGCCAAGAAAAAAAAAAGCAGTCGCTCGTGAGCATTTACGCTAACACAACATGGCTTTGGCCAACAAAGAGATGCAAAACTTTCTTTTTGAAAGGGATTAATGCTCAGGCGAATGTGACGACAAATCCCTCGGCCTTTCCGATTTTCAGGAATTGAACGGTAGTTTGATGGGCAGTGAGAGGAGTGATAAAAGCAATGTGAATCCTGCTAGCATTCCACCAACTTCGGCGTCTGCACGTCAGAGGGACTCGGACCAGAAATCCTGATTCAGAGCAAGACATGACGCTTGGAAGTTCAGGAAATGTTTGTTTCTTATTTTATGCAAATTGCCATTTTAAAATAAAATTTTGCTGTATGTTCCTTGAAGAAAAAAAAAATGAGTGGGCAAGGGGCTAATTGGTGAATCCGGACTATCAAATAGATGTAGGTGGGATATCTATTGAAAGACCAGGATTCAAAAGAAGCATATAGATAGAATTTTCTGAGACTGTTTCGGGACCCTCTTAAAAAAAGAGCACGTTAAATAGCGCAGCTTTTCCTGATGAGATCGAGTGCACTGACGATTTCTCAAATTCTAAAAATGAGGCACGGCTCCACCTTTCGTCGGGCCAAGATGTGCCACATCTCTAACAGTTCAGGTGCCTTCAGCCAGAGCAGGCCTGGGCCTGGTTTGATTGGTCTGGTAGCCATTCCACTGGGCCGGGCATGTGCCGGGTAAGACCGAGAGTCAGTTGGCCCGGGTCAGGTCTCGGAAAGTAGGCCCGTGCAGTGCTCTACTACGTATTTCCGTCAATAGCCCTGGGGCGGTGAACAGGAAGCGTCTCGATCAGCTGCTGGCCAACGCGGCTCGTGGCAACACTGGGAAGGCCATGCCACCAAACGATTGGGAACGAGCACTGCGTCACCATTCATCGGGGCACTCAAACCTTCGAGTCCAGTGATTGTGGCCGTAGACCGTCTCAGAGTTGCGAAAATTTAGAATAAGATTGCACTACATGTTGAATCAAACTTCATTACCCAGACAGAATTGGAGTTCCATCTTGAGAGGTGGACGAGGGGCGTTTACCGTGACTCCTACGGGGATGGTTACCGTGACCGCAGACACCGCCTTTCTCCCAATGTCGCGCATGCTCAACGTTGCAGAGATGCTGGAGCTTCTGTTGGCGGCGGGGAGCCGCCTGGACTGGCGGGACAAAAACGGCTCGACGCCCCTCTCCCTGGCTTGCAGTGCCGGTCACTGTTCCTTGGCGACTCGTCTGGTGTCCCTGGGCGCCAACGTGCGGATCGGCGACGACATGGGAAACTTGCCGCTGCATCATGCATGCATGTCTAGGCCCTGCTGCAATGCACTCGTCGAGAAGCTACTTGACGCAGGTTCACCGGTGCGTTCCCCATTTCTTTTGTGACACGGTAGGTTGAAGTGGCTGTAAAATGCGCTTGAAGGGCAGGAAACGTTGAGGGAATTTGGAAGCTCGACGAGGGCTTCTCACGGCAGTCAGGACGTTAAGGTGCCATTCGTGTCGGTTTTACACCGCCCAAGCGACGCTGTGATACTTGGCCAGTGCCGTCCCACAATCAGTCCCAATATCGGCTGAATGCCCAGTTTTGTACCACGGCCCGATATCTGTCGGGCATCGGCGTACCGTAGTTTCGCCACCGGTCTAGTAGCTGCGTGATATTGTGCGAGTACTGTACGGATTGGACTGTTGCCCGTGCGTTGCATGTGCGTCTACTTTGTACCGGCCAAATGTCGGCTTGCACGCTTATTGTCGATAGGGCACATCTTGCCTGTCTACAGTTAAATATGTTTGTTAATTGGAACATACATCAGCCCTGATCTGTTGGGATCAGCTAAACATTTCGAAGGAAGTATGCATTCTTACATATGTAGTCCTAGTTGTGGGTTGGAAACCGGTCAAAATTAATGCGGTCCAAATGGATGATCCTATATCACTGAGTCCGAAAATGGCAGGGCTCAAGTTGCGACATCAATTTTCTGCAAGCAGTTCTGTACATGTATGATATCTCTAGGTGGCTACCGTGACCCTTTGTATCGGGCGGTAGCTTGCGCCACTTTTTCTGATAATTAAGTGTTTAGCATATTAACAGATGTTACTGCGATCTATCTCAATCCGTGTGTCAGGTTAGTTCTTGCGAAGCATTATTGAAAGTTGTGCATTCTTTTGACCTGAACTAAAGAGTACAAACAAAGAGAAAAGCAGTTTGTGTCAGGAAAAAACGAGATAGCTATGGAGCCACGGAAATTAGAATGAATGAATATCATTGTAAGCTTTGATCAATTAGGTGACATATTTCTTGTGGCAATCTTTTTTTACCTTCTTCAACTCTAAAAACTGTACTTTGGTTACCTGTATTGCATATCAATCCTATGCATAGGCAAACGGAATTGTTTTTTTAATTGCTCTAGTTCGTTACACTGCTCTCATTGGGCACAGCTTATTCTCAACACATTTACACAAGCGATAGTTCTTTGTGGGACAGAAAACAAACTATTAAATATGATTACACCGTTCTCGGACCAAGCAAAACTCGTAAATCAAACACAAAGGACCATCGAGATGGAGAGGCAAGCAGGACGAGCCAATATAGACAAACATTTCCTCGTCAATCGCAAGCATGCTTGCAGAGTACATATTTACAAAGAAAAGAGTTATCTGATGTAATCCGGGATAGATGCATAAGGTGACGCAAGCAGCACAGCACAATTTGCAAACACAAAGACGGGAGTGTAGAAGGTCGCCAACATTCAATGGAAGTCTCGCCGTCGCATATGAGCAGTTCTTTGTCGAAGCACACTCGCCAAACTCTGCACAATCATTTCTTGAACTCCAACGAAAAACGTTAGTTACCAAAAAACTTTCATAGTTCCTTGGACCCCGGTGGCTTGTGCAGTAAACTTCTACTTGAGGAGAGGGGGTAGAGCACCTATACGTTGAAGAGCAGCAATTTAAACTTGTGAAGTCAACTTGAGCTTGAAATTCAATCAGGTTGGCATGAACGGAATTCCGTCTTCGAAGGAAAACCACGTCCGCAGCTGCAACACACGAAGATAGGAGCACACATATGAGGAACGCATATCGGAAACCGGTCCTATGCAGCCCTGTATGCTTTGCCACGACTTGTCAAACGGCCCCAGTGGGCCATTCAGCATGTCTGAGCGAGCCACGTGACAAATTTTCTTCCAGGCGATTCCGTCCTGTGGAGAGCCGTCGCGTGTTTCGCTCCGTCTCTCTGATTTGCTCCAAGCGACCGTTGCGTTTGCGCACTGCCTCACGAAGACACAAAGGAAGGGGAGGTAGTCTAACAAGTAGTGATGGACCGAATCTGCCGAACTTCAAATTCGGCAAAGTTCCGCACATGCCGAACTTTTGAAGAAAAGTTTGGCAAAAATTTACCAAAAATCTGGCAAACGTCTGCGCAAGCGCGAGAACGCGACAGGGTCATTGATTTCAAATGGACACTGTGCGGTTACCATCGTACAGTGTAGTACGTAGTACTACGAGTGGTTATGGCGAGGTGTGGAGTAGGCGACGTGGTAACTGTGTGTTTGTCAGCCTTTGTGAGTGTGGTTCTCTTCAATATTTTCTGCCTAATGAACAAAAAATCGACCAGAAAGGGTCATGCAAATGACGCAGTCCACTGCGCAAGTGATAAATGATGCGGTACATTCGGGATAACATGATTTTTATTTAATCTTTACAGTGATGCAACGAGGTAGTTGCAACATTGACTGACAAGTACCTTAAGGGGGGAGGCTGGTCTTTAACTTTGTGTTTTTTATCTTTCATTTATCGTGCTGAAATTTAGTATACTGATGTATTTCTCAGTGGCGATCTCAAATATGCAATTAGTTTTCAGGTAGCTTTACTAGATTTTGAGTTATCAATAAATTAGTCCTTTTAATTAGGTCCTCTTTACGGGTCGTTAGCGTAAAATTTTACAGAATATATCAGTAATATTTATAGAATTGCACTCATCAGGATATATTTTGTGCGGTGATGCTATTTTTGTCGCTTTATAGCTCATACAATAATTTTAATTAATTAGTCTAAAAAAAATGTAGCCTCCCGTTTTGTGCAACTTGATTGCAAATGTTTTTTTACCAATGTAATATCATTATATCAGGCTTAAAATAGCATCACCGCACAAAACATGTCCTGGTGAATGCAATTCTACAAAAATTTCTGTTATATTCTGAAGAATTTTATGGTAACGGCCTGTAAGGAGGACCTAATTAAAATTAAAAATGTATTATTAATTAAGGATCTAGTAAAGCTATCTGAAAAATAATCGTATATTTGAAATCACCACTGAGAAATACATCGGTATACTAAATTTCAGCACGATAAATGAAAAATAAAAAATGAAATTTTAAGGACCAGCCTCCCCCCTTAAAGCACTCCTTGCCATTATAGCAATCCTGTTTTCGGCTCACGAGTAGTTTGTGCCAAAACAAAATATTATTGCTTCTAAATTATCGTTATTTCACAGTTTTCATTTATCCGCATAAAACTAAACGAAACTATTATGCTCGACGTTGCACATCCCACCGTTAAGAAGGGGGCATAATACTGTAGCAGTACTTTATTGTACAACATGACCGACCAGCTTGGCCGGTCAGATGCAACTGAGCACCCATGGCTGGCTCGCAGCGCTCCCGCGGTGCTGGTGTCCCGGAAGTGGGGACCGTCGTGTGCGCTCGTAGCGCCACTGTCACAATCCTCCCCCTAAACCAGCGTCCCTCAGCAAGAGTGGCGCGCCGGTGGCCTCCGTTCTCTGGCTGACCTGCGCACTTTTTTGCCTGTTGCCCACAAGCTTTCGGACCTCCGTGGGACAGGTTTGTCTGCTGCCAGGTCACACGCTTGGTCAGTCCCGAAAGACGAGCTTTCTGTCTCCGGGAGTGCCGTCACAACACTGTCACCCAGGTCCTCCGCTGGTGGGTTCAATACTCTTTCCAGCGTTGCCCTCGACTCCCTGTTGACTTCCCCGTTGACTTCTGGCGCCGCAGGCGTTTGAGGTCGCAGAGGGTCGCCCTGACAGTTCCAGGTAGTGCCGTCTTCGAGCATTACACGAGCCGACGAGGCACTGGTAGCTTCTCTAGCTGTCCCAGGAAGCCACCAACTCCCCGGTCTAAAATTGCGAGCCCAGACAGGGTCGCCCGACTGGGGCAGGCCTTCCCGTCTTGCGCCCCTGTCGGCCCTCTCCTTCTGTTGCAGCTGCCCGAAGCCCACCCTGACTCAGAGGTCGAAGTGCAGCAGATCCGAAACCATCTTGAGACGACATCCCAACAACAACTCAGTCGGCGATCGACCCGTCAGGTGGTGCGGTGTTGTCCTGTACTTGAACAAAATTCTTGCAATCTTGGTCTCGAAATCACCATGATCCGCTTTCTTTAACTTGTCCTTAACCGTCTGGACCACCCTCTCTGCCGCCACGTTTGATGCCAGGTGATAGGGAGGGATGGTAATTGCACGAACCCGATTCTTGGCCAGAAGCTCTCGAAATTCTGCACTGATAAATGCCGGCCCATTATCTCTTACTACAACGTCTGGCAGGCCATGGGTGGCAAAAATGGTCCACAAGCTTCTTAGAATGGATGCTTGGGCGAGTTGGGTATTCATATTGTAGGAGAAGCACTGCACTGTTGCCCCGGCCGATGGAAAAGTACCTGCGTCACCTCCACCCACTTCAAATAGGCATCGGCCAGAACCAAAAAATATACACCCTGGAACGGCCCCCCAATGTCCAGATGAAGGTGCGACCAGGCATGATTCAAGGACGGCCAAGTTGTCTGCTGGACCGGCCTCGGTGACCGCCGGCAAACTTGGCACCTTGCACACCTGTTCGCTTTAGCTTCAATCGCGTCGTCGATGCCTCGCCACCAGGCATGGCTCTGTGTGACCATCTTTATTTTCTCTATGCCAGGGTGTGTTTCATGAAGCAGACTCAGCACGGCTGGCCTAAGGGATGCTGGTACCACTACTCTGCATCCCCAGAGCACACCACTGTCTTGCACCAAACAGTCTTCTATGCGACCCGAAAATGACCTCCATTCAACAGTGTCCGGCAACCGATTACTGTTCCAGAGCGGGTGTAGCTGAACCAATAAGGCTTGCAAGAAACTCTAATAAAAACTAAGCAATCCCAAGAAGCTCTGCAATTCCCGCACGTTTGCCGGCTCAGGTGCCTTGAGAACAGCTTCGACTTTTCGGGGGGATGGCTGCAGACTGCTAGCATCCAAGATGTGCCCCAAATGTTCCACGCTTTTCTGAAAAAACAAACATTTCGTTAGCTTAAGTTCTAGGCTGGCATTCTCTAGTTTTTTTTAAAACTACCTCTAGGTTCCGACAGTGCTCGTCTTCAGTTTCCCCGGGGACGAGGATATCGTCGAAGTAGACGGCCGCCCCCTTGCAACTATGCAAAAGACTTCCCATTTCTCTTTAAAAAATTGCTGGTACGGATGCCTTGCTGACTGGAAGCCAATTATACTGAAACAGACCTCTCTGCGTATTTATCGTTACATACTTCCTTGCTCCCGGCTCCAGTTCTACTTGCTGCCCCCAGTGAGCTTCGCCCACATCTCCTCGAGCTGGGGTACTGGATAGACTTCTGTAGTGGCGACCTTGTGTTAGCTTAAGATCACCACAGCTTCTTATCTTGCCATTTTTCTTTAACACCGGCACAATGGGAGCTGCCCACTCCGACGAGCGTACCGGGCTTAGAACTCCCTCGCGCTGTAATCGTTGCAACTCCTGTGCAACCATGTCCTGTAGCACTAAAGGTACTTTACGCAGCTTACAAAATATCGGCCTTGTCTATTCCGGCACGCTGGGGTTCACCTTCATACCTTGCATTGTACCCAACCTTTCGGAGAAAAGAGACTGGAACTTCCCGACCATATTTTTGACGCTACTCACACTATGAACGCTGACTAGCTGTTCCACTGGCATGCCGAATGCTTTGCCCAGTTTCGACCAAGGAGTGCTCTGCAACTGCAACGACACAGTTGCAGTTGTTCCGCCGAACATGGCTGTCACCATTGCCTTGCCGACGACTGGAGATAGCTGGCCGAAGTACCCCCGCACCGTGATGTTTGACGGTTCTACAACCACGTTAGGAAAACGTCCCACAAACTCTCTTTCATCCATTACCGAGAACGCCACCCCTGTGTCCACTTTCATCTTGACCACCAACCCTTGCACCGTCACTTCCGCCCAAATGGGTGGCTGCTTGGGTTCAGATTCTGCGGCTGCCTTTTTGGATGACACTCCGTTCACCGCCAGGTTCAGATCTAACGCCCAAAGGTTTCCACGGCGCCCGATTCCGAATCGTCGCTGTCCATTGCTTCCATGGCGTGAAGATTAAGGCCCGAGTTTCGCCTTGTTGTCTTGACCGTGCCGCTAGGTTCACTGAAGTTCGCTTGTGTCTTCTTTCTCTGGGCACATCCGAGCAATGTGACCCCACTGTCGACACTTGAAACAGCGCATCCCCGAGCACTTGCACACGGTCTACCGGTGCGGCCCACCGCAGAGGAAACAGCTGAGTCGATCCTCTCCTGCTGGTGTCACCTGGTTGATAGTTGTTTCAACCGCCCCTCCTGTTATCTGCTCTGCGCCTCTTGCCGCCGCTTCCATTCCCGGGGCAATCTTTACCACCCCGTCCAACGTCAGCTTGAGTTCTTCCAGCAGTTGTCTTCACATCATGTCGCTGTTGATGCCGTGCGCCAGTCGGTCCCGTAGATTGTTGTCAAGCTCTGCGCCAAGCCACATTGATCTGCTATCTGATGCCGACCGGCTACAAACTCCTTCACCGTTTCGCTGTTCTTCTGCGCGCGACAGTAAAAGTGGTAGAGCTGTACGATGGTCGCGGTGAATAGTGCTCCGTGAGCAGCTGAAGGCTTTTGGTCAGCAGGGCCTCTGCCGGTCTCGTAGGTGCCAGTGGCCTTCGCAGAAGTGAGTACGTCGGACGTCCGCAGCCTCTCAGGAACACGGCCCATCGCTTCTCCTCAGTCACGTTTGCTATGAAGTACTGCTCCAGTCTCTCGACGTATTCGTCCCAATGTTGGCCTCCCTCTCCGGTAGACGGTTTCAACTTGGGCATGTTGCGTGATGCCAGTGCTCCTCGTCGCCAATTGTTAAGAAGGGGGCGTAATACTGTAGCAGTACTTTATTGTACAACATGACCGACCAGCTTGGCCGGTAATATGCAACTGAGCACCCGTGGCTGGCTCGCAGCGCTCCCGCGGTGCTGGTGTCCCGGAAGTGGGGAACTGTCGTGTATGCTCGTAGTGCCACTGTCACACCAACATTCCTAACTCCTCCCATCTTCCTAAACGTCCGGTGTGTCCTAACATCGGAAACCGGCATTTTAAAAGTTAAGAACGAGACATTGTGAATATGGGATGCACACTTTCCTGCAAAGCTGAAGTGACTCAAATCGGAAAATATGCATATTTACAATAATATTGTTATCTTTTCTGGTGAATGCTCAACCGCATTCATTTTCGCTCATAAAACGGTGACTAGCAGAGGAAGTATAAAACACAGTGTTACCTCCCTTTTTTTAACAATACACACTTGCATGCTTGCGCTGGTGAGGCCTCAAAACCAAAACTCTTGTGTCGTGACTGTGCTGACTGCGTACGCTACTACCCAAGTAACGTTGCTACAACCCAACCCTGTTGTCACACCACCTCTGCAAAACGTCACTTTAAAATTACCAGTAACACACAAAAATGACACTGATACAATTATCTTGTAGAATATCACCCTATTTAGTAATAACTGCGTCAATCTGCATTGAAAAGAACCTAAATACTTTTTTTGCATGAGAAAATGATATATCATCTTTTAGGTCTGACAACAATATATTTTTGCCGAATCTTCGCTGAACCTTTAGAAAAGCTTGGTAAAAATTTTACTCTGCCCGGTGCTGAATTTTCAATTCAGCAAAAGTTTGGCCCATCACTACTAACAAGGCAAGGTCGAAGGGGTATGAACAAAACAGTCAAGTTCGAGGAGAGGAAGCTTAGCGGCTTTGTGTGTTTTTCTCTGGGTTGAAAGTGCAACAAATGCCAAATTTCTTTGTCGTTTTTTTTTTCTACTTCGGTTTTGAGTTGGTCAGAAAGCCAAAATATCTTGCCAGCATAGCCGATTCACAAATGACACTCAAGTCGGCGGCAGGTATGGCATGTCAGGGTGGCGTCAGCGTGACCCATCCGATATTTCAGATATCAGTTAGATCAAAATGGCATTGGCGCAATCTTTCCTACCTGACGCCAATATCGGTGCAATAATGCATGCTGCTTGGGTAGCATTGAATTGTTTAGTGATTTCTAAATTCAATAAACTTACTAGGAGGTAGGGCTACTTCATGTGGCTCCCCCCGTGGCACTGCGTGCACACTTAGCCCGAGCCTCCCGTGTAGAGAGAAGTCTCGTCTCGTCATGAAGGATGCTAGTACAAAACACCCAAACCACTTCGTGTCAAGTACATGTTGCTCGTATCCTCCGCAGGTAGACCAGCCCAACAAGTATGGCCTGACCGCCCTAACCTACGCCATCGTGTCAAAAGCAGACACTTCCGTTGTCTACTCTCTCGTGTCCCGGGGCGCAGACCCAGACGTCCACGTGGAATGGCTGCACAAGACGTTGCTCCAGCTTGCCGTCTTGGGTGGCGACGTCGAGAAGGCGTGCACGTTGATTCGCTGCGGGGCCTCGCCCTCGACCGGCAACTCGGAGGGCGAGAGCGCGTTCAGTCTGGCGCTCCTCTCCAACCGTCCCCTGGCCCTGTGGATGCTGCGTGCGGTCGCAGAAGTGGGCGCAGCCCGCAGGATGGTCCGGAACGCCTCGCGCGCGGACTCTCAGGAAGGTGTTACGGCGGAGCTCTTCGCCGAAGCCAGCTCAGCGCCAACGCTGAAGCGCATCTGCCGCGCGGTGTTCCGCAGGAAGTTGGGGTGGCGGGCAGACGCAGTGGCGAGTGCACTTCCACTGCCAGGTAGTATCAGGGAATTTCTCCTGCTCCGGGGAGACGTGTGACGTGCGGAGTGTTGCGTGTCTCTTAGAAACTGTGGATGCGAAACAAGGAACGTGAGGGGCTTGGGTAAATGCTTCGAGCATTTGCTCGATGGTGCGGTCAACTATGGGATTCCCTAAGTTACGGGTCGTTAAACTTTCAGGTCCGAAGGAAGCCCCAGGTCTCCAGAAAGACAGCAGAGAAACCTTTGTTCTTTGTGCATTCTCGCAGTAAGAGTTCATTGGCTTATACAACCTTCGTTTAATATAAAATCCTCGCTAGGGAGAAACGATGCTTCAAATGTGCCTAAACGGAAAGAATACTGTAATCATTTGGTTGTTATGTTTCATTTCAAGTGATCTCGTGTACTACCTCATGTTCATTAACTATTACACCTTAAAGACAACCAGTCTTAAAGTATTGTTTATATTTGTTGATCTCCATCATTTTTTGTCTTTGTTTTGCATCTTCTCAAAGAGGTTATCTCCACTCGGGTATTTGAGTACCAAACTTGCCTTTTTGAAATTAACGTCCGCTTGGGTTGAGTTCTTAGCAATATTATGTGATTGCACTGAAACCATAAATGTATAATTTGTTTTGATTTTGGACTGTATGATCAGGAGCTGTGGCCAAGTGTTAACGCACCGCAGCTCGTAGCATCTGGATGCGAGCTCACACTGCCAACTCAAGGATCCTGAATTCAGATCGCACTCCTGTCCTGCTGGTTTGAATATGAGTGCATATTGTATAGTGTGCCTTCATGTGATTGTGTCGAATGTTGCACATTAAAGAGGGCATAATATTGCACTGCACCAGATCACTCCTGCAGCGGAGACATCAGAGCCAGTTTCAAGGGAGGCTTGTCTGTTTTATAATGGGAACTTATTTATTCTGCTGTCACCTTTTGTAGAGATGGAAAACATTCTCGGCCAACTCATGGGTTGCTTGGAAGTGAGAAAGTTTGATAATTTTCTAGAATAACTGCGACTACTTTGGCATCATAACCAGAAAATCTACACGCTGGTATGTGCAATTCATACTTGTGAATGGATCTGAGTATTTTGTTCAGTAGAATTTTTTTTCCTCTCCTCATCTGCTTCTTTGACTTCTTATACTTTGCCAAATAATCTTACAGCTCAAAAATGACGAAACCAAGTTGCTCATCAGGAACATGCTGGTTTGTTTGTGAAATAGGTGCTTTTTTTTAATTGTTCATTTATAGAGCCTTCAAAATTAAAATACCCTGTTTTGAGGTGCCAGCACAGGTAAATTTCTTGTGCTTTCTATGATATAATTTTTTTTGGTCAAACATAGGTAATAAATTGTTTTTTTTTTCTCATGTGTACTTGTCCTTTGCAATCAAGCTAAGTATGCCTAGTAGGGGTTTAGCTGACGTTGCATGATCTTTCATCTGGGACCTACATGAATTCGTTTTTAGATGTTCTGCAAGCCATGAGAAATGTAGAAAGGTAAAATGATGAATCGTAATTACTACATTATCAATATTATTACGTAACATATGGTAATAAGTCATTGCTTCAAAGACTGCTTTAGGAGACGTCTCAAGGACAATAATACACTTCCATTGCATCCGATAACCCCTGGCAAAAAAAAAAAAAAGGTCTTTGCTGTTGTTGGTCACATTAACACCAAAGTTCATGAGTTGCTATGGAAGAAAAATGGAAGAAGCAAGTGAAGAAAAAGCTTCTTACTGTTAGTTTCCCGCTCCGATGAAAAAACAAAAACAAAAAAAAACCTAATTTCTAGAACCAGGATTCATACACCGTTCAATCGGGTGGCTTTAATAAAGAAAAAAAAAAAGCTTGGTAAATGAAAATGTATTCGACGAAATAGCGTTCAATGAAACAACGTTCATTGAAACTGCTTTAATGAAGTGTCCGATGAAATGTCTATACCCACTCCTAGTGGTCTGAATTAGATTTTAATTAATGGAGCTTATGAATGGTTAAAGAATTGGCTGGGGGATTAAAGGGGCAAAAGCTCTCGGGAACAGGATCAGAGACCAACACAGATGGTCTCGATGTTGGAGAACAGTGCATTGACCACGGTGGGAAGCATATGAAACATTTTGACGGGGAACGTAATAAATCTGGTGTGTTGAGGTAATAAAAATTGGGAGCCATTCCACTCTGTGAAGGTAGATGACCAGCAGAGCTGTTTAGCACACAACACATACGTGACAGAATTCATTATTGTCTTGATCGGTGGTCATCGTGATGAAAGGTACGCACACACATGCCGCCCGCCGCTGCCGCTGACATTCTCGTTGCCGCTCCCGCCATTGCTCTTCGTAGGCGCGTTGCTCTTCGGGAGTCTGGATTATATGCGGCCTCGCCATTACGACGAGAGAAGTGAAATTGAAAATGGAGAACGCAACCCAAGCTTCAAGGAGATTGCAGGGATGGTGTTCCACACGCCGCACGCGCACACCTTCCCCGTATAAAAGATTAAATGTAAATAACCAAAATGGGTACCGGACATTTCATCGAACGCCATTTCATCGAATGCCGTTCCATTGAATAAGTGGACATTTATCGAACGGCAATTCATCAAACGCCGTCTCATTAAATCACTTGACGCCGTTTCATCGAATTTCCTTTTACTGAATTTTGGAGTAATACAATACTTCTTACATACTATCGCTTTTGAAATAGTTTTGACGCCGCTCTAAATTCTCTAGAAATAGATTTACTAACCGGTCAATTTTTTGTCCACCTAAACGTTGGCTACTGAATCATAGAGGGTAGCTATCATATCAAAGCTTGAGTGCATGCGCGACTTATTCTTTTCTGGCGAGGTAGGCGGCTGTTCTCAGCCTTTTCCCACCTTATCCCTCTATTTATGCACGCGTGAAAGGCACTTTCTTAAGAGGGAAACGGCTATTCTCTGCAGCGCCTTTTTTTATTTTGTATTTGTCGATTTACCTGTGCTTTCATTTTATCCTAGGAGAATAGCTTTCTTTTTAAGAACATATTTGTTCTTACTTTCCTCTTCGTTAATTTATTGTAACCGACAGAACTGGACCTGTCGGATCCACGACATGCAGTATATATACTGTACGTCGAATATCCGACAGGTCCATAGTTCTGTTGGTTACAATAAATTAGCGAAGAGGGGAGACATCTTTTTTTTTTTCCCCCGTAACACGGGACACGGAAACAGATCACTGCTTCAAGGACGAAGATATTTACGCCCTTGAACGGACGTGCGTTCACCACTGCACCTGATGATCACTGCTTTGAAAAGTGTCGTCAGTGTTCCCGTTTCTTACTGGCCACATAACAGAGGTCAACATTTACCAAAAAAAAACAATACTGTAAAACCCTTAATATTCGCGAGCCCTCAATTTTCGCTAATTTCGCGAATTGAAGAATTCGCGAAATTTAAGGGCGCGCGAAAATTTCGGTCCTTAAGATTTTCAATGCAGGCGTCTGGAATTCGCGAAATTTAGTGGTCGCGATTATGTCATCTGTGACCGATTCGCGAAAAATAGGGGCTGCGAAAATAAAGGGTTTTACAGTAGAAGGTGACAAAAAAGGTTTCTTCCTACATATATACAGTAAAACCTCGTTATAACAAAGTTGAAGGAGCGGTCGTAGTTATTTCGTTATAACCATTAGTTTGTTATAGCCAATGTCCATTTCTCCATACTATTAGCAAGCAAGGGGAATTATGATTGCTTTGTTATATCCATTAGTTTGTTATATCCCATTTTGTTATAACGAGGTTTTACTGTATGTCTAAGTCTACAAATTATAATAAATATTAAAACACTGCTATCCTCCCGGTGCTAAAAAGAAAAATATAGCCTAGATGTGGAGTTTTTACTGCTCAAGTAGGCGGCGTTTGATGAAACGGCTTCAATGAAATGATGTTTAATGAAACGGTGTTCGATAAAACTACGTTCGATGAAATGGCTTCGATGAAATGGTGTTCGATGAAGCGGCGTTCAATGAAATGTCCGGACCCAAACCAAAATAAAGCGTTGACGAACACGCATGCAAGATGCCATTTGTTTTAGGCTTTTGCTTTAGAACAGTTAGTGTTGCAGACGCCGGCGCGTGGGTGCGGCACAATTGCGTAGAGTTTTTGATCACGCACACGAAAAATCTACGGAACCCTAGCCATAAACAGCTCCGCTGTAAAGGTTGTAAAAGAAAAAAAACTATTTTCACATGGGACCTAACATTTCGATGAACGCTGTTTCATCGAACACCGTTTTATCGAAGCCGTTTCATCGAACGCAGTTTCATCGAACGCCGTTTCATCGAACGCCGTTTCATTGACTGCCGTTTCATCGAACGCCGCCTACTTGAGCAGTAGGAATTCTACATCTATGATATATTTTTTTCTTTTTGGTGCCGGGAAGCTAGCAGTGTTTTAATATTTATTATAATTTATAAACTTATATAAAAGGAAGAACCTTTTCTGTCGCCTTCTATTCTTTTTTTTAGTGAATGATGACATCTGTTAATGTGGCCAGTAAGAAACGGAAACACTGACAACACTTTTTAAAGCTGTGATCATCGGGTGCAGTGATAAACGCGCGTCCGTTCAAGGGCGTATGTATCTTGTCCTTGAAGATACCTATTCTGCTTCAAGACGAAGCCGTCCTTTAAGCAGTGATCTGTCTCCGTGTCCCATGATATGGGAAAAAGAAAAAGCGTGTCTCCCCTCTTGTTAATTTATTGTTAGCGACAGAACCATGGACCTGCCGGATATTGAACACATCCGAGAGATCCACGGTTCTGCCAGTTACAATAAATCAACGAAGAGGGGAGATGCGTCTTGCGTCTACCACTCTAAATTCATCAGTAATTCCATTTCTGATGAATTTAGAGTGGTGTCAAAACTATTTCAAAAGCAATAATAAATTATGTAAAAAGTATTGTACTACTCCGAAATTCAGTAAAAGGAAATTCGACGAAACGGCATCAAGTGGTTTAATGAAACGGCATTCAATGAATCGGCTTTCGATGAAATGTCCACTTATTCGATGAAACGGCGTTCGATGAAGTGTCCACTTATTCAATGAAACTGCATTCGATGAAATGTGCGGTAACCATTTTCACTTAGTCCGCAATGCCGGCGTTGGTTAGTTGGCCGTACCCTCTGGCCGTATCTAGCCCTTTTAGAGACGGGGGCCAGCAAAAGGTAAATTTGCCGGCACAAATGAAAGTTATAGTTGTTTTTTTTCTTCTTTTTTTGTGAATCACTTTTTCAGGTTGGGCAGTTTCCGGTGATGCCGCAGTTATATTACGCTAGGTGACGCAAGGTACCGCTCAATCCGGAGGGCAAGTTCGTCTGCTTCTTGCGCAGGGGGTAGCGGTGACGTCAGAACGCCGAGCCCTGATTGGATGATCGCGACCCCCTATTTGAGCGTCGTCTGCTCCTTTGCAACGTCGTCTGCGTCTGTCTTACCTTTCCTGCGACTTTCGGAAGTGCAGAGGCCAGATTCACGAAACGATCTTACGCCAAAAATGTGAGTAAGACAAAACTTAAGAACAAATTCATATTCACGAAACGAAATTTTCGTAAGTTTTGCGCAGGTTACGACGAAAACCTACGACAGCTCCGAAGCTGTCTTACGCACTTCTTACGATCAAATCAGCATGGCCGACAGCGTCCAACGTCCGTGGGTCGCGACGACCCACGGACGTTTATTTTTCTACGTGCGCTTCTCACGCGTCCCGACTTCAAGCAGCAAGAAAAAAGTAAAAAGTACTTGAAACAGACCACGACGAACAAGAACGCTGGATCCACAAACACCCGGGAAAAGCTTCAACGGCCACGATTCCACCGAACGCGACCAAACGAGTTCGGCAGCTAGGCTTAGCAGGCACTCCGGCTCGGCGACCGTCTGCCCACGAGCGGCTAGCGCGCCAAATAGAATATGCCCGCGCGACCCTTGTGAACCCTTCCAGTATTATACTTTGATAACGCTGACCTAAATTTTAGATTAAGATGTCAATTTTCTCCTCTTGTTATCTCCTTGTTTCCCGAGGCAACGGTGACTCTCGCCGGTGAAAAAGCGGTGAATCTCCGACAGACGCAGGAAAGGTAAAACTGCCATCGCTTTGACTAGCAGACGTAAAGCAGACGACGTTAACTGCGTCAACCCACCGACGCCGTTAAAGAATGAGGGGTCTCGCCGCACACGAAAGGAGGGAAAAAGTATTTGGGAGGGAACTTGCGGACACTAACACGCTCACCTCTCGGTTTTTAGCAAACAAACCTCGGCGCCTCGGGATACCTCGCCAGTGAGTCCTTTGACTTCCCTCCTTGATGCGCGTCTGCTAGTTGTTAGACAAAAACACCGCTCGAGTTATTTCGTCTGCCCTCTCTGAAAGGCGAAGTCGAGCTCGCTCGTAAAGACCTGCACTTTCGAAAGTCCCAGGAAAGGTAAGACAGACACAGACAATGTTGCGAGCAGACGACGTGACGACGTTGCAAAGGAGCATGCAGACGACGCTGAGATAGGGGGTCGCAATCAGCCAATCGGGGTTTGGCGTTCTGACGTCACCGCTACTTCCTTTCTCATGCGCAGAAGACGAAAATGAGCCCATTTGCGAGGCGTATAGAGAGTTTGTATACAGTGTCGCTAAAAAAAAAAAAATAGTTTTATTTTTTTACCGCAAAAGTAAACTAGGCATTGTGGAACGCTCATTCTCCGCCCAAAGGTAGTGCTAGAGGTCACAACCAGAAGCTAGGGAGGCTCTAGTGAGGGTGGGCGCAACTCAAAACCTGGAGAGCCTTTGCAATTTAATGGCGGCGCCTGAGGGAGAGGATTCGAGAAAGGGTATGCGCCAATGTTGCCTGCACGAGAGCAGGCGCCCGCTCTGTTGCAACTCTGCTGCTCCATGCCAAGTCCATGCGCCTTTCCTCCTCTCGCCTCCCATTGCAAGCAACGAGCGCCTTGGCGCAGCCTCTCTCGCTTCCTTCTCGCTAAGCAGGGTTGCCAGACAAGCAGCAACGTTCAAGATGGCGGAATTTACCATTTTCGCGTTAAAAAAATACTTAACCTATCGCAACAAAACTGGTGGCTATGGAAACGTAATCATTTATACCTTGTGTAAATTATTCAAGCACCTTAATTAGCTCTTATGACCTGGGTTAAGAAAAAAAACGACCCTTTGCCCCATAGACCCCCAGCAAAATTTAGCAATTAAATGGCGTCCATTTCCCGTGATCAAAGAGGTTAGAAGTACTAGGAGGGGGCACGTTGCAATATTGGTGAAGCCTAGATCTGTCTGGCGATTGGTGCGCGTGACATGTCACGTGTGAGATGGATGGTTGATTGTAGAAGGGCTCTTTGCACGCTTGCGCGCGCTCCGTCCGGTAGGTTTTATCACATCGAAGGCTAGACTGTGGTATATTCTAGTACCCCATAGCAAGACGAAGGCTAGCTACGGTCACGTGATGTGGTCACGTTGGCATGGTAAGTGAGGAGAGTAAGGAGGAAAATGAGAAAGAGGCGAGGCGGCGAGGCGTCAAGGGAGCATGGCTTGTGGAGGCTACGCGGCCGATGTCATGCCCTCTCCTACCCTTCTATTCTCCATGCCCGTGATCCCCGATCTAGCAGTTGCACCCACCCTCACTCGAGCCCCCCTACCAGAGGCCAAAGTTTCAGTCCGATCCGATATCTTATTCAAAAGTTATACGTTATTTTCTGAAAATTTCAATGGGGCGGTCAAAAATAGGCTCCATTTTCCCATTGAAATTTTCAGAAAATTACTTATGACTTTTGAATAAGGTATAGGATCGGGCTGAACGGGCTGAAACTGTGGCGTCTACCTTTGGGCAGAGAATGAGTTCGGCGATGCCTAGTTTATTTTTGCGGTAAAAAAAAAAAAAAAAAAAAAAAAAAAAAGATCTTAAAATTTTTTTTTTTTATATTTCGACCACTTGATGGTGCTGTAAAAATATCCTTAAAATATATTATTACATAATTATAAAAGTAATAGAATATTTCTCAAATTTATTAGCCGTAGCAGACCAGCGTAGCCAGCGTAGTCAGCGTAGTGGCCCGTAGTGCCCGTAGTTCGAATTTGTGTTTGCGCCACTTTACGCCTGGCGGATGGATACCGACTGATCTAATCGGCGCGAAGTCGGCGAAGTGGCGCGCATTTTGTCCGTTGTGTAGTTCTGTTTGCCCTGTGCCAGTCGTGTTCCGTTATTTAGTATTCGCTCGTGTGAAGTCCTATGTTGTCGTCTTTCTTCCCGAGTTGAAGTTGAGGGGACACCAAACTCGGAACATGTTCGCCACTGCCGCCGACGACGTTCGCATTTGGAACGCCGACACATTCGAACTGCTGCACCATTTTTACCTGGATTCGTCAGCGCGAGCAGCGACTGTTTCTTGGAGCTGCGATGATATCCTTGACTCGCACTTGTTTCGATATCTCTCTTTAGATTATTCGTCTGATTATGAGCGGAAGCGATAGTTGTAGCTTCAAGAGAGCCTAACATAGCAGAGCACGTATGGACATCATAGCAGGTTCACAGAAGTGACTCAGTCCTGCCACCGCCCTGGCCTTAGCTTGAACAGCTGTCTATCACACCTGCACCAGGCGTAGTAGGGCATAAATAATATATGACAACATTGTCCCGTCAACGGCTGTCTATCTGTAATGGGAGGTGTACCACTTTGTGCTATGGTCTGGAAGTCCCTGGTGCTTTTTTGGCTCCCCATGCCCTTGACGTTCCCCCAAGATGTCAGCTGGCTTGCACAGCCAAGGCCGCATCTATGGTTCACCTCACGGGCCTGGTTGACCGAGGCGCGCACCACACCAAGGCCAACATTGGGGTGAGCACTGCCTTGGAGACGCGACCGCTTCTGGTGCAGTCGGCAGCAAAAGTTTGCGGGGCACGGGAGCGCTAGCCGAAAAGGCTGGCTGCGCTGCTGTGCCTTCTAACGGCGCGTTGCCGCCCTCAAGGCCCACGCTTTGCACAACCAGGGGGGAAAGGGGGTCCCTTGCCCCCCAGTTCTCAGGGTGGGGGGGCCTTTTGCCCCCCCCTGAAAGAGCAGCCACTGGGCAGGGCAGACACTGGCCGGCGGCACCCAAGAGATACCAAGGGCACCGCCCCCCGGCCCTGGGGGGGAGTCTGGTTTGAACTCCCCCACTCAAAAACAAGTTCGTACGCCACTGGCACATGCGCTTCCTTTCTTTCGTGGTAATGTTTTTGCTCGCTTCCATTCAACGCCCACGAGATAACAGGGACTGGTGCAAGGTGCCGCCAAATGTTATCTGTAGCCAGAGCCGTATATGGGGAGAGTTTGGCCATTAATTGGTTTTAATAGGCTAGCATCTCGTGACCAACCACAGGCCGCGAAACAGTCCTAGAGGTGATGATGAGCTCTGAAAATGCGACTCGACTAATTTAAGCTGTTTTAGCGTCGCTGGAGTAAAAAGTGTAACTCTTGGTGACTAAAAACTTGGTGCGTGTGAGGTTTTCGTGAAGTCCATATTCAACAGTAGAATAAACTAATGTGCGTTCCAGGCCAGAGCAAACTGCATGGTTGCGATCCTTGCTGCTGTGAGATTGAACGCTTCTATTTCGCGCTTTAAATGTTGTTTCTAATATTGTGACGTCGAGGTCTGCTGATTGGTCGACGCTGTGTCGCAATTTTAGTTTACGCTCTAACCGCGGGGGAAATATTGGGCGCTGGCGGCGGTCTTTGCTCCGCCCATTGGCGAAACTCTCCCAATATACGGCTCTTTCTGTAGCGTGCGTGAGCCAGCTCGAGCTTCGTCGCCCATCACGGTGGCTGAGGCAGACGACGCGTGGCATAATGGCTGTCAAAGCGGCGCCTTACGCCGGTCTCGGTTATCTCGTGCACGTTGGGTGGAAGTGAGTAAAAAAGACGTGATTTCGAGCACGAAAGGAAGCACATTCTCGAAGTGTGAATCTCGAGAGTGACCGTGCGCCGTCAGAAGATGCAACCATTCATTTCGGCTGATGCTCCCCCGCCCCGCAAGCTTTTGCTGCCGACTCTATGTGACACAGTTACGGGGCCTGGCCTCATATCAGCATGCTTGAAAGTGGCCTTGTAGCCGTCCTGGGATGATACACTCATGCATAGTTTTGAGTAGTGTTATTTTTGTGGTGCATGGCTATTTTGTCTCCTTCAAATTTATATGTTTAACTGCGATAAGTGCATAATGCTGTTTAAAATACTTTTCCAGCATTGCAAAAGGGGCGTATTGACGTTCAGTGGAATTTTCTTTTTATTTGCATTATCTTTTTGTCATGCTGTTGTGACATGTAAGGTAATTTGAATAATAGTAGTTTGCCATTTTTACTTCCTCTCTATTGGGTTTGTTTTTGTGTAAGCATTCCCACAGTGGTCCTGACTTGTAGCGAAGATTAGGGGTGTGGGAATAGTGGTTAGAATTGAATAGCCGTCATTCATAATCTTCACAGTGCAGGAAAATCCCAGGACATACCGCCTCTCTTTTGCAGTGTTGGTGCTAGGGTTGACGCTGCATTATTTGATTCAAAGCAATATTTGCACATTCCTAATGTAGATAAACAGGATAGCTTCTTTGGGGCTGAGGAGGCTTGAAATGCTGATACTTGTTTAATGGTGCCCAGAACCAGAGGCGTTTGGGAGAAGGGGGGAGAGGGAGGAGTGATTTTCTGCTCCCTCCCCATATTGTTTCCATTAAATTTAGACATATCTATAAAAGGAAAAGGGGGGGGGGGGGGGGCGATTGCCCTAAGGCCCCTATATACTGAAAGATAGTGGGATTCCCCCTCTCCCCGCGTTTTCCCCCTTTCCATCGAGGGCAATCCTCCTTGCCCTCCTTCTGCACCACACCCCCCCGCTGCCATGTCTGAGTGAGGCCCACAAGGTGCGCGTAGGTTGGAGTAGGCCGTTCTTATTTGCTATTGCATACGGCAAAGTAGAGAAGTTTTTTTTTTTTTTTAATATGAAGACCGTTTTCTTTTTTAACGGGAAGAAACTAGCGTTTGTGCATCTTTATTGGAGTTATAAAACATGTAAACACGTCTCAATCGGCCAATAGAATAACGCAAGCAGAATTGGAATCGCTTTGGTGTGAAGACAAGCTTTCTCCAATTCCATTAAACGCAGGCAATTAAAAAAAAATATGCCAATATAGTCTTGAATATTTTAAGACATCGGCATGCACTGCAAAAATATATTTCGTTTACCCGTTTAATGCAGCAAGAGCTGAGAGCAGGCGCACAACAGAATGCACATCTCCCTGCGTGTAAGTAGAGTATCGTAGGCAAGGACTGCATTGGGGGCTAGCGGTAGCTCGTGCCGTCACTTTGAGCATGGATTCATTATCCATGCTCATTCCTTATCCATCCATGCAATCCTTAGCGTATGCTCTACTACAACTTTTAGTATCTTGAACGAAGTGAATTTGCAGACTTGGCATCACTCGAGTTGGGCGAATAAAAGACGCACAGCGCGTACAAAACCAGGACTCGGTAGTTTTTACCGTTAACCGATCGTTTTGCCAAACCTGCGGCTTGGCTTACTTCGTACACATTTTATAAATATTGAATACTATCTGCAATTGTGTACTTGTGCGTGGAGGAATATGTGACATCTGTTATTTACGCGCCTCGTGCATATAAGTACCCATCAAATACTCTCACTTGTATCCCCTCAGTTAAAATAAAAGATAGCGCATGCTCGATTGCCCTGCCAGCACGTTTCTCATTTATCCCATTTATTAGCGAGGCCCCTTGTCATTCTTACTCTGTTTCAAGATATTTTTTTTTACGTTCTTACGCGCCCGCTAGGTACGCTCTGGAGTTCACTTGCGAAGCTTATAAGCTTTGCCGCACACCCGCGGTCGTGCGTTACTGTGCGAGTTACAAATGAGGACAGAGAGATCCTTCAGCAAAGCCTTCAAAATACAAGAGTAATTTTTTTAATGTTAATAAATGTTTTATTAATCACAAGACGAATCACATACAAAGAGGACAAGAAAATATTTATTGCTACTAGGCAAAATATTGCAGAGTTGTCACCATCTAGACTAGTCGCCTTTTCAAGAAACACAACAGCTCAAAATAAATCGGAGATGTCTTTGCAGGAGAGGTTTTCTTTTTCCTATTTTGGGGAGGTTTCCACTCCTTCGGAAGAAATCTGTGTGAAAAAATGGAAGGGGGCTGCATATGGCTTTAGTTTCTTGAGGCCAGTCTTTGCCAAGATCACTGGCTCAAACTGATCGTTCGTGAAGTGATCCTGAAAAATGAATGCAGCATCGCATATTTTTAGCTGCCATTTCTGAAGCACCGATCGTGGAAGTATGTTGCACAACAAAAGTGCAAACTGCTTGATCGTTGGGGAGTTTATCTATACTGACGGAAGATGCTTGTGGTAACACTACAACCCTCTTTATTTTAGCGGCACCCCAGTTTCTCATGCATTGTTCTCAACTCGGCCGACTCGATGGAAGCGAGCTAAGAGTGAGGGAGTTAGTTTCTATGATCGACTACGCGCGAAAAGACGTGTCAAAGTTCTTCGTGCCGGTAATTTTGTTCCGTGTTTATCCCGCCGATTGCGGAAATATGTTGCACAACAAAAGAACGAGCTGCTCAATCGTTGGTGACTCTCCTTTCACTGACGCAATATGCTCCCGGTAACACTAAAGCCCTCTTTATTTTGGTGGCTCCCCAGTCTCTCCCGCATCGTTCTTAACTCAGTCGACTCAATGCAAGCGAGCTAAGAGAGAGCGAGACAGTTATCCTTACGAAATATGCGCGAAAAGACATGTCACAGTTCTTCATGCCCATAATTTAGTTCCGTGTTTGTCTCGTCTCATGATCGTACTAGGCGACCTTGATCGGCAAGACCAAGACAGGTGATACGATTCAGAGTTTTACAATGACTTACCTCGCAACGTCTCCCTCGGAGGCAGTCGAAACTTTTTCGTCCGATCCGGTGGAATCATTGTCTTCGTCGCTGTAGATTTTATTTTCCCGTTGGGATAGCAAAAAGCTTGTTCCCTTTTGCAATCCGGTTTGTGCAATCCACAGCGCTGTATGATGGCATCGCGTTGCCGCCGAGGTCGTGGTAGAAAATAAAAAAAACCTACGGCCGAGTCGTAAACAACGGAGCCACCGCTATGCCTCGCCCAGTGATGGCGCCGATTTCTAGCAGACCACCGAATCGCGCAGAGTCATGGGAAGGCAACAATCATGTGTCGCGCGATCCAATTGAAGCGAGGAGAAAGAACTTTTGAGGGGGAAAGGGCATGAAGGAGACTTTTCTCTTCCCCATTTCAGACAATGGTTTGCGTTACCTTTTAGTATACAGAGGCCTTAGATTGCCCCCCCCCCCCCCCCCCCCCCCCCCCCTTGTTCTGATGCCACTGCCTGAAACGCATCTTTGACCGGCGTAAGAGTAGTCCCGAAGTGGCAACAAATTACGTCGCAGGAGCTTGCATGTCATGCTGCTGGATGTCGTGATCCTGGCGTTTAGTCACAGAAGTTCTGGCACAAAAGACGAAGCAATGCTTGTCTTTTTTTGACGGAATTCAAGGTTGTTGGAGCTTTCGTACACTGCCAAGTTGGAGAGCATCCTAAAGGAGAACAGGCACATGCTGTATCTATCCCTGCCGCTGTGCTTCTGCCAGGACTGTGACAGGCAGCAGCAGGGCACTTCTGCGACGTCATCGGGTGAAAATCGAGGTTCCACAGAGGAGGGCATGGTACACACAAACACCAATCGGAGACGCATTCCAGCCACTGCAGTTGTTCCTAGGCTTCCCGGGAGTTTCCTCTTTGAGTGGCGGCGATTTGTAATTCGGCTCGTACTCTCTGTGGCAAGACGGCGGAGATTGTCCCGAGTGTGTGTGAACGGTACTGAAAGACCTGGTTGCCCCAGCGCCCCTGTGCCAGCGCCCGGTTCAGCCGTCGCAGTGGTCGTCTGCTGGCGGTGGGCTGCTGTGACGGCTCTGTCCTGCTGTGGGACGTCAAGCAGGGCAGGCCCTCAGCTTCCTTCCAGGTGAGGGCTCCCCCGGCTCCACTCGAGCTTTTGCTGTTGGCAGCACGTGCCACTTCGCCGCCACCAGCTCTTCACTTTCGTTGCGTGGATGAGAGTCCATGGCACTGTGGGAGTTGTTGCTACGAAATGGGATGCCTGGTGCACTTCGTGTCAACCTTGCTCCTGTTTGTTGGGCTGCAGTTTTTTTTTAATGCATTGGTGCCCTAGTACATGCTCTGACCTTGGGCTGGTTGGAGCGCGCATATTCAAAGTTCGCGAGGTCGCCACGGGATGGCGCCACTGCCCCACGTAACACCTAGCAACCGAAGATTGCCGGCGACACCCCCTTTCGACAATTTCGGTGTGGCGCATTGGAGGACAGCAGGTTTATCACTAAGGTGCGTGTCAACGCCCCCCCCCGGCACGCTGCCTCGCGGCGCTCTGCCGGTGGGCCAAGTATGTCATAGCCCCGCTGTCCCCCAGTGCACCTCGGTTGCTAGGTGTCACGTCATGCAGCCGGCGTGTGGGTGCGTGCCTTTGACACCCTTGGAAGCTCCTGCCGCCGGCCTTGGAGACCCGTGGACGTTCACGGGCTGCAGTTCCGTTCTTCGGCCTGCCACACCATTGGTGATGCGCAGCCGTCTTGCCACGTCACCGGGCTGTAAGTGCACGGTGTCTCGCTCCTGTATGCGCAACATGCATGTGCAACAACAAAATTTCTCTGTGGTTTTCCGTGCATCACGTGCAGGTCCTTCATTCACAAGCTAGGCGACCTGATCTGCTTGCACCAGGGAGAAGAAGGATTTCGGGAATGTTCACTCCGCAGAGAAGTGCTGAGAGGCTGCATTCACCTTGCTTTCTTAGATATAGCCGCTGCACGAAATGCTCACAGATTTCTTCAAGAATCAGCGTGGTGTCAGCAGCAATATTTTTATTATGTCCATCATAGAGTTTTGGGGCTGGGGGATGGATGGAGGTTTCAGAAATTTCTGTGTGCACAAAATCTTGGAATTATCCGTTTGGAGACAGAAGTGACAAACCAGTACTCCCTACCACTTTTGCACTTATTTTGTAATATTGCGAAAAAATAACTGTATGGATGGATGGTAATGGGTGGCAGCTTGCACCACCTAGCCCTTTGTAACGGGTGGCAGCTTGCACCACCTAGCCTAACATTTCATCATCCCTTCTTTTTTTTTTCCCTTGATCTCTTCCACCAATCTTCCAACCTCCTCTTAGTTACCGCAATTCTTTCCCTATCCATTCGTCCATCCATGTCTGGAAAACCGAGTGCCCCCTCCAAATCCGTAGTCATCCCCCCCAAGAGGGTGGGACAAAGCCCTGTGCACCTTAAAATTACATGTCCTATAGTTTCCCTCTCGCGGTTGCATATGTTGCACAGAGTGTCTACTTCCTGGAATTTAACCCTATATGTTTTCGTTCGTAGCATCCCTGTTCTAGCTTCAAACAACAAAGAGCTCCCCACTGAATTATGATAAAGCTGTTCCTTCTTTATTCCCTGTTTTTATGCCCTGTTTATCGTTAAAGCTGATCTCCCCTGCATTCTCTCTTCCCACAATTTCCTCTCTTTCCTTTACTCCCTGTTCTACTGATGTGCTCTAATCGGTTCCATCTCGTTGAATGCATTTAAATCTCAGCTTGCGGGTTTGGTTCGTCCACTTAGTGTTTAGACTTTTAATATATAGATACTTGTACACTTTCGCTGCCCACCGTGTATCCTCAATTTCAGCTAGTCTTTGTTCAAATTTTACTTTACTGATCGCTTCTCTATTCTCAAAAGATGCCCAACCCACATCCCCCTGTACTCCTTCATTTGGTGTATTCCCATGTGCCCCCAATGCCAACCTACCCACACTCCTTTGCTGTATCTCTAAACCTGCCTGGATTTCTGACCTCATACACAATACCGCATTCCCAAATGACAGTCCTGGCACCATGACTCCCTTTCATACACCCCTAACGACTTCATATCTATTATAGTTCCACAGTGCCCTGTGTTTCATGATAGCCGAATCTCGTTTCCCCTTCTTTATTACGATATCTTCATGGTCTTTTAGATACCGTCTTCCTTCACTTAACCATACTCCCAGATATTTGTGCTTTTCTACATGTTCTATCAATGCGTCCTGTAATTCCAGGGGCTCTCCCTTTTCGTCGTTGAAAACTATTATATACCAGACTTGTCCCTACTAAATTTTAGTCCTAAATTGTCCCCTTCCCTGCTGCAAATTTTAATCAGTTCCTGTATTGTCTCACGACTTTCTGGTACCAGTACAATGTCTTCTGCATACATTAACTCTGGCAATACTTGATTTACTTTATGTCCTTCCTCCATGTAAGTCGGGTCAAAACCTAGGTTGCACCGTTCTAACCTTTTTTCCATCTCACTGAGGTGTATCATCAAGAGCAGGGGAGACAATGGGCAACCCTGTCTAAGACCTCTTTTTATTGCTGCTGGTCTTGTAGTTTCGGCTTCCCATGTTATAACCACACTATTCTCCGTATAAATGCGTTCTAGAAACTTAACCATGGTTCCCTATAGTCCATATCCCTTCAGTTGGTTCCAGAGTTTTTCCAGATTCACATTGTCATATGCCCCTTTGATGTCTAAAAATGCTACCCATAATGGCCTTTGACTTGTCACTGCTATCTCTATGCACTGAGTGATTACGAATAAATTATCATCTGGTCGTCTATCTTTCCTGAAACCGTTTTGAAGCTCCCCTAGAATCTACTTTCTCTCTGCCCATTCTTCCATTCTTCTTTTTACAATTTGCCTAGCTAGCCTGTATATTACTGAAGTTACTGCGTTTGGCCGGTATGATTTGATACTGTCTTTGTCTCCCTTGCCCTTGTATAATAATCTCATCCTGGTCAATTTCCAGTCACTGGGTACCTCCCCTCCCATAAGTATCTGGTCAATCACCTGCCTTAGTTTCAATTTGCTTGTTTTGCCTAGAATTTTTATCAAACTAATTGGTATGCCATCTGGACCTGTCGCAGTTCCAGCCGGAACCCTTCCTTCTGCTTTTTCCCACTCCCCAGCGGTCATTTCCTCTTCTTCATTATGATCCTCCTCTTGTGTTGTGTAGACACTACCATTCCCTACGGCCTGATCCGATTCTAACTCCGAAAATGCTGCTTCAATTGTATGTCTAATGTATTCTCTCGCTTCTTCCCCCTCTACCTTTGTCCCTTCCTGTGTGGTTAGTGTCTGCTGATACCCCTCGGTCTTTTATCCCTGCATACTGATGTGTTCCCAGAACCTTTTTGCCGCATTCCTATCCTTCTGGTTTATCTCCATCATCCACTGGACCCCTGCCCTCCCAATTTTGGCCTGTATTAATGCTGATGCCTCCCGCTTTCTTTCCTGAAATTCCTCCCATTTTGATGCTACTTCGGCTAGTGTGGCCTCCTTTTTCTTTGCCCATCTGTGTTTCTTAGATGCCGCCTGGCGTCTCAATATTGCTGCCTTAACCTCTATCCCACCAGCTTTTGAGCTTGTGTTTTAGTTTTCCTCCTCCTTGTTTGATTCAATATTTCTCTAACTCGCTTTTGAAAACACTAATTAAGTCTTCATATGTCCATAGTCTTCCCGGTTGCTTGGATGCTATGTTCTCGATTCGCTTAGATACCTCCTGTAGTTGTTTATCATTTAAGTTATTCCTACCTTCTTGTTTTTGATTTTGCATTTCTGGTTTTACTGTGCCAAATCTGATCTTGATTTTCTTATGGTCGCTCCCCAGACTTTTTGTGCCTTCCTCGTCTATTTCCATGCCTCCTAATCTGTTGTATATCTTACGCGACATTAAACAGTAGTCAATAGTCGAGTGAGAGTTCTTTCTTTCCCTGTTATTTTTCCATCACATTTTACCTGAGCATTAACCAATACCAGATCAAGAGCTTCGCAGAACACCTCTAACATCCTCCCTGTTGTATCTGTATGTCCATCAAAGTTTTCCAAATGTGCATTCATGTCCCCCAAGATAATTATTTCCTTGTTAGTGCCGATTTCCCTAACGTCTCCTGATATAAATGTCAAGTGTTCTGCATTTTCCTCCCCTGCATCACTCCCTGTTTTTAGATAAACAAAACCCAGGATTGTGTCCAAACCCCCAATATTGCCTTTGACCCACATGTGTTCCCTGCAGCCCTCTTGCTCCCTTTCCCATTCCTGACCCTTAACTAACACTTCTAATCCCCCTCCCTTGCGTTCCTCATTGGCCCAGTTGCATCCCATCCAATGATATTCTGGTATGTATGGTGGTTCTTCCATATCCCTCAGATGTGCCACTGCTAATTCATACATTGCAAAGTTTTCGCTTTCTAATTGCTCCTCAATCTGCTCCCACTTTATTCTGTTCCTGCTCCCCTGCATGTTTATGAACCCTATGTTACGCTGTTTCTTCTTCCTAGTCCTGCGAGGCTTCCTCTCACCCTCCAGAACCCTCTCCTCTGCATCTACATTTTGGCCCTCATTCACACCGGCACCCTCAGGGCTCCGGGACCCCTTAAAAAATGTACGATGTGACGTCCAATCTTATCGCCTACCGGGCTCCCAGTGATTCCACTGTAGTGGATGCCCCATGTAAAAGGGTCGGAGCGAGCCTCGTACACCACCCTGTAGCTCGACTGTTGTTTTTTGTTTTTTTTTCTGAAGCAATATTTTTGGAATTAAGTTATATTCTTTTACTGTTGGTCGAGTTCTGCGTCACTTTTTTCTAGTTTGTTGGAATAGACAACTTCAACTACTCATCGCGTTGCGCTGCAACCACCCACTCGTATCTCCGGAGTTAGTGAAATAGACCATCAAATACTGGATAGCTTAAGACTGGATGAATTTCGTTGTCTTGCTACTCTATAATTACTAAGCAAAGTGTTTGGGACCGCTTAGGTGCTGGTATGCCGACTTCCAAATGAGCATTGACAGTGCACAGGCGCCTGGTGAAAGTGGCGTAGCACGGATTCTTTGTCAGGCAGACTCTTGAGCTGCTTACGCTGCGAATGCATCGTACAGAAGACCGTCTGCAGACACTGACCGAGGTCTTCCCTGTATGGCGGTCTTGTCACATTGGCCATACGAAAACTCTCTGCACACATGTTCGAAGAATACATACGTACGACTCAAACGATGCTTTGGGCATGCGTGAGGGGCTTCCGCAGAAACTTTTGCTGTCACGTCTGCAGCGTCAAGTCTTGTACGACTTAGAAGCAGGGTGACTTTAAAGGTCGTGCCTTGGGTCTTGCTACAGGCACGCCCGGCGGCGGTGACACGGCTGTCGTTCAGCAATGACGACTCTTTCCTAGCAATGGCGGCAGCGGACGGCACGTTGTGCATCTACAACATGGGCACCAAGCACTGCTCCAAGAGCCTCGCCCAGCCTAGGGACCAGGTGAGAGGCAGGTCGCGATGCGGCGCAATCGGAGGGCGTCCCGTCACCCCGCTTGGGAGCGGTGTCTGTCAGGTTTGCGCTCCGACAGGAAGAGCATCAGAAATGGTTTGTAGAGTGTGGGGAGGGCATTGTATGTATGCCAACTCATGTTTACAAACAAATTGGATCGTCCCTATACCCCGCTTCACAATAACTTGGTGAACTGCTGAGGCTACAGCTGCCGTGACCCGGGAAGCGTCGGAGCGAGGCACTTGAAACTATGTCACGGGGCGTGTGCGTGTCACTGCGCCAGATGCGAGGCATGGAGAAACCGTCTGCTGGCCAAGGGTCTGCTGCGAAATCAACCAACTTCCGGTGGACGTCCACCTCCGCAACATTTTTGTCCGCTAGGATAGCAAGCTCTTTGGGAACAATTCATGAGACAACCATGCCCTTAATTTACCCGTGAATCTGACTGGTGCTAATGCCAGGACCCAGTGCGATATTTTGAGCGGAAACAGTTGATTACACTGCTGTGATCGCCAATGGCCACGGCGCTAGGAGAAGAAAATCTGGAGCGGATACGGATGTGGCATTACTTTTTGGTTTAAATATAATTAAAACTCATAAATTTGCGATTATAATTATTTTTTTTTGTATCTTCTCGATAGAGATGGGAATTGCGCGAGTTCAATTGCCATTAAAAGAAAAAAGTCAGGAACTACCTTGTGTCGCAGGACGGCACTCTTGCTGTGGCGGTAACGAGGCCCCTATGGCCTCGACCATGGAGTGTTGTCACGTGCCTTACTCCGGCGCTCTTATTGGGTCGCAGGGGCCGCAGCCTCTACTGTTCACCAATTTATCGTGAAACGGAGTATAGCGACACGCCACCGGCACTGCGCATGCCCGATGGGGTTTGGGCAACAAGTACTGCGTCCCACGTCAACAAACCATTAAAATGTGATAGCGGTGTTGGTGTGACCGCCCGTGCTCTCTTTCACGTTGGAATTGTTAATTCTGCGTCGTCCTAGCAATGTCTTACTACTTTAGTGGCACGAGCGAAATTAACAAAAGGCTCATTACATTGCCAGACTTTGTGTAAATAACCTGACGTGCTGCAATTCATTCTGTGTGAACGCCGCAGAATGGCCGCTAAACCCCGACTCGCATGATGAGATTCTGCTCGCTATTTTCAGTCGCGACGCCGCTAGGGCTGCAAAAGCTTGGACGATAGCTGCGATGCTTGATGTCGGTACTGAAAATTGCAAGCAGAATAACAAGTCGGTGATGGCCACTGGTAGCAATGATCAACATTTCATTTATTTCTCCTCCCGCCGTTTTTTGAGCTACCCCAAAAAAATGCATTTTCCAACTACCCAGACTTTAGTCTTCACGGTATGCTATTTATTTTCTCGAAATTCAAAATAGCAATTGAGAAAACCGTAAATGAAGATGATGCCGAAACCAAGATTCAAATTTACGCACGCTCTCCAGTGGTGTGACGGCACAAATGGTAGACTTTCAGGCGCAGGTAGTCTTAAACAGAGCATGTCGAGTGTTTTCTGTGTGCTTCTCAGTGAATCGGCTACCAAGCATTCTTTTCCCACCATCAAACATATTGTAATCAGTTGGGAACGTGGCTTACAGCCCACTTTGTACCATTTCTGTCGTCACACTTCAATGTTGCCAGTAAGTGCTCCCGGTTTGAGAAACACTATGAAAACGAAATTAGAAAATTCAATAACTTCGCCAAATGTTTTTCTTTTCACACAATACTTGGGGAACTGGTAACGCCGTGTTTGTTGTTGCGTTGAGCCAATTTTGAGGCAAATCAATGACCCTGAAAAAATCGCCAGCGTACCCCTTAAAGGGGTGCTGAACCAAACAATTCAGTGTCTATAATAAGTGGCGCAAGATCTTTCCACGAGCCAGCAGCTGCTAGTGTGCACGAGCACACGCAACTAAATTGACGTCATATATCCCCCATTCACGCTTATTCATTCATTCACACGATATGATGACGTCAATTTCGTTGCATGTGCTCGCGCACACCGGCGGCTGCTGACTCGTGGAAAGACAGTGCGCCACTTATTATAGACACTGAAATGTTTGGTTCAGCATCCCTTTAAGGGCCCAATGGGCCATTACTTGAGGGGGGGCTTTGAGCAAATATAATACAATAATTTGAACACAAAGAACGAAGTAAAACAAAAGTAGAAACAATAGTAAGAAAAACCGCTTAGTGATAATCTGGTAGGACAGTGGTGGTTAGCAGTGGAGTAAGATGACTGACTGACGGAAAATGGATAGATCTGAAATCGGTACTATTTTCTCAAAGAGGGATTTCCAAATGGTTATAGCCTGCGGAAAAAAATGAGGTGTTAAAGGACACATGCAAAGGAAAACAACTTTTCTTTTTTTTAAATAGACTAGATGGAAAAAGAATATTATAAAACAAATTTACAATGAAGAGAAAAAAAAATTTAGAGCCATATTTACGGCGCAAAACGAATTTGTAGTTAACGCCCGCGGGAGCCGCCGCTGCCGCAAAGTCACGCCGCCGCTGCACGCTGAGCGTTGTGCGACGCTGCTTCAACGCGTTTCTCCACGCCACCGTCGCCGCCGCCGCACATCTTCGTCTGCTTCGGGGCGCCACTGCCGCCATTTGACCGGCGCACAGGTCTGTCACGTCTGCTTGCGCTTTTTCAGGAGTTTCCTTTGGGCGCTCTAAAAGCTATCTATTAATCTTAGTTTTTTGTTATACTTCAAACAAAGATGAATAAGTTATTTTTAGAGGCCATAGGAAGCTTCCGAAAGAGCGCAAGCACCACGTGATAAATAAGGGTTGGTCACGTGATAAATAAGGGCCACTTTTCCGCGGCACCCGCGGGCACCAACGGCAAATTCATATAGCGCCGTAAATATGGCTCTAAAATTTTTTTTTCTTGGTTGTAAAATTGTTTTGTGACATTCTTTTTCCATCGAAGCTGTTTAAAAAAAAATGTTTTTTTTTCCTTTGCATATGTCCTTTAAAGACGTGTTTTGCCTGTCATACCTTTGATGCAGCGACTGTGGTTGAGGCGCGATAATATCCTATCTGGAGGTAAAAGAAGGGTGTCAACATCTTCTTGTATCTACTGTTTACCCTGAGTCTACTTACTCCAAACAACCTTCAAACTTAAGGCTTTAGAGGCTGCACTTACTTCTTATTGCACCGTTTGGTCTACTGGCCGCTGTCATTTGAACAAGCTGACGATTGTCTGAACGAGTTTGAATGATCAGACGGCCGTTTGAATGTGAAGATGTACTGAACGTGGTCCGGACGGTTTTCCCTCGTTCATGTTGAGACAAAACAAATCTGACGACCGCAAGTATTCGTGAATTTAACCCTAAGTGCTTCCCACACAAGCAATCGTGGTCCGACGGTGTGTGTGGTTTTCTCTTTTCACGGCACCTATCCACGTTCTCGGACGGACTGAGCAGGCAGAAAATACATAAAAACTGATCTTCACACCTTTCTGGCTCTTTTGGTACAGCCCCAGTCGCAGTATTCTAACAAAAAGGCAGGTCTTAGTACGATTTCTTCCAAAACAATACGGGAAGGCCCTTCTTGCATGGCGACTTCCGCCCACATCCCCAGTTCGAAGCGTCATTGGCGCCACCACCATGGCATGACGTAATGGAGTTGAGTTGGTGTATAAGATTTCAACTTCGATGCTTGAAACGCACAACAACAGATGCTGTCATAAAGTTCTGCCAAAAGGTATTCATTACTTTGTACATGCATCAGGAAGATGCATCAATGACAGGCAGAAAGAATGTGCATTGTCAGTGAAGAACCTGTCTTCTGGTAATCTGACTGTTTATTGCGTGAAATTTGCACCGGACAAGTACTTTTTTTCATGATGCATAGAGGGCACATGCGTTAGTGCTCTCTAGTATCCTTATACAGTGAAACCCGTTTAGAACGAACCCACATGCAGCAAACTATTCTCAATATCGAGCTCCCGAAAAATTTAAATAAAAACGCATGTAAAAAGTACTTTTTATAACTAACAACATATTGGCTATATCAAACTTTTTGTTTCGGGAAGGATTCCAAAAACGTGCAAACAATAGTCTTCTAGCCTGTCCCTTCCCCACCTCCCCCTCCTCCCAAAAAAGTAGGAAAGAAAAAAAAATTTCAAAAGCTCAAGTTGCGAACAAAATTGAGCGAAAAGAAGCGATCCAGAAGGAGAGAAACCTTAAAAACACTGCACGCACACGCAGAAGAAAAAAAAAACTTTTCATCCCAAAGCGGTTGCCCACAAAAAGAAACAATTCAAAAAGAAAAAAAAAAAAAAAGCTCTGCACACATGCAAAAGAAATCTTTTTAGTGTGTAGTTACAAGGCAGAAGCAAAGAGATGAGAAAGAAAGATAATCTCTCACCTTACAACGAACGCATGCATCGTGGAAGTTCGTTGTAAATGTTTTTTGCTATATCGAACTAATTCCTATATCGAACTGATCGTAACGTTTCCTGCTGTTCGTTATAACCGGGTTTGACATTATGGACCTGAGCTGGTATAATTTAAACATATTCATTTTCTTTGACTCAATGTTTTACGGATTTCGTGAATTGTGAGCTTTGGGAATATTTCGCGGGTGCAACACTTCGCGATCGCAAGTGGCACGCTATACACATTTGTTACCATGGAGTGAAACATTCGCACACTCTATTTTTTTCCCAATATTTCTGGGCATAAAATTAACGAAAATTAGGTCCTTGCAAAAATTAAGTCGTTCGCAGTATGCAAGACTGTTCGAAGCATGTGCAAGGCGTTGATGATGTGGCATTTCCCGTGAGTCAGTGTTTGTATTACTTCCATTAGACATTTCGTTGTAAATAGTAGCACTTGGTTTGTCTGTCTCTCTTTCTTTTGTTCCTTGTTTTTTAAAGCTTTAATCCTCATCGTGTGTCCAGATGTAGTTAACGATTGTTGACGGCCGTGCAGGTGGTGACCGGACTGGAGTGCTCAATACTCCGGCGATACCAGGTGGCATCAAGCTGGACAGACGGCACAGTTTGCACGTGGGACGCCAGCTGTCAGCGCCTTGTGGCCGAGGTCAACGAACGACATTACTCGACTAATTCCTCTGCATCGGATTGTTAAAACCCAGTTCAGTAGACCATCTCTCTAGTCGGTCTCTAAAAATCCAAATATGCTGGTACAAGAATTTGGGGGTCCTGACATTGTAAAGATTCTTTTACAACCTGAAAGAACAGAATTTCTCGTCACTCTTGTTTCTCAAGTTACGAGACTGACGAATGTCAACCCAGCTAAGCAGTCGACTGTATTGACGAGAATGGTTTGTCGTATTGAAGTAAGCCAAGTTTTGATAACCTGTGGTAGTCCTTGTAGTACTACTTTTGCACTCCCTTCAATGAAAAGTGTTTTCATATCTTGAGGAGGACTTTACTGTTCTAGCTGCCTGCAGTTTTCAGTTTTTTGTACTCTCAATGTGTTACATGGCTGGCACCCAACCATATCCGGTTAGGCGTTAGCAACGGAAGTTGACCGGCAGACTGCCAGCCGAACGCAGACGCGGTGCTCGTCTCCTTCCGGATTGGACACTGGTGCCAGCTGAACCTCTACCTTGATTGCCTCCACAATACTCCCGGCGGAGGTGAAACGTCCAGTGTTCAGACATACAGTGGCGCTCTGCTCCTTGAAACAGGTGCACCTTGGGCTTCCCCAGAAAAAGAGCAGAGGGGAGAAAAATACAAGACTCCATCGCCGCAATGGGTTGAAATAGTTTGGAGCGTTTGGTTCTCTTTTGCCACGAGCTGGTGCCAGCTCGTGGCAAATTGTTTTGTTTTCCATACAATCCGTCTACTACGTTGCAAACTCCAACAGGCTCTGAAGAAGTTGCATTTATGCAACAACCGCCAAAGATGGCACACACAAGTAAGACTTCCATGGAGTTTTGGGCGCTTACCTTGCACAACACAGTGCCACTTTGTGTCGTCTTGTCTCCACGTGTGTGCAGATTCTCTACACTAAGACATCACATTCAGTGTTACCGCTGCCTTTGCCGCGCTAGTATGGCAAAGGAGTGACTTTTCTTTTTTATGGTTTTGAACCAGTCATTGCCAAATCAGCATGTCTGCATGCTTTCATTGTTTCAACCCTTGTGACCTTTGTCAACTTTAGTGCTTTTGAGAAGTTAGAGGGGGAAAAGTTGGTACGTGAATTCTATCTCGTGGCATGATACATTTTTTTTTTGCATTGGATGTCTTTCTGACGTCGGTTCGAATCTCGGGCGACCGAGCGGCAGCAGGCGCACGCTCGAGTTTCGCTGCCTCGCGGAGTCCCAGCGACTCTCACCGATGCCACCCTCTTTGACGCGAGGCTCAAACACATTCTTTGTTGCCCACCCCACAGATGGTGCTGCACCCCAAATACAGCTGCAGCGGAGTGGCCCTGTCTCCACAGTTCGAGGCACTGCTGGCGACCGTGGGCATGGACAAGAGGCTGGTTCTCTTTGACCTTACCAGCAGAAGGTGGATCCCCCTTTTTCCCTTCGTTGAAAACCATAAGAGTATCGTTTGCTTTTCTACAAAGCAAAGCTGTTCAGTGGGTTCTGCGGCGGAGCGTACGAACGCGCCGTGGCGGGCCAATAGCTTAAACAAACGAAGGGCTTGGCCTCTCGCTGATTTGTTGGCATCGCAATTTCTTGTTCGGCATTCTCGTCGGCCCTTGCAACAATCTCTTTGGCCGCGTGCCCCGCATTCCTCGGCCGTCGTCGACCAATGTCTCGCGCTAGTTTCGGTAGTGTTTCGATCGTTGGGCGCCAACGACGGGGGCAGTTTGTGGCCCAGAACACCAAATCATCTTGCCGCTTGCTGAGGAAGGAATGAGTGCTCAAAAGCGCTGTGCCTCCCGCGCAGGGCGCAAGGCTCGGTGCAGTGCGCGGAGACACTGGAAACGGTGGATTTTGCGAGGGACGGCCGACGGGTGGTGGTCGGAGGCACCTCCAGCAAGGTGTACGTCTATGACCTGCGCAACATGGCGGCTCCCCTGGTGGAAACCTTGTCTGGTCACGTGGGTCCGGTCGGCTGTGTCAGCTGCTGCCAGGTAACTGCACCGGGCCGGGTTTGGGGTATGGCTTTTGGAGGCTTTGATGCCTACGATCTTGGGAATGCCGCTTTGCTTTGCTTGTTCTCACAGACTCTGGAAACGGTGTCGAGACTTTCCTGTCAACTGTTAGAGGGAAGGGGGGGGCGAGGGTGTAGACTATAACTTAGCCGTAGACTTTCCGGTTCTTACCAAAAAACAGAGATAAACATTGATTGTTGTCAGAAAAACAAAATCTGTTCAGATCGGAAGACACCAACTTCTTGAAATGTTTGCTCTAGCTAGGACTGTTTTTTTTTTCAAAACCCTCTCCTCTTCAGACTATTCCTTTGGTTTTCATGAGCTTTTTTTTTTATTGTCAATCACTTCTTTGTGCGTCCGTTCGAAGCAAATCAGCCATATACACCGATACCTTAAAAATAAATAAGCACCGAAAAACGTCCACTGATTTCCCTTCACAATAAACACCTGAAAATATACGGCCTAAGTGTAGCTACTATTAACGTTTCTACAGTGACTTGATTTCCTTTGCTTGGAATGGGAGTGAAACTTCCAAAGAATTTGGGGCTCGAATCCATGCTGTGAATGTGGTTGGCCGGTGAAGCTACGGTATCACCTGCAACGATTGCCCACTGCACTATAGACTCATTTTTATGGCAAACGCCAGCGGGTGGTGCTCCTGCCTTTGACGTCCCAGAGAACTTCCGGTTTATAAAAACAAAATTAACAAAGGCCCCCTTAGCACCGCTGCTTGAAAGTAGATGAAACGTTTAACTACCAATTCTCCAGGTCAACGTTAAAGGAACGAAGGAGTGTGAGATCTGTTAAAATGTTTCCAGTATTCTTGTAAACCAACTTGCCTCCTCCAAGATGTAATATTGTACATCCGAAGGCCCTCGTTAAATCTCCCAGTTTTGTTGTCCGTGTAGCATTTATGCTTTCAGGCACTGGTGACATAAGCAAGCTCAACAGGCCTGCAAAGATGGTGCAACCGGAAGTTGCTTGGGACGCAGGCGGCAGTTCATCTTTGTAAACAGCAAAAGGGTCTGTACGAATTGATTTGACGAAAGAAAAGTAAATGTACTGTACCAAAACCTTTTTATATATGAAGGACTTTGTATGCTCCTGCATGGCAGCTTATGCAACCTTAATCTTTACCAAGAAACGCATGCGGGGAGCGTTACCTGTTTATCATCGTTAGAATGTGCCTCATCATTCATCATGTGGTTTTGACACTTGTTTTCTGGTTTTCCTATTGAAACAAGTATCAAGACCACATGATATATGATAAGGCACATGCAAACGGTGATAAGGCGTGCTCGACTACTGTTCAGTCGACGTACGCGAAAAAAACCCGACCTACGAGTCATATGCTGCTTCGCTGTAAAAGTAGGCGACATCCAGTGGGAGTGGCAGAAACTCCAGCAGTTCTGCCTATTGCTAATGGACAGGTGGTAGTCATATGTGTCCGAACTGTTAACATCTGCTGCCTTTTCGGTACTCTCCTAGGCTTTCTGTACTGCTAGCTGGTCTTCTGGTACGCCAGAAGCGCCACTCTGTAACCGGGCCTAGTGGTCACCCACTCCCTTGTAAGGAAAACCATGCCTGCAGGAGCGCCATGCGAATCGGCAGTTCGGTTTGAACCTGCAATCAATGCTTTGTTGTGCGATATCGTGAAGGGAACTAGACTTGACCCGCATAGGCTAGGTTCTTTTCATGTTGCACGGGTAATGAAAGACACAGCCTGCTTTTCACGACTTTACTGTTGTATTTGTGGTTCCAGTTTTAGCAGAAGGCTTAAGGCTTGTTTACACTCTTGTGACCTCTTAAAACTGGGTGCCTTAAAACTTTTTACAACCGGAGGACACACTGGCGCCATCTTTTGGGTAGCAGTGTAAACGTGGCGGTCCGGCATATTTTCTATTTCTCTCGCGCATTATCCTTTCTTTCTTGGCTCGAAAAACTTTTGGCAACGTTACGAACGAGCCTTTCTTATAGGTATTGCGCACATTTGACCTCGGAAATCCCGCAAAACCTTCGCTCTTGTGAAATGCAGTTCCAGGGTCACCGCATAGATGGTGCCAGAATGCCAGTGTGTTCCCTAGTCCTAAGAAATTTTAAGAAGTTTTAACAGATCTCGTCTCTCTCGGTCGTACTTGGTTGCAAGAGTGTGAACGGGCCTTAAAGGGACACTGACAGGGTATTTATGCTCGCCGAGGTTTTTAGTTGTACGTGACATATGAGAGCTCAACTACCCAGAACAGAATTTGCGGCTCGAAATTCGGTTTCTTTCCGCCCGAAAACCGCCGATCAAGAATTGGCCGGTTCGAGTCTCGCTCACTCTCTTTTTCGCGGTCACGGGCCGTTTTCTAAGGTATCGATGCGACCACCAAGTTTAATCAAAGTCGTGGGTCACTGAAGACACACACTCAATATTAAAAATAGAAAAAAATATGAAACCCATTTTTTCTGGCTTCTAAAAAGCTGTAAATACGTTGATTGAAAAAAAAAGTTCCACAGACAACCGGAAGCATTCTGTGCGTTCGTCGTTTCGCGTATTGTGGGACTTGCGGGGACGGCGATGGCAGCGGACGACGGGCGTGGGACCTCTATTCCAGAACTGTCGTTCGCGTTACCGGCGAATTCTGTCTACCGTTAAAAGAGAAATTTGGGACTGATCAAAAGAATTGGTATTCATCCCGTACGACACGCCCGGCCACCAAGCCGATTTGCACGAAGACGTCGCCGAGCCGTCGCTCTCTTCTCGTGGCTGAAGACAACGCTCGCGCAAACGTCAAGCACGACGTGTCTACTTCGAGTTTAATATGCACGCGTACGATTTCTTTACTAGGTGCGAATGCCCCAAAGCGTGGTGCTTCCCGACTTTGACCCGGGAGTGCTTTTGCTAGAGAAAAATCGACTGCAAACTTTCCAACTTACCCTTTCCAACTTACAGTTTACTGGCTGAATTATTACTAAGGAAAGAGATCCACCAGAAACGATATGCCCCAGTAACTCAGTGGGAAAGACGTCCGCTTCACACGCGGTAGGACCAAATTCAATCCCCCGTGAATTTTTTTTTTTTTTTTTTTCAAACATTTTTTGATGTTTACATATCTTTTTCTTTATTTTACAATCATCACTGAAGAAACAAACAAAAAATAACAAACAAATGTTGTGGACGATACTTCGCTGAATTAAATGGTATGGGATTTCCGTTTTGACACCTGCAAACTCAATGTAATCACTTTCCACAAAATGCAAGGAGCATATAAATCAGGTAGCGTCCGCTTTCCGAGGTGCCCGTAAATGTTCTACAGGAATTGCAGCCAGCCATTGGTCCTGATCCCGTTGATCTTTCGGAAACTCTGTCGCACAATGATGCAGGACATGTGAGCCAGCTCTTCACGCAACATCTTGGGATTATTCTTTTCGGAGCCGATCATGAAAATTCACCACGGGCACTCACTACTCATCTCCAACTCCTCAATGTACAAAACAACTCATCTTGGAGTACAGAACAACGAGCGGAACAAACATAACTGCAAAAGAATCGCACAGCAAGCAGTTCCCGCACGCCGCTTCGCACGCCGCATGTCGTGTCATCTGCTACCAAAGAGGAGAAAAACAAAAAACAAAAAAAAACAACGCACGGTCGGGTGTAGTCACGTGACTTCCGCCAGTCACTCTCTTCTCTCCACTTCTCCGACCTCCGTCGGGTTTCGGGTTCGGTTTCGAGCAGTTGCGTCTTTTGGCTTTATTAAAGAAATACGATACTCTGTTGCAAAATATTAATTGGGTAGTCCTCTGACACCATAATGAAGCGCCTGGCAAAAAAATGAAAAAAAATTTTTGGGGGGTGTCAGTGTCCCTTTAAGGAGGGAAATTTTTTTTTGTTTTGTCTGCTTCTTGTTCTTTCTCTTTTAAGGCGAGTTCAAATACTTTGGGTGCATTTGTTAAGCACGTGCCATTGGGAACATTCGAGGAATCTATGGCTTGCTCGGCAAGGTTCTTGCGGTGATGGTTCTTCCCCGAAAAAAGAGCCGTTTCTGTTTGCAGGCGGCCGGGTGCTGGAAGAAGCCCGAAGCCAGTAGTCTGCAGACTGTTCCACTTGTGACCTTGACAGAAGGTACCTTGCCCTACTTCTTCCAAGGAATGGACATTCATAATGCGTAAACGCAGTCTTACCAAAGCTATCTCGGGTGACGAAAATAACCCCAGGAGATGGGGAACATGGGGGACAAAGGACAAACACAAATCTCCAAACACAGCTAGGTGACTGGAGCGCAGCCAAAAAAATCCGCCTGGTCCTGGTGTGTTTGGAGATTTGTGTTTCTCCTGTGTTCCCCTTTTCCAGGGATTACTTTGGTCATTCATGTCCAGCTTGCTTGCACCTATACATTAATTGCATTATCATCTCTCTCGGGTTTCGCGAGCGTCCGTTATCCCAGTTGGCCAGTTGCCCAAATCCCGTGCCATGAACCAACTGAGCGTGTTCGCACGTGTTGTTAGAACGGCCCATTTATTTATTTATTTACTTATTTACTCTCAAGGCCGAGGCATTACAGAGAGGAGTGGGTGAAGCAAACACAAAAAAAATAATTAACGTCAACATAAATACATTAGCAGGGTTACCAAAAATGATTGCAAATGGCAGATTTGAAGTGGACGGTGTTGGTGATCGAAACGATGGAGGTGGGAAGGTGGTTCCAGTCGGCGCAAGTCTTGGGAATGAAAGAGTGGAAATGTAAATTAGTGCGGCTGCTTGGCACGCCAACCTTGTATACTGGTGGTTACTGCGGGAGGAAATCTACAATGGTGGCACAAAGAGAATGACTGAGGGGAGAGTTAAAATATATATCTTATGAAAGAGACAAAGATGAGACATTTTACGACTCAATGAAAGATTGGCTAAGTTAAGATAACATTTCATTGAAGAGACACTGGCAGTATGAAAGTAATTACGAGCCACCCTACGCTATGCTTTCTTGCCTCAGTCTGTGCATTCTCGGTGTTGCCGCAACTGAGAAAGAACGAGGCGACAAAGACTTAGTGGCCCGTGCCGAGTTGAACCCAAGCGTCGGCCGCTTTTCTCATAAAATGCAATTTCGTACGCGACGGTTCGATCGATACAGATCAAAATACTAGCGCACATTTTTGTTCCAACACCCACCTACAGAGCTCGGGAAATGAAACAGATGCATCGGGGCCTATGTTCTCGAACTAAATCTCTCGCCGTTTTTTATAATAATGCTGCTATAAGGTCGTCTGCTTGGTTTCCTGCGGTGTTCCGGACTGAATGTAGTGGAGCACAATCGTCTTAGAGGTCTCCCGCAAGCTGTTTGGGACCTTAACATTGTGCATGCAAGAGAGGCGGTTAATTTTTTTGGCATAGTACAGTAGAACCTTGTTGATACATTTTCAGTTGATATGTTTTCCCGGCTGTTACGGTCAAAATTGTCGGTCCCGTTTTACTTCTATACAGATACATGTGTATAAGCTGGCTTCGAAGCGAAGCAAAGCCGAACCATGCAATGTGGGTCGCACGGCACACGTGGGCACGCAGACGCCCGTCTTCCCTTTACTCGTTTCCCCCTTTTGTCCGTCTGTCTCCTCGCTGGGCTTTGCTGAGCTCTGCCGCAGCTTCCCATCTTGCCCAGGCGTTACCAGGGAGCACTGCTCAGACGGGGAGCGAGGCTGGCGAGGCGGCAAACGCTCGTTCTCTCTTGCTCTCTCTTTCATCTGTCCTTCTCTTTCTCTGGCACGAGGTGCACCCGCATGCATGCTGCACTTCTAGTTTCTGTTCTGCTCGATTGCGTGAACCGTGGTTTTTCGGAGTATGTGCACTCTGAGCCCATTGACGACGGTCATGGCATCGCGAAAAAGGAAGGCATTCTCTTTTAAAGGGAAGTTTGATATACTTCAGACGGTGGATCGCAATCCCAGCCGGAAGAGATCTGACATCGCAAGAGACCTCGGACTCGCACAATCAACTTTGAACAGCATCATCGCCAAACGAAAGGAGATCGAGACGAAAGGTTCTTTTTATCAACCAGGCTTTAAACAGGCTCGGGGGGCAAAACACGCAAAATTGGATTGTCCGAGTCCTCCACAGTTCTGTAAATACACATAAAATAAACCCTTGTATAAGAGCTGCTTTCTATCTCGTGTAGAGCCCCCCTAAGTGCATTATCGGTTGTTGCATTTTCCCAGATGTGTTTTTTTCCCGCGGTCCTTTGAAAAACGTATCAATGAGGTTCTACTGTATATGTCCCGCACAACTTGTGCCTTAAATTGTTCTCCGTTTCGCATTAAGTCAGGCCGGAGCCAACTCTACGATTTGGCGGAGCCAAGAAACAGCACCAAATGTGCTTGCGAAAAAGGAAGCCCGGTATCGCACCACACTCACCGTGCGCGTTTAGTTTAGCCAGCACAAGCAGAAAGGCAGCAAGAGAACCGTGGCGACACTCTTTCGTCGCCGCTTGGCCGGCTCTGTCGGATTGGAGCATTGGCTGCGGTCGGTGACGTGGAGTAGAGCAGCCAATCTCCGAAATTTTGGGCACTTATTGCGCGCCTTCGTTCTTAATTTCAAACTTCGTTTTGCGTGGCCTCTGGTACAAAACGAGTCGGATGAAGACTAGCACTATTTTCACTTTTAGACTCGCTCGTTTGGTTCTGTAAATGCGTTCGAGTATGTGCTAGCCAGACGAGCCCTTTCTGCCTTTGTAATGACTGCCTCATCTGTTGCAGTTCCCCCGGAGATGTCCTGTTCCAACACCCCGGCCCTGAACCGCCGTAAGCGTTGAGTCGTCGGTTTGCAGCTCAATTTCGGGGCCTGTCCTCCGGGACTTCCGTTTTCCCGCAGTCTTTCTGCTTGCCTTTTCTTCGCGGGATAGCATTTATTGGAGGCTAGAGAAAGCGTCGCTGGTTGCAGTTCGAGTTTCTTCTCTTTAAATGGGGTGGTAAGGGAGGGAGCTCAATCACTTTACGCTCTGGAGTTTTCGGAAATAACAGTCGAGCATAAAATTCTTCCAGCAGCGAAATGATGCAGTGGGGATCTGATAGTTTCAGCTTAAAACTTCCAGCCAAGTCACCAAGACTTTGCTGGATGACTCAATGCCTGATGACCTCTGGAGTTTGGTTACTACGGTAGACGTTTTCATTTATTATGCTACGCCACACCACGCAGAGGAACGGCTGCGAACCTTAATGAGTGGTAGACGTTAATTCCATCCATCCATCTATCGTGAGAATTCAATGACTTTCTCTGCATTCTGTGTGTCACTGACCTTTTACAGTTTGCCAGTTGTTAAATGGTATGTTTGGATGTGCCGTGGCAAACCTAGTGTAACTTCTATCTTCTTGGTTATACTGTCTTGCCTCGTATACTGCAGCAGATGCAACGAGCCGTCGCGAGTCAATCTAATGCCGCTCAGGTGTCACGTGATCTGGATGGGCATCGTACTGACATGCGTTCGTGCATCACTACTGCATGATGCACGTTGAAGTTCCCAGGCTAGCACCCGTACCGCGGTGGCTAAATTTCTCATCTACAGTGTAACCAGTGTTGCCATGCCTGAGAGGCAGACAGACCTTATGCTGTCTAAACACGAACGTCTAATTTGCTTTCTTTGTGCGAGTGTCCCGTGACACAGCAACGTGTGGAGTGCTTAGTTGCGCCATGCGTTCGCAGCTCTGGATTGACTAGGACGGCACCCACTGCAGTTTATCGTAAGGTGAAATGGATTACAGGGAACGTTATGACCTGCGCACGGCTGGCCACATAGGCAGCGTGCGCGTAGCCTGACGGTTATTGTGCTTGCCTTCCACATGAAAAGCCAGGGTTCGCCTGGGAGCGACGCATCTTTTATTTATTCTTTCAATTTAGAGTTCTTGTAAATTCAAGAACCCTGTTGCTTGTTCGAGGTCCGAATGTTCTGTGCGCTGAACCTTTTACGGCGATTGTTCCAGAAGCCCACGCGTGTACATAAGGGGCTCCGCGTGGCAAGCGGCAGTCAGTCTCGCCCCAGCGTTCGATCCTGCTGTTGCACCGCGATCGACGCTTGCGACGCTAACCTTGTTTTATTTTGTTTTGGGCAAAAGTTCGCCCCCATTAAACCTTTAGTTTGTCACGTTATTTGGCGCCTGATCATTTGTCATTCGTGACAATATGTTTGAAACTGAGGGCTAACATTTCGCTTTGTTGCATTAAACATTGCCAATTTGCAAAAAGCAACATTATTCAGGAACTTTTTTAATAGTTAAAGGGGCGATGCAACAATTTTTGTATTTTGCGCAAATACCGCTTAAAACGGATCCCTGACGTCAATGACCTGTGAGATACCCGTTGGTCTTTCACCACACTCAATCAGTCGCAAAAAAAAAAAAAAAAAAAAAAAAATGAGCAGAGTTCATCTTTTTAACTCTCAGCCAGAACAAGCGGGCCACGTGATCTGGACCCGATTATATGCCGCCAATGTTGATCATAGCCATGCACTGGGGTTGGCAAGGCGCAGGACACGCGCTGAGTTCCATACATTGTTATGGTTCGGCTGTTGTTGTCATTGCAGCGACTGGACACAGGACACTACCCAAATGCTTCTCGAGCTATCGATTATCACGAGCCCAAATCGAGTGTCCACGCCATGCACGGATCCAATCTATGAGCCGCATTCAAATATCGTCACTGGGCGGTACTGATACCGCCCAGCTACGTCAACAGGTTTTGCGAAGGAGAGATTGAATGAAAACACTCGGTTCTGTCCTCGAAATTACAGCGCAACAAAGGAGTTTCTTGGTCAGTGGCGTTGCGTGCGAGTATCCTTGAGTGCCACTAGTGCCAGTAAGCTCGTGTAAATTGAAAAACATTCCGATTGAATATCGTTGCACCGCCCCCTTAAAGTAAAAACCACTGAGATGTTGTTTTTTTCCTAGCCATTCAAAAATATGCTTTTTAGTGTAGAAGTTTCAGGCCAATTTCTAATATATGTCTACTGAATAATTGAACAAATCGGCTGTGATATGTGCTAACTCGGTTAAGGGATGCTGAACCTAAATTTGAATTTTACAAAATAAGATAGCAGGAGTGTTCAACGGGGCACCACAAACCCTAAAACACCACTCATGAAGCGATATCTCGAAAGGATGGCCGTGTTTTTGTAAAATAAGGATGCGATCGAGTGAGAATCGCGACAACGCACTTCCTGCAGAATTGTTGAGGAGGGGAAATGGCCTTGGGGGCTTCCTTCCCTCTTCGCGTCCTCGCGGACTCAAAGTGAGAAGAGGAAAAAACGAGAAACTCTTCATCACGGGCGTTTTTTGGCCTTATTCAAGCGCGCTCTTCTTTCACAAACATACGACCATCCGTTGGAGATATTGCTTTAATGAGTGATGCTTTCGGGTTTGTAGCGCCCCGCCTAGCGCTTCCGCGTTGTTTTCTGAAATCAAAATTTATTTTCAGCATCCCTTTAAGCCGCGTCCGGACACAGCGGACAATATGGGCTATCCTAGCCAATCCCGCTCTGTGGATGTAGCCCGTAATATGCTTTCTCCACGTCGCTGTGCCCGCTCTCCAAGGTCAGGTGACACTCGCGCGACCTTAGATTGGCTCCGATGGCTCGTAGCATCCGCTGCGCTCGGACGTAAGGTAAAACTGAGCATAGTGAAATAAACATTACGTTAAAGGGACCATGAAATGATTTTTCAGCTTTTTCCTAATAAAGATCCCAATTCATCTTTAAGGCTCATAGAACCCGGAGCAGGAATCTGTCTTTGTTTTATTGCCTCCAGTTTTGCGCAAAAAGATGAAGAGACTCATCTGCTTTCTTTCTCGACCCGATCGGACTCGGCCACCAACATGTGAAATCGCGTGGTTGCGACGTAAAGAATGCCTTTCTACCGGAAACGAATATTCTCAGCGAGGAAGCTGTGGTTGACCGGGGCGCTACATCACATGGACGTATGCGCTCGTCGACAATCAATCCATCAAAGAACATTTCGCATTCATGCTTAATCAGTGCCTTGACAGCACTTGTCATTGCTTGCGAAGGACAAGTTGGATGACATGCTTAAGGACGGTGGAAGCTTACAATTGTCGTACCGGTGCCCGCGCACTTGGTGGCTATGTGATTCCTTATTCTGCTTTGAGTTGAGGAGGAAAGCTGAGGGGGAAGGAGTTGAAAACTCATTTCGTGGTCGCTTTAATAGGATATTTAAAGTACTTGAAATGAAATGTGTTGCAAGTCCTCCGCCACCGTTGCAAGATTTTCTTTGCATTTTGGTTTAAAGTTAGTTTAAAAATGGCCACCACAAAACGAACAAGTATTTGGGCAAAACATTCCGGCTAAATACTAATAAAAAAAAAAGTAACTACCACTGTTAATTTTTTTCTTTTTTTTTAGAGATTTGAGGAGGTTGGGTTACCTTGTCGTGCAGTTTGGTGTAAATTACCCAATTTTGTTTGCTTTATTGCCATCTTGGAGTGAGGGGTATATCAAGACGCCCTCTTACAGGCCAGCCCCGAGCAAGTAACGGTGATTCTGTCGGCAGAGTGAGCGACAGGGGCGACGTTCTCGAGGTGAGGCAACACTTAACGTCATTATTTCTTGTACCCGGTGCATTCTCGGAATAAGTTGTGCAACTCGTGAAGCCATGTTGCAGTAGCGTGTTTTTATTTAATAGTCGAAAACCCAAATTTGGCCATTGTTGCCAAAAAGGTTACCCCTTTTTCTATTTTCCCAAAGACCTTTTTTTTCCCGGCAAACTTCAAATATTTCTTGAGAAATATTGCCGAATTTGTTCCAAAAGATTTCCTCATAGCCTCTTTCAAATTAAACTCTACTTGAAAAAAAAAAAAAAAAAAAAATTGGCTACCCTGTTTTGAAAACTGTTACTAGAAAATTTGAAGGCGCATTTTTTGCCCGTTTCAATGAAGACTAGTTCTCTTGCGTCCCGGTTATCGGCAGAGCTGGGCACGATATTTCAAAGAAGTGTCTTCGATACCAATATCTTATACTCTCAAAAATTGTATTTCCGAAATCGATACAAGATAGAGAACTGAAGTTGATTTCTGATACAGTCAAACTTCGATGTAACGAACTTCTATGTAACGAAACCCCCAATGTAATGAAGTAGACAACTTTTTCTAACCGCAAGTGTATGCATGCCATGTATTTTTTACCTCTATGTAACAAAGTCCCCGAAATTTCGATGTAACAAAGTTTCATGGACAATTCAGCACAAACTTTTGGGTCCCAAAAGAGATTTTGGGAAGCACACGCGCTGAAACGGGTCCCCGATAAAGCGCAAAGAGTGAAATGGGCCGATCAACTGGCCCATCTGGCCAAATGCCACCAGAGGACATGTAACGGCCACTAGAGGACACTAGAGCTGCCGCCGTTTCGTCCGTCGGCTTCATTCGCACTGTGTAGTTCGTTTCGAGGCCTAACTCTCGTTGTTTTGGTCAGCCGATGCGTTCTGCTTTTGAAGCCTAGCGACACTTTTTCGTGCATTAGTGCTCTAGCACTACGAGCTCCGGCAAGTGAAAGGTGTTGTCGTTGAGCAGAAAGCGAAGATCGTGCAAGCAGTCGCCAATGGTGAAAAAAAGAAAAATGTTGCGGCCCGGTTTGGAATTCCTCAGGTTTCGCTGTCGACGATTTTGAAGGCAAAGGAGACCATACTTGGCTCATTGAACGCGGCATAAGCGGTCAACGTAGATGACTGAAGCTGGCGGTCTATGAAGACGTCGACAAGGCTGCTTTTTAAATGGTTTATGTCTATCCGGGCACAGAACGTCCCCATAACTGGCGCTGTACCGCAGCAGAAAGCGAAACGGTTAACTTTGTGCACTTAGGAAACATTTGTAGAAACTTTCTTTAATGTTAGCCCCGAATTTCTATGTAGCGAAATTTCATATAACGAATTAAATTTTGAATTTTACCGACTTCGTTACATCGAAGTTTGACTGTACAGATACTCGATACTGTATCTTCGATATTTCATTGCATTACTAATATTGCCAATATTAATAAAGCTGGTAATAAGATTAGGTGAATTATGAAATTTATCTGTGGTTTCTACAATATTAATGCGATAGCATTATTAAGATACTAAAGATTTTCACCTATACGAGTATCCTGGTTCTTGGTGACAAAGTTTCCCCGCAAGCGGAAAAATTGACGTCACTACTTACGCACCAATTCATGTTCCCCGCTAAATTTAGCGGAAAAATTGATGTCACTACCTACGCACCAATTCATGTTCCCCGCTAAATTTAGCGAAAAAATTGACATCACGACCTATGAACCAATTCAGGTTCCGTATTAAATTTAGCGAAAGAATTGACGTTGCGACCTATGCTGCAAATTGCATTTTAAGCTCAAAGCGACCTCAGCTGCTCGCATGCACCGGCCCGAAAATGACTTTTGTTTGGAGGCCAGTGTCGCAGTAAGGTCAAAGTAGATGTCATTTTGTAAGCTTCACATTGGCTGGAAGAAGCTTGAAGAAAATGTACAACTGCCACATGCTCCTCATCCATTCCTTCACCCTCTGCTCACTGGGAAAGGTGTAAGAGAAAGAACAGGAGGGGGAAATGGACAGTATGGGATAAAGTGCAATCTGCGAGGTAGATTAAAGAAACATGTTTTTGGAATTGCAGTGTCTTTCTAGGCCAGGCTTAAGGTTCCGCAAGAGGGGAAGGACTGCGAGGGAGTGAGTTAAAATGTTGAGCTGCTGAAACGCTGTCAAAACTTGGGCGAGTTGGTTATGCATTAAGAGACCTTTTCTTGTCTCCGTCCTTCTTTATGCTGCTTTTAGTTTCTTCTTGCTGCAAGACGCTGGAAGAAAACAGTTCTTTCTTACAGGTTGTGTGGTTTCAGTTGTTGGCCTCGTGTAAAGTGGAGTGCAGAAATGCCTGGCAATATTTTGCAAGCTCCACTGTTTTTGGATGCCTTTAGCCGTTGTAACGGAGTTGCTCCCCTACACAGGAACACAGCGTGCCCAGCCCAGACTTCTTTGGAGCGTCTGGGCGCAGCAGCGGATCCTCCCACCACCAGTTCCGTGAGCAGCCTTCTTTCGTGCCATACTTTGTTTTATGTCAAGGCCGTCGCGGCGTGCCACGCCAGAGCAAGAGGGAAGGGGGGGGAGGGGTTGCGGAGGGAGGGAGGGGGGGGGGGGGGTGCAGCAGGCTACCGCCCCAGGTGCCGCTGACCCTAGTGACGCCACTGGGTGTACCCGTCTTTTTATCCATAGTTTGTTGTAAGTGGATTGATGTTTAGGGTGGACCTGACTAAAGATTGATGTTTTTTTTCGAAAGGGAGCGAGGTAAAAAGGTAAAAACAGGGCCTAAAACGAATTTTCTAGAAAAATTACTAATTTTGAATAGCAGATTTAGGTCTATCAACATCTGAAGAATATTTTCACAAAGTTCCATTCATTTCTGTAGCGCGGTTAACTTGCTGTCAGTTATTTTGAGAGCCTCTGTGTAATGCGCCGAGAAACTGTGGGGGAGGAGGGGACGAGAGCGCGTGGGGTTGTCAGGACGTTGAACTCTCATTGGAGTGATTAGTGGGTAGACCTAAAGCTAGCTGCCCTTGTCTCGGCTGCAGTCGTCACGCGTGTTAGAATGTGGAATGGGGGGCCGGCGTCCAGCGTCTGGCGCTCGCATTTGAATGCGTTCAACGAGTGCGGTGGAGACAAAGAGAGCTAGCTTTAGGTCTACCCACTATTCATTCCAATGAGAGGTCAACATCCCGATAACTCCACGCGCTCTCGTCCCCTCCTCCCCCGCAGTTTCTCGGCGCATTTAAAAGAGAAATATCTGGACACTTTAAAGCGAGGCACTGGTTCTAAAACGGTCTATTTTATTTTTGCAGCTATTCTAACGAAAATCACCGTGCATATGTGTTCCTTCTTCTTCAATTCAAATATGAAATCAGTTTTAAAATATCTCGATTAGTTTTCAGGTTATAAAAATAGAGCTGCCTAATTTGGTAATTTCTTACGGTTCGTTAAAACCATTTCCAACAAAAAAGATTTTTTTTATTAATGTAGATGCATAGCTAAAGTCCTGCCATGCATTATGAAGCTATTTATATTTTCACGAATTTACATTATTATATAAATATTGGCTAATTATGACAATTAGGACACTAATGAGGTCACATTAGTTATCATAAACTTTTTTTTTACTCTAAACTGTAAAAAGGTAGCTTTACTCCGTAGTTCAGTCCTTTGTGAATAAAATCGTATAAAAATTTTCAGAATGCTATAATAAAAACCTCATGAAAACCCCTGTAAAGGCATGTCGACAAAGAACACGAAGATGAGAAAATCGAAGTTAAAGTTTTGACATTGAACATAGAAAATTGTGTGAAGACCGATAAATAATAATTGCAATCAAGGTGTAATGTAAGTCTTCTTGAACAACTTGACATAAAAAATGATGTAATCCATTCATGGGAACATTAGAAAAAAAAAAAATGAAAGTAAAGAACAAGTGAAATGTTGGTAAAATCGTATTAAAGGGAAGTGGGTTCTCAAAAATATTTTGTGTTTATGTCTATCTGTGATTTTATGCGCAGGCATACAGTTTACTACGCTGATTCCATTACTGAAATCAGATTTCAGATATCTCTTCTTTGTCAAAAGTTATTAACAAAATAAAATATTAATTAGCAAATTTCAGGATGGTTTAAAAAAAAAAGCTTATTAAAATTTTAATGCAAAAAAGGTATCAATTGCTTCCTAAAGAAATGCCATACAAGCTAAAGCTATTTTATTTCTTTAGCACCATATAATCATGTAAAAATATTAAAGTGAGCAGAAGATATATAATAGAGGCATAAGAATGTCTAATGGAATGCCAGTTCTATATACCAAAAAATATCATAATAAAAATATCTTTTGCTTGCAGTCTAGTTCATTCCAAAGAAAATAGTAACAAATGTATGAAAATCGGTTGATCGTAAGTGAATTAAAAAGCCTACCAGGCCAGAGAATATGCAGAAAAAACAAAGCTAGGAAATTCGAAATTTAGGTATGCATAAGTAACAATGTTGAAGCTTTAGATGGGATGCCTTTAGTTTGAATTTCATACTAAAAATAAGAGACACGGGTAGGGAAAGCAGCCCGATATGCAAGAATTGAATAGCCCCGAGGGCTTTTTTTAGTTGTTTTTTTTCGCCTAGGCATCGGCAAAGTTGTCGAACACAAACTTGATCCAGTCGCGTCCACCAGCGGTAGAGCGACTTGGCGAAGTCTAAGGTTTTCGTTGATGCGGAGGTCTTCTTGTTCCAGGCACGTCTCCTCTTTCTATTTAGTCTCTGCGTGTTGACTTTCAAACTGGTGTCCCCAGCCATCGAAACTCGAAACGCGCAGAACGAAACAAAGAACAACGATGCAGGAAGGCAAATAAACGCAAAAAAGGAAAGCTAAACAAAGAGGAGGTATTAAAATATTTACACAAACAATGTAAAGAAGACAGGGAACATACGAAACACTAGGAAGCGCGAAGAAAACACTGAAAATATTGATATAGAAAGTGGAGAAATGTGAATGCTAACGTGCGTCTCGAACAACGGCGAAGCGAGCGGAAGCAGACGACGCGGGAGCCCGCGGAGCGCCATGCCAGGGAAGCCAGGAGAGGAGGTGCGCGTCTTGGTCAATGAGAGAGCTGTGCCTCGGAGGAGCGCGCGCTTTGCCCAATCAGCGCCTTTCTAGCGCTGGTGATGGCCTTTCGTCCAGCATCGATGACGCCACGGCCTTGAGGGTTATGCCGCTTTGGAGCGCGGGAAACCAGCTTTCGAACAAGACCAAGATGGCTGCAATCGGTTGAGCCGTTGCGGAGCTCAGACGGCGTGAACTTTGTTGACATTTCAGAGTTTAGGCTTCAAGTCGGGTCCGTCAACGCTTACGAATTGTAATTTTTTTTTTCTATTTAGAGATCTAATTGAGCATTTATATTTTGTGAGGAAATACTCTGGACTATATAGACCTCAGAATCGTGAATTTTGAAAAATGGCATTTGTGATTTTTTGATATTTTAAGACCCACGTCTCCCCTTAAATGCATTTTTCCCCATTTTGTTTTTCAGTATAAATTGCATTTTAGTTTATCATCTTAAAATAAATGGAAGGAAAGGTTCGTGCTTCGTTTTTTCTGACTGAAGTTTTATGTGAAATGCACTTGTGTATTTTTTTTTCTCGCTTTATTCATGTTTATAATCAAAAAACACTTCAAGACTATTTCTGGGACACAAAAAGCACAAAACTTGGCTGATTTTCTGGAGCAATGTTGCAAGATTAAATTAGTTTTTACAAAATCCTTTTCACAGTCACACTCTCCAGACATTCTGGTTTGTATCTAACAAAAATATTCCGAACGTTGTAGGTATTATTTTTCGAACGATAGATTGCCTAAGCAACGTTGGCATGTCCCTGATATGAACAATCCTAATTTCCTTTTGCACCAATAGTAGAGTACTGTAACCTTTTACTGGCACCCTTTACTACTAGCAGTCTACGCAGTTAATTTAATTAATTTTAAGCTAAGGGCAGAGACTCTTAAGTTCGACATTGTAGCCCTGTAATTTCTCAACATGTTCTGAGTCTTTCTCGCTAACCTTGGAAAGAGGTAAAAGTATCAATGTCGTCGATGAGATTTGTCCTCGCAAGGACCGTCTCTGATTTTTTAAGACTTTGGAATTTACAAAATTAACGTAGAGATTTGCCAAGGTCGTCCTGGGTCAAGCTTGGAAACGTCCGAGAAACAGAGAATGAGTTTATGGCAGACACCCCATCCAGAAACTCTTTTTATATTGCATGAGCATTGGTTTTGTTTGCATTTTTCTGTAAATTGACCTTTCTGTAGAAATAGTACATTGCTTTTTGGGGCATTAATTCTCACTGTTTTATGCCTTTCCCCCTGTTCGTGCAAATGATTGATGTTTTGTTGTAATGGCAGGTCTGAGTGACGTGATGCCTGTCTTCTCGGATTCCATGATGACATCGAGTTCTCTTTCCCCATCTGGCAAGTGGGCTCTACGCTTTCTCTTTCTTGACTTGTTTGAATCACAGAAAGCATTCTAGCGCTGGTTTTTCCTTTCAGCGGTGCTCTTAAGAACACCTGCATAGCACCCTCTTCCTAGTGTGCACTCATTGTCAAACTATATGAGCTTATGGTTTTTACATTTGTTTACTTCAAAACAGTTGGAAAAAGCCATACTAATTAGGGGTGTGCGAATACTCGAATATATGAATTCGAATCGAATAGCAAGTTCCCAAATAATTCGATTCGCGAATCGAATTCCTAGTATTCGGGCCCTCGAATATTCTATATATTCGGCCAAAGACGCGCGGTTGGCGCGGAGCTGACAAAAGAGCCCTTTTATCTCCCGATGTTAGTGCCGTGATGTTCGACAAACCATGCGAGAAAACCCCCTTGGTCCTACCACTCCACAAAAATTTAACGCACAGGTTAAAAAAAGAAAAGTAACGAATGCGACAAACTTTATAGCACGCAAATTTACTCATGATCATGACGTAATCTAACCTTGAACCACAACCAAAACATCAGATTTGCGCCACTTCCAGAGAGGAATGGTTTGGAGGCCGGAATTCCACAGCATGCCTAATTCTTTTCACGAGTAAAGCCCCTCATTTCAAACTGAAGCGCCGATGTAGACTACACTTGCCACACTCGCAGAAATCGGCGACTAAGATCACAAAAAAAACAAAAAAAACACGTTAACCACGCCGATAAAACCAGCCGAGTTGTCGTCGTTGTTCTTTTGGAACCGCAAGGAACGGAAAAATAGTGTGCCTAGATTTCAGAGGGTTTCCGATCGTTCGATAGCCGTGTTTGAATTACGTACTGTGAGAAGGTGACGAAAAGACGAAAGCGTTGATCAAGCAGGCGTCGTCACTCCTCCGTTTGCTCGCCTTCTTTCCACGCGACTACACAACACATGTGCACTTACGACCAATCTGCGCTGGAGTCGTCTCCGTGGTCTCAGTTTCACTTGCTCCCTCTTTTAAATCTAGGCTCTCTAAAACAGGATAGATAAACGGAGGAATGGATGCATAGCGGCAGTTGGACGGTGACTTGCGCCGCCTAACCACATGTTTTTTTTTCTTCAGATTGTATTGCTCACCCTGTTTACTTCAATTTAACAGCTATCTTTTATTTATAAAAAATAAAATCCCGGGTCCCCTTTTTCTCTTAAAATTGAGATCAAATATCTCAAAATGCAACTTTTCTGAGATATATAAATACGAAAAAAGGACATGTCACATCGCGCTTTTAACGAGAAAAAAAAAAGGCACGCGTGGCTGTAAATGGTTTTTTGTGATGTTTAGGGGTAAATAGATTATGTTTGCGCCATAAAATTGGATCTTTAGTGCCCAACATCCATGAGCAGCTGCTTTTTTTTTTCACCAGAACTTGTATACATTTTAGCTTTTGTTTTGTATGAGATGGCATATTCTGCACCAGGCGCATACTCTGCACATATAATAATCTCCTTCACAGCACACTTTGAAAAATTTCTACGAATAAAATCACTATTTGATATTCAATTCAATATTCGGCTTTTTTTCTTAATTCGATTCGGTATTCGATTTGATAACCACTATTCGGTATTCGCACACCCCTAGTTACGAGTGACAAAACGAGCGGCACGTTTTATCACTGGCGTGCTACTTAAACAGTGGGGTTTCATTCGTCTCCCCCGTGACGTGGCCACGTTTGCAGGCACGCAGAACGACAGCGTCTTTGATAGAAGTTCCGAGCTTCACCAGGAGCAACAGGAGAGTCCCGCCAACGGTGCCGCCACACGGCCGCCGCCCGTAGCCCCACTGCCGCCGCACGAAGGAGGCCGGCTGCCAGACGACGGCCCTCAGCGTGAAGAGGTGAAGGGGGCTCAAGAGAAGACCTACGGCCCGTAATGGGGACCCAAAGCAACTTCCGAGCACTATTTGGCCGTAAAAAAGAAATTGTACAGACAGACCAATGAATGGAGTGGAAACTTTTCACAAAAAAAGTTTTCAGAAAAAGAATGTAAACTTAAAGGAAACCCGTGTTTTCTTTCTATGCACGGGGAGGAAAACGGCCAAAACTGTCCGGCTGATGCTGCCATTTGCAGACTGCGCGACATAAAGCAAAAAAGTGAAAGCTGCTTTGAGATGAAAAACTGAAAGCAGATTCGAGCTTGAGTGGCATCATCTGCAAGTGGCAGCATCAGCGAGACGATTTTTGCCGTTTTTCCCCTTGTGCATAAAAAAAAACAAAGCAAAAGAACTAGTTTTTTCTGAAACATACACTCGTATAAATGCGCTGCCTTAAGACGCCTTTGGGAAAAGTTTCAATCTTCATTGATTCATTGGTTTATTTGTACAAAGTATTTTTTTACATCTGAATGGTCTAACGTTTTGTACACATACATACTAGCTTGCGCTGACTTCACCTGGCCTGACATAATGAGGGAAAGGGCACATGAGAGGGTAGCTTTCCTAAATTAATGAGACGCTTCTGGCCACCATAAAGAGGGGAGGACTCGCGTCACGTGCAAGCTATGTATATCAGGGTGTCTAGCGACCGGGAATTGTCAGGGAAATTTTAATTACCGGAAAAAATCAAGGAATTGTCAGGGATATTGTCAAAAAGCGAGCCCAGTCAGGGAAAATGAGCCAGAAACGCCATCGAGTGCCCTGAGCAAAGACTTGAGGACTTGGGGACAGAAAAATAGGCAATAAATTCTGCTTAGAGCGGAGCACGGGCTCTACTTACCCTATGTATAGTCTGCTACACAATTCAAAGGGAACAGCTGACAAATCCAGAGCAAGGCTTGGGTTGGATTGGTGTGGATTGAGGGCTCGACACTAGGCTAGATCCAGTTATAGCTACTAGATTTAGTAACAAATTGGAAAGCCACAGACCCCAATCCAGTTCAAGCCTTAAGCCGAAAGTATCCAAAAGCGGCAAGAAAGTGCTTGTTTAATCTGGACTGGACGAAATAGAATATTTTAAAATATGCAAGTTAGATTAAGCCCGTGCAAAGTAATCTTCACAATGCTCAATGCTCAATGCCTTGTGTTGTAATGGTCTTGTATATTTAACTGCCTCTACAGTGGTCAGGGAATTTCACCTGAAATTGTCAGGGAAAACCTGGAAAAGTCAGGGAAATTCAAGATAATAATTTGCTAGACACCGTGTATATATAGAGTGTTTGACTTTAATTCAAATTGATCTTTCTAAAAAAGTGGTTGGTGACTGGTAGATAGTCTTCATTGCATGTGTATTGGATACAGTGGATATTAGATGAGAGCACAACCGTCACAGTTTGTAGCCTGATCAACAAATATCTGTTTAAACCATTCTTTAATTAATGGCTTGATGGATCATGTTGCAGTTGGTTTTGTTTGAATTAATTGTCAGAGGCTAGATTAATTTAAACCATTCGTTAAAAGGTGGAGGGTTTGGGGATATTCATTGATCGGTTCTTGCATCTCTGCCGCCCGATTTTGAAATTGGATGCAGAAAGAGTGTCGGATGTTCTTTCACAAAATTATGCTTAGGAGTATGACAAAGTGGTTACTGGCGCCTCGTCACCATCTTGACGGCCTTTCCTTGGGGGATGTGCCAAGGGCGCACTGCCCAGAATGTGATGAGGTGCCAGAAACTCCTTCTCTACGCACTCCTCTACGCACGAGTGTGGAAAGGGCGTGCTTTGCTTTTTACAGGGGAGCTGTTAAGGGCTAGTTTCCCCAGGATCGTTTCCCCTGCAAAGAAATGTTGACACAAAACTCTGGACAGCTACCGCCATGTATGAGTGACGGCGGCAACCAGACAATCAGCTTGCCGGCCTTGCTCATAGATGGCGACAACCTTTCCAGCCTTTCCACTCTCGTTTTCACCAGAGTGGAAAGGCTGAATTTCTTCATGCGTCGTCCAGATGTCGTCCTCGAGGTCGTCTTAGAAGTCGTCCTTGAGGTTGTCCTAGACGTCTTCTTTGAGGTTGTCCTAGACGTCGTCCTTGAGGTTGTCCTAGACGTCTTCTTTGAGGTTGTCCTAGACGTCGTCCTTGAGGTCGTCCTGGAAGTTGTCCTTGAGGTCGTCCTCGAGGTTGTCCTCGAGGTCGTCCTAGAAGTCATTCTTTAAGTCATCCTCGAGGTCGTCCCAGAATTCGTCCTAGGCGTTGTCTTCAAAGTCGTCCTTGAGGTTGTTTTAGACGTTGTCCTTGAGGTTGTTTTAGACGTCCTTGAGGTCGTTTTAGACGTCGTCCTTGAGGTCGTTTTAGACGTCGTCCTTGAGGTCGTTTTAGACGTCGTCCTTGAGGTCGTTTTAGACGTCGTCCTTGAGGTCGTTTTAGACGTCGTCCTTGAGGTCGTTTTAGGCGTCGTCCTTGAGGTCGTTTTAGACGTCGTCCTTGAGGTCGTTTTAGACGTCGTCCTTGAGGTCGTTTTAGACGTCGTCCTTCAAATCGTCCTAAACGTCGTCCCTGAGGTCATCCTTGAGGTCGTCTAGATGTCGTCCCTGAGGTCGTCCTCTAGGTGGCGTCCTCGAGGTCGTCTGGAAGTCATCCTTGGGTGTCGTCCTTGAGGTCGTACAAGAAGTCGTCCTTGAGGTCGTCTGACCATAGTACAGCTTCGTTGGTCTTCCTTCTTCACCAGAGTGGAAAGGCTGAAAGTTTTTTTTGCACAGATTTCTGGAATCGGGAGACAAAAACCCCGATAAAACTGATCAGTGACTGTCTCAAAGCTTGTTAGATTTTGTAAAATTTTCCAATTGGCTTAGCCTTTAGGTTTTTTTATTTCTGTCGGTACTGCAATTGCAACATGACCCATCAAACCAGAATAATAATGATCCTTATGTTAAGGCGCCTAGAAACAATGGCGATGTTTTTTTTATTTGTGCATCTCCACTAAAACACTAAGAGCAAGAAAGGAAAAGAAACATAATCACTCTTAATATGACCTACTTGGATCGACAAAAGCAAGCTGTCTTCTAGGGACGAAGGCGGCATGAAAACGACTCGTTGAAACGTCCCAAGCCTGGTAGGCTCTTTGTCCGTCGTTGAACTTTCAGACACGCTTATGCAAGTTAATACAAAATGCAGAAATGATGTTTAGTTCGAAACTACTGAATCGCTGAACAAGGGGGAGAAATGGGCCGATACAGAAATGTTTAGAACTAGAGTTGCAATACAGCGACTGTAACCGAGAAAGGGACAACCTGTTGCATGGTGAACGAATATCAAAACAAACAAAAAGATGTCTGGTAGAGTAAAGATGTACATGAAAACTAATTTTGCGGAAGAGTCGAGCCAGGCCAGTACCACTATTTGAATCTTGTGTAGAAACAGTAAGTTACAAACCTCCCTTCTCTTAGACACAAGCAGAAGAGATAACTTTTGCAGTAGGTATGAGGGTTGGGCAAATATTCTAATTTACCCTAGTAGTAGTTTTGAATAACATGCTCCGATATTTGCCTCGAGATGAACTGCAGTATTCATACTTATCAAAGTGTTGATTGCGGCAGGCTAGCCCTTTTGAGCTTCTTGCAGAGAACTGTTGCACTGCAAAGCAATACCCGCGGGGCTAGCTTTGCCAGAGCGTAGCCGCGCGTTTAGCGAAAAAAGAGCGCCTTCAATGCTGGATGGTGTGTTTAAAAAGAAACTGAGACTTTGCAAATACTTTTATCTACATTGCAGTAAAATGTTCAAAAGGAAATTGTGAGTATTATATGAGTGTTAGGCAGCCATGTCTTGATAATCTGCATTAATCATTCATGCTTATTTTTTTTACCCTAATTTGAAACAAGAAAGGATATTTGCACATAGCAAGAAGAGGTATAAATCTCAATTATTTTATGTCAAATTCGTTGTGTACTTGCCACCCCATGTGGACAGTAGAGTTTTTGAGGCTGCAGTTCATAAACATACATAGTTATATTAAAGGAGCTGTGCAATAATTTCAGGGCTTTGCTTAAGGGGGGACATGGCCTGGGAGGGTCAACTTTTGAACCATTGTCTCAAAGTGATTCAAACTTTCAGGGTGAATTGAACCCCATTAGGATTGATGACATCTAAAGTTTCAGCCTTATAGGCCAATTCTACTGCATACTATGCTTAGCAAGCTCCAGAAAAAAGTTACTTTATTAGGAAATGTATTTAAGAAAAATAATAATTGAAATCCACAAAATGTTTAGTTTAATGTGAAGTAGAATACCCATAGTGCAAGTTAAGGTAAAAATTAACTGTAGAAAATGTGATTCTAGCGAAAAACAATAACACCCAAAAAGAGCGAACGATTTTAACAAATTTGTGAGTTTTAAAATATTCAGTTTTTGTCATGAAGAATTTAGCATTTTCAGATTATGAGTACCTTAACTTGTTCCTCAGGAAATTTGAGTCAAGGACAACACTGAATGAAATCTTTACACTTTCAAAATGTCCAATGATACATTTCCTCATACCACATTTCCTGCCAAAAAGTGAAACTGAGAAAAATGCATTTGAAGTTTCAACTTTAGGTTTCTTTATTTTTTATGAGTCCGAGGTAGGCAAAATTCACCTGGAGCATTGTTAGCACCTTCGTCTTTGAGCATCTGTTGTTCCCCTGGCAATAGCTACCAGTTTGTGTTGTTTGTAGGCATGCTAACTTTTGTAGCAGGCATTCCCTGACAGATAAGCTGAGAGGAACTAAGAGGCAAATCACACTGAGAAAGAGCAGCAAAGCAGGAATAGGATCTGAAGTGGAAGGTACTGTAAAGGGGCGTTAATGACGACGACAAAATATGACGTCACCGGGAGGGACCAACCATAAACCCTGTTTCAGGTGTCAACCAATAAAATTGCTCATACCAAATTTTCAGGATTTTTTCTTTTTGGATGTATTGGGTCCCCCTGGCCCTTGATACTTGTAAACTTCGAAAGCTTCTACGAGCTAGATCTAGAGTAAATGGCACTTCCAATGAGGGTGAGATGTTCTGGCTAGGTTAAACGAGTATGAAGCAGTGCTAAATAAAAAACACAAAAAACTTGCTTCCTGCTGACTTGGAGGGCTGCCGACATGTCGAAAATAATTTATTCTGAGATAAATCCTGCATGTTTTTAAATGAAAGTTTCTGAAACCATTCTTTGGAAGTTAATAAGCATAAACATATCATTTTTGAAAAAAACGTTTTTTTCTGAAAATTTTGAATTCCGAGGCCATGTCCCCCCTTAAATAAATGTGTAAGTTGATGCCTGACACTTCTGAAGTGAACTACAGAAAACAGATTTTGCCTGGATACCTTAGTTTTTATTTTAAAAAATGAAAACTATGCAGGTTTTCGCCGCCTCTCAACTTCTACGTCGTCTTCCGGGTCACGTGCGCAGTGACGAGTTCTTTTTTTAAAACCATCAGTGAGCAGCGAGAACTCATCCGCTCGCGACCGCGTGACCACGTGCTGACGGGCGCCGCGCGAACAATATGGTGAAAGGAGGAAAGTTCCATCCGGGTCCGGCCATACCTGTCTGGCCCTGTCCCCCTCTCCCTTCGGCTTCTGGCGGCTGTTCGCGGTAGCAGATAGAGCTGATCGTTTTGTGGACCTAGGATAGATGGCGCCACTAAAACTCCGTATAATAAAAGTTTTGTCGGTGATACCAGGTTTTTGACGCATTTATATATATGTTGGAACGACAAGATTTATAGAAAAGTTACGTTTTATCGAGCAGGTATTCGCACAACTTGCTATCTTTCTACAAGTTTCCCCATGGACGTCATGCCGCGTGTTTCTCATGACCGCCGCTCGCGGCTGCAGGTCACGGAATATTCTAAGTTTTGCTTCGCTATTACGCGGCGGAATCGCAACATTTCGATGAAAGGTGTGTTTTCTGTCATTTGTGACAAGGTGAACAATATCAAAAGCAGATGCCAATTCTTTCAACGTTAAAATCGTTGCACAGCTCCTTTAAAAGTAACTGAGCTTAGAAGTGGACAAGTGGAAGTTTGGGAACAACCCTCACAAGTTCTCCTGGATTTTCATTTACACATGGTGCAACAGTAGTGAAATGCTTGGAAAAGTATTAGATATTTTTTTTGAAATTTTTTGGCCAAAGCTGCTATTTGTTTCAAACTCTCTGCGTAGTAGATATTTAGTCATGATAAAAATGCCACTCTAAATACCTATAATAGCTAAATACCTGTTTTCTTTTCCTTCAATTTAAAGTTTAATCTTTCCGTACTACAGCGTCGGGTCTTACATTATGATTCATTATCACCAGCCCACCTGCACACACACCATTTTTTTCACCATTATTCTAAATACTTGTTGTATGCACCTTTTTTCGTTTAGCCTTGTACCCAGCCACGTTGTCCCCATATCCGGTATGCGTTCCGAAAAAAAACAAGCGATTTCGACCCGGAAAAAAAGAAAAGTATGGAAAGGACATAACAAGAAGGAATGACGGTTGTTATTAAAATGTTAACATGTTCTACTGGTGAGGCGAGAGGAAAGCGACGTTTTCACGCATACCAGAAGTTCATGAAATCAAGATGGCGGCGCCCACGTAGAAAAGGCCTGTAGACAAATATTTTATAAATATGATAAATAAATTTTTTTTTTTTTTTCAGGAACACTTAGTTTTTTTGTTTTTTTAGCCATTTGCTATCAGAAACACAGGCCATGACCTGTGTCATGGCCTGTGCTTCTGATAGCAAATAGCTAACAAAAAGTAAATGTGTTCCCAAAAATTTTTCATCAGACACAAATTCAAGTTGTGACCTTGCTAAAGAGTGGAAAAGCTGAATGGGGTTCCTAAAATTTATAAACAAGGGTGATACAACTGCCAATATTCTCATCATGCCACCCACAACAAAAGAAACAATTCTTAAATGTTAAGGCACTATGAAGACACATGCCAAAATCTTTCACAAGAGAGATGTGCTTCACTGGCATTTCATTGAGATAACCAATAGCAGTATGATACCAACACAATAAGCACATAAGAGCACCGCAAATGAAAAAGTTAATGACCAAATTGTAGTTAATTTGTCCACTGATCGCGATGGTTAGCCCCCCATCTAGCATCCGCCAAGACTTGTACACGTGCAGTGAAGACGTTATCCAAGTACTGGTCCCATCCTTTTTTTTTCCAAAAATCAGTATGAATGCAAAATTGGACACCATGTATAAGTGGGAAGAGTACTCTATGTTCCTGTATTCTTTCGTATCTGGTAATAATGAATTTTTTTATTAACCCTTCGTCTGCTGAGGACCAGCCTTGCTCATTCAGTATTGTTTTCACTTCCTTAGCAATATTACGCTTCATTTTACCTGGCAGTGCTGTAGGGCTAGGGCTACAGTGCGGGCGTCTTGCTTTGAAATGACGCAGGGGCGACGTTGCCCGCCGCAAACAGGGTTTCAGTTTCGGCTTGTGGTAGGCTTGAAATAAAGATTGCGCGAAAAACATTAAACTTTTCTGGGAAGAGATGATGTAGAATCGTTTATTACTACTACCTCGGATTATACAATAATCAACCATTAACCCAAATTTCTCGGAATTCAACGTAGTTGCCTTCTAATTTTGTCCACTTCGCTTGCTTTGACCCTTATGTTTCGTTCCTTGTATGTGTTTGTTGGTTGTATTTTTTGTACAAACGTTTAGCCATTGAATTGAGGTGAACATGCTGTCATAAGAACCGGCCAATGGCGCCTGAAGGGTTCAAGGTGGCTAAAGCAATGTGTCATGCAGGTGGCAGCAGCCCTGTCGACGCTGAGAGGGGAGGTGGATGACGGCTTCGAGAACGTCCATCGGCACCTGAGCCACTACGAGTTCGTCACCACGAGGCGGCACCTTGCTTTCAGGGTGAGCCGACAACGCACGACGTGTCGGGGAAACATGGGTTCGTTGTGGGGATTTCAGCTAGTGGGCTGTTTGCATGGCCAAATTTAGGAACTCTTAGGAAAGTAGGCTCCAGCCTAGCAGGCAGATAGCTAAGGAATTGTCATTACCCTTTAAATGCCGAGCTACTTCTTTTCCCTTGCATGCTGAATGCAAATTTTGGACTGACTAGCAATGTAGCATGCTCCATGAAAAACATTTTTAAAGGGCACACAATTTTTATGGGCAAGAAGTATATTGACGTCTGCGTGGATCCAACCTACAGTAGGCTCGATAATTCAAACTCGGATATTTCATACTTCCGGTTAATTCAAACAAATTTAAAAATTTTGCTTGTCCCGCTATGTTTTTAATGTATTCATAAACCGTTTAATTCGAACAGCGTTTTCATGTAATTCACATTTGTTGAGTGCGCTTCTTTCCGAGCATTGGTGCACTGCAGAAAGGCAACATTGGTGCACGGTGAGAAGCACACTCAACGGGGCTCAAGCCGGGCACACGTGAGCTAGGAAATCGGGCACCAGACGGAAATTTCCACAGCAACTTGTCCGGACGCTATAACGTGGCGGCATGGCATAGGTTCGCGTCACAGCGTCCGTGCAAGTTGCTTTGAAAGCTGCTGCGCAATGCCCGTTTTCATGGCTGATGTGTCCCCTGCCTGATAGTTTACATTAGACTATACCTGTTTTCACCTCAAGAAGCATAGGAAAAAACGTCCGGCTTCTCGCGGATGATTACTAATTTTCACCTTTATGTGGAGATTTAAGATATATTTATTAGCATTTTAGAGTGGATACACGTTAACTTATCAAGGAGTACACGTTTCAAACGCCAAAAGCATCGCCTGTGCCTCCGACAACCAAATCTGGCGAGAACTATTTCGCGCGGCGTATGAACAATGCGCAAAACTTACTGTTTTCTTAAGGTAAAAACGGGTATACTTGGCCTGATAAACAAACCTAATCTTTTTTTTAGTTGTCACGTGATGTCAAACAGACCATGATAAACTACATTTCTGAGGGACAAATAAACTTGCGTCTTTTATTTCACAAATGTTTAATGCATGGCATACCTGCTTATGATCAGTAGGCCTATGTGGAGGAAATCATAAAATATATCTCTTGTATGTGTAGCCATTCATATGGGAAATCATAGTTTTATCTTGCATCTTATCCAAATGGATTTTTGATAATTCAAACAAAATTCATGGCTTCCTGAAGTTTGAGTTAATGAGTCTACTGTATGACATATTTCTTGTACAGTCAAGCGCCTTTAAAATGAATGCCTCTACTTCGAAAACGCCTGTTTAACCGAGTAAAATAAAGTCCCGACCAATCTCCTGTGTTTAATGTGTTTCTCCCTCTGCTACAACAAATTCCTGTTTTAACAAACATGTCTGTTTAACGAAGCAATTGCGTGACCCCACAAAGCAAGAACAACCAGTATTATGAATTTTCTAAGTTAAAAGTAATCGATTTTATATAAATTATTACTCTCAATTGATGTGTGTAGAGAACAGAAATACCGCAGCAGCGAAGACAGCTCAAGCCGCCGCCGGGTTTAGGTTTAAATAATTTGTCTGCACAACATTGTGTCTAGATGGCACTGTGTAGGTGACTGCATTACCGCATAGGAAGCCTGGACGCAGCAACGTAGTCACATAGAACCCTCTAGACATAAGGTTGCATGCTAAAAATTATTTGTACCCAAAACCAAGAATGCGTGGTGCAGTGGCAGCAAAAGCGGCACGACGAATGCGGCTCTGCCCCCGTTGTGCGCGCTCGTGGATGGTTTTGTTTTGCTCGCACCATTGATTATGCGCCACTCCGCACCAAAATGAGATTTCTTTCAACGCTCTGTCTGGGCAATGCGTGCACTCGTTTCCTTATCTTGCGTGTACGTCGGTGCGTTCGGGAGGACCCCCGCGTATGCAAAAGTATACGTATATATAAAAAGCATTTTCATGCTCAGTAGCAACCTTTTTATGCCGCTTTGGAATTTGTTCGACCGACGCTCGACCGACGCGCCAATCTTCGTTGGGATCCAAGATTCACAATCTTGCTCGATCCGAGTACCAAATTGTTCCGCCTTAGTGCGATGATATGTAGTCGAGAAAACGTATTCTGCGACTTTACCCGTGACGACAAATCTAAGCGAAATCGGTAGATCTAAGCAAAACAAGAAACGCACCCTGCTCCTTGTGCCGGACAGATGCGAAAAAGAGCTCGGTCGATTCTGCTGTGCTGCTAGGAAGCCACAATACTGCTACGGTAGTGCTTCCGCGGCTGGTACTTCCGCTCTTACGAGGGCAGTGCAGACGCTTGGACGAATGACACGTGGTGGCGCAAGCCGCTGCCCGATTTAGAAAAGGCCAAGTTCACAGTCGGCGAAGGCACCTCATTTGCCGCAAGATTGGGGGTCAGTGTCAGTTTATTGATTGTTGCCATTTATAGTTTGATTAGTCAGTTAAGTTTGTTGTGTAGGAGTTTGGACAGAGGGAAATAAGTCTAGAGCAAGGAGCGCCTGGTGTCTCGGCTATAGATGACAAGCTTTGCCAGTGGCGGTACTGGCAGTAGGACTGGTGCGACTGCTAGCCTTGTGTCCTTAAATTGTGTCACGTAGTAAATAAAGTAGACGAACACGTGCCAATGCAATTTTGATTAAGAATTTCGGTTCTGCAGTACGAACTTTCGCCCCATGTGCTCCAAGCAGCAATGTGCTAGCAGGATCGGCAACCGTTCTCCCTTTTCATGACCCGACTGTCAACGTACAAAGTACAAAACCTTGTTTCTGATGTCGCTCCTACTATATTTGGTGTTATACTTCCTAAAACACCTCGAATGTTGCACAGGTACGTCAACATGCGACGGCACAAATTCGGTTTCGTGCAATAGATTCTTCGCGCTCATTTACTACAACGAAGTTGTACTTCTACTACGAGAAGTTTCACCTGTCCCACGGACTTAGTTATAAACCTTTTCATCCCCCCTCACATGGGCGCTGCCATCTTGGGATCACGTGACGCGGCAGCCATTAGGTTGCTTCAACTTCTTGCTCCGCTCCCCCCCCCCCCCCCCCCCCGCATCTTGGCGGATGCGTTGTATTCGTGTTTTTCGTCGCGTTTCACCGCGCTTTCTTGCCTTCGGAAACTGTAGTCCGATACGTCTACTCGACGACTAAGACATTACGAGGGTTCAAAGGTCCTTGTGACAACTGAGGTTTGTTTCTTAATAGTGGCGGAACATTCACAATTCACAATAAGAAGCGCGTATATTTATATCACGCATTGATCGGAAGTCGTCAAAGTCAGCGCAAGGAGATTATCTGTATTTCCTGACAGTATCGTTCTTTGTATTCATAATATATAGAAAACAGTTTCTGTTGATTATGTGAGGAAACTCGTAGAGGAGATAGACAATGAACGTTTAATTTGTATTTTATCTGAAGCTAGGAATAATGGTACGTCAGCATCAGGCTATTTGTTTGTTCATAGTGTAGCACCTACATGTGTATGAGGTTCTCAATTTATTTTTATTTTTTTTGCGAAGTAAACATTTGGTTGGTCGGTTCACTTGTGAAGTTTAAAAAATTGTATACCGTGCTCGCTCCTGTTTCGACAGTAATTTAACTGATTTATTGATTATCTTTAGATAATCCATACCTGCCAACTCTTCCGAATTTTTCGTAAAATGTACGAATTGGGACTAATTTTATGATTTTACGAATTAGTGTCGTGATGTAGGCGAGTTGGTTCATGGTAACGGAAATAAACAGCGCGCAAAAAATACACAGGACGAAAGGAAGGTGTGAACGACACAAGCGCTGAACTCACAACTAAACATTTATTGAAAAAAACACGAACGAAATAAACTGCACTATCGCTTCAGCACGTGTCAAGATAGGTAATTTCTTTTTTGTGAAGAAAAACCAATGTTTGGCTGACGCATGCATCTTGCCCCGCTTTTGTTATTGCATACACTTCCAATAATTCTCTGGTAGTTTTATCTGTGCCCCTCCCGATGATGGTGATGTTATTGAATTGGGGCTGGCATTTACAGGCAGCACAATGCAGAGGCAAGTGACCCCCAGCGGTCGACCGGAGTGTCCAGTCATGCTCACGTGCCCTGTCATTAATGCATCGGCCAGTTTGGCCGATGTACACTCTTCCGCAGCTTAGTGGTATCTTGTAAACCACCCCCACCACACAATCAACATACTTGTTCCTGTGCCTTACGGCACATTGGCTCCTGCCCCTAGCCTTATCCGCAATTCTAGGGCAGAGTTGCGCCAACTTTCGTGGCGCCGAAAAAACAACAGGAACGTCAAACCGCCCGGCTACCTTTTTCAAATTGTGCGAGAGTTTGTGCATGTAGGGGAGTACCTGGGGCCTGGTTGCGGGTCTCTCTTTTTTCTGACTTGACCCTCCCTTAAGGGGAGACACTGCCCAGAAAAAAAAAATTTCTGCAAAAAAAGTTGATTTTGAAAAATAACATATTTACGTCCACCAACATCTAGAGAGTATTCCCAAAAAGTTTAATTAATTTTCACTGCATAGTTAATTTTTTATAAATTATTTTCTGTCTGCCAAAGCTAAAGAAAAGGTAGGGTTTAGAGCACTTTGAACACATTTTTCTCCGTTCCACTTTTTGGTATAAATTCCATTTTAGTCAATCTATTGTTTTATAATGGCAACACAGAGAAGGCTCGTTCTTCACTTTTCCTGACTGAAATTTAACAAGGAGTGCGGCTATGGAACTTTTTTGGCACTTTACGGGTGTCTTTTATAAAAAATGTTGACATTTTGTTGAAGACACAGAAGACCAAAAAGTTGACCAATTTTGCAGAAGAGAGAAGTTATAGAAATAAATTAGTTTTTAGAAAAAAATGTCCCATAGCCGCACCCTCTAGACATTCTTCTACATATCTAGCAAATAAAAATCTTGAATATTGGGATAGTTTTCTGACGATAGATTAACTAAACAATGTAGGCGTGTTGCTGATAGAAGCTACTCTAATTTCCTTCTCATTTAACCGACAGACCAGAAATTTTGTTATACACCCTCTAGCGTGACCACCAGCCTACCCTGCAAATTTAATTAATTTTAATACTAGAGTTCAAAAGTTGACCCCCCTAAGGGGTGTGTCCCCTTAATCTCTTTTAGCAACGTCTGCGCCACTGCCAGAATAACTGACTCTGGGAAGCCGGCATCCGTCAGCCGCTGTACCTGCATCTTAAAACTTTCTGACATTGAATGGTAGCAGGACTTTTCCAAGGTAGTCTGGAGGCAAGAGGACGCAATGCTCCTTTTTACTAGTTTAGAGTGGGCAAAATCATAAGGGAGAAGTCCCTTCTTAGAGCATGGTTGGTAAAGCCAACACACGTGACTTTCTTCAAAACCTAGTCTAAGGTCTAAAAATTGGAGGTGTGCCCCATCCTGTAGTTCATGGGTAAACCTTAGCCCCCCAGAGTGCTGAGCGAACACATCCAACACTGCTTTTACAGTCCTGTCCTCAGGGGCACCTCGAGACCTTCTTGTGACTACTAGATAATCGTCAACATATCTAAAAACTTTTTTAACACACTCCTCGTCTAAGTTTTCATTGATTGCCCGATCACATTTAGCCAGGAAAATGTCACAAAGTACCGGTGCCACACAAGAGCCAATGCAAATTCCTTCTTTTTGCACATAGTAGCCATCGTCATACATGATTAATGTCGACTGCAAATAAAACTTCAGTAGTTCCATAAAACTTCAGTAGTTCCATAATTTTACGAATCTTGCTTCAAATCTTACGAAAAATATATATATATATATTTTTTTTTGTAACTCCGTTGTTGGCGGTATCTTGCACCACCACAAGAGGACGATAGGTACCGTCCACATCAGCGTTGTGGTTTTTACTATCCGTCTATCCGGTAGCCACGGATTGAAAACCAATCCAAAGCTCAAAGCCTTTGTTTGTGTGTTCGGCGGTGCACGAGTGCAGGTTGGTTCGGCGTGTTCAGACGTTGTTGGGCCTCGTTGCTTCGGCCAGTTTCGAGGCGAGAAGTACGGCGTCTGTGTTTGTTGCACGTGTAACTGTAGCATTCTCCTGGTCACTGTGGCTTCGCGGCGCAATGCCGAACTCCAAACCTCGAAAAAGGTACTTTCAGGTGTTCCTGAAGTCCTACACGTCGAAATTTTCGTGCTTCGTGCCGCCCAAAAAGCGAGAGAAGTTTGGATGCTGTAGCACGTGCACGTGTGATGTAAGCGTTTTGCACGCTGGCCAGGCTGACATTAAGCTGCACATCGCTTTGCGTACCCCCCCCCCTCGCCGCGGCCGCGGGACTTTTTACGAATATGAAAGTCCGCAGGTTGGCAGGTATAGATAATCAGTTCAATCTGCCTAATTTCTTTTAACACAAAGGTCGGGACTTTCCGCGTAAGAAACTGCAACAGGCAACTTAACAGTAGCGAGTTTGAGAATTGCACAGACAAAGGGTAACGTCGTTTCTATTAGCAAATCCAAAACGCGGTTTGGGCTTGGCACAAGCGCAGAAATAATTTTTTTTGTGTATTGTTTCAATGTTTGCCCGGTCTGCAATATTTGACGCCGAAAAAAAAACAAAAAACGTCAGCATAACAATCACCCGAGTCCAGAATTGTCGATGGCGAATAGAGGTTTACTTTTGGAGGCTGGCGACGCCGAAATTTACAAAGCGAATATGTTCAAGCAAACAAATATTTGTTCACACCGGCCCGTGAAGTGGTGCCTAGCGCTAGAATTCAGCCAAACTTTCCGAGGTACTTCTCGTCCTGCACCCTTTAATTTTATTTAGCCAATTTTACGGAACACAAATGCCAGATTTAATTTGACGGGCCTGTCGCTTGAGAAAGCAAATGTTCATATAAAAATAATTTATTTCCTAGGGCCAATATCGTGAAGTGCTGCCTATGAGTACTTTAGCAGGATTGATAATTTAAGAAACTTCTTACTCAGCCTAGGTTGCACTGTCAAAATATGTTTGAATACTGACTTAAAAAAAAGCGAGTTCATCTGGTCTGCTTGATTGAGCACATTGCTAATCAAGCTGTCGATACGCTTCTTTACATTCACGTGTTAGTCTCTTCATTAGTTTGGTTTTCTGGAAACTAGTGTCACCGGTTACGACCGTAGACGATGGTAATCTTCCCTGTACATCAGTCAGGCGTTTTACAACCGATCATAATCAAACACATCAAGCCCGCAATTTAGGCTCAAAACACCTCGTAATCCTTAAGGTGGCTCAATACCACTGTTTCGTTGGTTGTGTGCTGCAAGAAAAAAATTGTATCACAAAATTAAGCAAAAACCACGTAAAGTAGCCAGATAGCAGCGTGCACGTTGAAACCGAAACCAACCCAATTTAAGCAACCTAATGGCGCCGAGTGTGTCAGCGCCCTCTATCCGCCGGTGAGGCAACTACTAAAGTAAAAAGGTCTCTAAAGGTGTTTGGATGTATTATACTTTAAGAGACATGGTACTACATGCACTGGCACCTCGACCTCGCACCTTGAGGTCAATTTTTTTTACCAACCTTACAGCCTTTGTTTATTTGTAGCTGTAACGTTCTTGTTTTCACATTTGTTGAATACAGAGTTTGTTAGTAATTTCCATAGCTTGCACGACATAGATTGCCGTTCTGCAAAACCGCAGGGGAACGTGCTTGTCTATGGTCGTGGTGGCAATCAAAGGGTCCAGAAATTTGTCCGTACACTATGCAGCTTGAAGAAAGCGGTAAAAGAAAAAGCCAGTTCTTTTGGCATTATCTGCAACGTGTATGTGCAAAGGACTTTTGGTCGAGTTTAAGTAGGTACCACGTCCTACCACCCAGCGATAATTTTTTTTTTTTTTTACAAGTGCCGTTATAATGTTTTTGGTTGTTTACTGCTTAACATAGTCTTCTACCACCTCTGCCTGTGTAGGTCAGTTAAAGAAATAGGGAAGACTTATAGTAGTTTTTTGAGGGGCTCTCTAATGAGGGCTCTCCGTCCTAGAGGCAGTATTGCCTCAATGCAATCTACCAGGAGGTGTATTTGTATTTTTCGGACCGGCTTTTTATTTTGAGTATTTAAACCGTGGTCGGCTGCGAACCACATTCGGAGACCTGCCCGCTTCGATGCCCGGTAACGCCGTCGTCCGGTTTTTTTTTGCGCACAGAGGGAGGTGCAGGGAATGCTGCAGCAGATCTTCGAGGAAGTCCTGGCCATACGAAGAAACTTGGAGGAGATGCAGATGGACGCATAGCATTTTTAAAATATTTTTAATATTTAATACTAATACTACTTTTGCCCTTTGTACTTCGTTTTAAATAAAGACGTGCAATTTGTAATTTGTTTAGCGGAGTAGTATTTTAGGAACACTGAACCAGAGGGTTCGGAGTTTCCGAAATTCGGCTTCGGTGAAATTCGGAGTGTATTTTTCCGTCCACATTTCATTGGAAATTCAGTTTATTGGGTTTTACTTCTGTCAGTTTCCCGAATTCTTGCAATTATGTTACATTTTGAATTCTTCATAATTGTGAATACTAAGAACTATCCATGCGCAGATGCATCGGACAACATAGATAACTATTTTAATTGCGAGCAATGTTTATACTTGCGAGACCGTTGCTTCGACTGTTATACAAGCGCCGCCCCCTCCTGGCCGTAAGAATCCCAAGCGGTATGTCTAAACACGAAACAGAAATGGTAGCTAGCACGGCTGCAAGCTTAGATCGGCTTCCGTCTCGATCTGGAAAGGCGGCAATGTTGGCCAGCTTTCCTGAAAAGACGTTGACGTCAAGTTTCCATTTGTCGAATCTCCACGAGCTTGGCGGGGAAATTCTGTGGCCTCTCTTAAGGACCCCAGCTGACCTTAATCTACTAAAGTTGTCGTGAAGTGTACCACATATCTTTAAACATGAAATGTTTTTTTGGTGGAGCTCATCTCGAAATTCTGTCCGTCCGTGCATTTTACACTAAATTTAGCGGGGTAATTTATGTCGACAGCAGGTAATCTGATGTGACATGACCTATACGGATTAGTTTCTCCACGACAATTAGCGGGAAATATATGTCACGTGATGTGCATCGATTCCCTCTCCACCTGCTTCCAGTTGGCTCCCCTGTTGCTGTGTTGTTCATGAGCTGCGGCATCAAAGTCCCATGCCTACACTGGGATGACGTAAACAACACATTTAGCATAAAATGGAAACTGTAGAGATGCCCAGCTATTCCTAATCGAGGGGATTTATAAATCTTGCTATATGCCAATCTTCTGTCTGCAGTCTCAAATTTTGAAGAAAAAAAACAAACTCTCTAATGATGATTGCAGGTTGTCAGGGCATCTCGAAGACTCTTGCATAAGAGCCACCATTTTTGAAAAATTTACTGTAACGTAGGTATCAACATTTACAAAGTTTCCATTTCTTTTTAATTACAACAGGTGGGCACATGAACCATCCCGTTTTGAAAGTGCTTTTCTCCTAAGTGTGCGACTGCAATATTCATATTTTTCTAAATGTTGATCACAGTGGGTTAGCCCCTTTGAGCACGCTGCTTACCGAGCATCGGTGCACTGCAAAGAAGCAACACTTGCAAAGCAAAAGCTTTGCGGGTGTTGCTTCCCTGCAGTGTACCAGTGTTTCGTAAGAAACGCACTCGACGGGGCCAACTCGCCGCGATCAACACTTCGAAAAATAAGAATATTGCAGGTCATCTCAAAGTGAATATTGCGTAGCGTATCATTAGAAACTACCATTCGAATATTTGCACAATGTCGAGGTATGGACTAACAATGTAAGCTAATCCGGTGCTTCGCCACCTACAGTCAGATAGGTAAGCTAGTGTTGTCACATTTAAACCGATTTCATTCACGTCCTGTCCTTTCGGGAGCTGGTCAGAAAATTTTGATAAGAAAAAAAAGCCAGAGAAAACCTGGAAAAGTCTGAATAAATCCATAACATAATTTTAGGTAGACAACCTGTAAAGCACAATCACAGCTCAAAGCTTGTTTGCTATTTTTTTGCTGCATGTTCTGAAAGTTTGTCGGCCCGAAAGTTCTACAAAATATCCGAGAGCACGTTGAGCAGCAAAGTAAATGACCACATTCATATACAAGAACCTTGAAATCGTCCTGCATCTCCAGCTTCAAATTCCGAGCAGCAAAACTGGCTTTAACATTCTCTGATCCCCATCATCATGAATGTCTGTTTGTCCTCCCAGGAACTTCACACACTTTCCTCCATACAGAAAATGGACGTCTGTGGGGACAGACGGTCTTGTTGACGAATGATGGAACGACTAAGTGCCCAGGCAGCAACTTTCTTCGAGGAGGTCATCCAAAAGCTCAAATCAAATTTCTAATTTGGGGGTTTTACGTGCCAAACCAACGATGGGCATCTGGTATGCCCCAGCGGAGGACTGAGGATTAATTTGGACCACCTGGGGATCTTTTGACGTGCAACCGAAAGCTCGGTTACACGGCGCCTCCTCCGCAATAAGCCTCCGTCAGATTGCAGGCACCTCGGCCGGGATTCGAACCCGCCACATGGGGATCCGTAGGCCAGCGCTCTCGCCTCGGAGGCACCGAAGCGGCCATCCAAAAGCTCATGCTATGTCATAAGTGCCTCAGGCTGGGCGAAAATTGCGTGAAGAAGTAGCTACACTACATATTTAAATATTATGGATACTAAAACGTTTCCAGCGAAGCTGTTTATGGCTAGGGTTCCGTGGATTTTTCGTGTGTGTCAACAGAAGCTCGGAGAGGGCTCGCATCACCCTCTCTTTGTCGTCGTTCTAAGCACTTGCGTGCCTAATTTCCTTTCCTTCCGCCGGGTGGTGGTCCTGTCGCACATGTCTAGTTTCCTTCAGCTCCTCGGGGCGGCGATAGTCTTCGACACATGTGTGCGTACCTTTTATTTATTTACTATTCATTTATTATACCCTCAGGGCCGAAGCTTTACAGAGGGGGTGTGGGCAACGGAGGTACAAAAACGCTGAATATGGTTAGTCCGGCACAGATCATGTATAGTAACTTGTTAGTGCTTCTTTAGAGAACAAAATCGCCAATGGACGCAATGGGTGAGGGCAGGCCGTTCCATTCATGAGATGTTTTTGGAATAAAAGATTTGAAAAAAGAATTTGAGATGGAAGTGGGTATACCAACTTTGCAGCAGTGATCGAGGCGAGATGATACGTAGATGGGGGCACCGCTTAGTTGCTTTTTCAAGAGTGGATTGGCATAGTAAATTTTATGGAACAAACAGACGGGAGGTAGTGCGACGAGTGGAAAGAAGGGGCAGTGAGAGACTAGCTTTCATGGATGTGACGCTTGATGTACGATGGTAGTTTGATAATATAAAACGAGCTGACCGGTTTTGGATGGCTTCAAGCGCTGATATGAGGCTTTCTGCACCGGGATTCCAGACTGAGCATGCATATTCAAGTTTTGGTCGCACCAGTGTTTTATAAAGTAGTAATTTTAATGATGATGGAGCTAGAGAAAAGTTATGTCTTAAATATCCAAGCATGCGGTTACTGTTATTAACGATATATTCGGTGCGAGTCTTCCATGATAGGTCAGAAGAGATATGAACACCTAGATCTTTGTAAGTTGATACGTTTTCAAGGAGGTATTCGATAAGAAGTAGTTAGGACAGAGTGCTGCTTTGCGGGAAATCCTCATTGTCTTACATTTCATAATGTTTAGTTTCATGTGCCAAGCATCACACCAGGAAGAAATTGCATTTATATCAGATTGAATTGTGTATGTCAGTCATTAGTGATTTCACGGTAAACAATGCAATCATCCGCAAATACGCTTATGGAGGAGGAAATGCTAGTAGGTAGGTCATTTATGTATATTAAGACTAAGAGGGGGCCTAGGACAGAACCCTGTAGTACGCCGGACTCAACGAGGGATGATGACGATTTTTTGTTATTGACAGTTACAAATTGCGATCTGTTAGTGAGGAAACACTAACCAAGATAAGGTATATGGATCAATACTGAGTAGGCCAAGTTTGTATAGTAGTAGTTTATGCATTACCTTTTCGAAAGCCTTTGCAAAGTCCAGAAAGATGCACTCAGTCTGATATCCACGGTCCACAGCCGAGTGGAGGTTGTGGGTGAAAACCAAAAGCTGAGTATCGCACGAGAAAGATTTGCGGAATCCATGTTGAAAAGGGCTAAAGAAGGAGTTTCACTCCAGGAAACGTGAGAGCTGTGAAGAAATGCGCTCCATAATTTTGCAGGGTACGCTAGTAAGAGATATTGGCCTGTAATTTAAAGGGGAGAAACTGTCGCGATGGCCACCGATCAAGACAATAAATGTGTTTGTATTATTGTTCAAACTTCTGTGTCGTGTGCTAAACAGCTTCGCTGGTCATCCATCTTTCTCATTGCTCATCTTTTGTTACTCAGCCCATTGGGTTTAAAAAAAATCTCCCCTCATAATGCAAAGGTGCAAGTGAGCTGGACAAGAATGACAAAAATAATCCCTGGAGAAGGGGAACAAAGGACAAATGCAAATCAGATGTGTTTGTCCTTTGTACCCCTCTTCCCCTTCTCCAGGGATTATTTTCGTCGTGCCTTCATATCTTTCACACCTCAACGCACCCAGAATCGCCTGTACATCCTCCAGTATCCCACATAAATGTTCTAGAGATCAGCTCTTAGGTGTCCGTTTCACCGCTAAATGTAGTGGGGAAACTGAATATGCTGTGTTGCATTATGGGACGTTGCAGACCTACACACCAATTCACTTTCCCCGTTAAATTTAGCGGGGAATTGATTTGGTATCGAGGTCACAACATAAAATTTCCCGCCAAGTCTAGCGGAGAAACTGAATTTGTCCATAGGTGACGCAACACGAAGTCGCGCGACATCATTTTCCCCCTAAATTTAGCTGGGAAATTGAATTAGTGTTGGAGGTCACGTGGCATAAATTTTTCAGCTAAATTTAGCAGGGAAGCTGTGGGAGGAGGAGAGGGTATGGAAGAGGAGGGTATGAAGGAGGAAGAGGACACGGAAAAGCAGGGCGCAGAACCAGCATGTGCAGAGATCTTTATTTGTACATATACATGTTTATTTTTTCAGGTTGTTTAGCATGGTATATCACAAAATCAAAATACCTGAAGAGCTGCACTCTAATTTCACATTGCAGAGATTTGTAAATATCTCATTTTTTCAACAAAAGATGATTTCAATATGAATTTTATATCTTGTAACAACTTAAAAAAGGTGAAACATAAACCACATAAAATTTTATTTCTGCATGCAGCAAAGCTTGGTTAGACGCAAGACTATTCAGAAACAATACTATATTGCTCGCTCAGAAGGGTGAGGAAGCTCTGGAAGAAATTCACTGCAAGCTAAAAAAAAAAAAATCAGTCTCCAGAGCAGGGGTTTTTAGCCTGTGGTCAGCAGACGCCTAAGGGGAAGGTGCGTGATCTGGCCTAGAACACACCATTATCGCTACATTTTCATTCTGTATGTGGGACATAGCACCTTGGTAGAGAGCTGAGCCACATGTAATTTTGAAAAAAAAAAGTATTTAGGTCAGTTTTTTGGCGCAATTTTAATAAAGAGCTGTCAGTCAGCACTCTGTGCAGACTGACAGCTGTTGGTGTCTGGTATCTGGTGCTCATACTTTGACCACCTTTGCACAGTTTTTAGTTTTATAAAGGACACTAAGGATGGGGCTTGAACTGCTCAGCTTTGTGTAGGCTTTAGCCGAGTACCATGGCTACCAATGAGCGAGGGCTTAGCTACAGGTTCTGCTAGTAGATTTATAGCATAAAACGTGCATGGAAAGGCTGACTGTTTGTGCTTGTGTACTAAATGGGGTCAGTAATCCAGAAAAGCGCGAGAACCACTGCTCTCGATTGTGTTGCCAGTTCAAGCTATTTCACTAGTTTGAAGTACTGTGCCAGCGTCTTCTACGAAGTCAGTTGAGGTATGGCTTCTATGATGATGGCAGGGAGTCCTTTGAGAGGGATCACAGGTGCTTGGCTATGAGCCTGCCAACTGAACTTGAGACCAAAAGCCATGGTGTCAGACCTATCCCACCTGCAAAATATATGTTAATATTTTCATAATTAACACACTGTGGCCCCACAGTACTGTGAACATGCCGTAAAAAAAAATAAAAATGTATATATATATTTGCAACAAAGGGGGGGGGGCGGGGGGGGGAGGCACCTGTTGCAGTCAGGTGACCCCCCCCCCCCCCCCCCCCCCCAATCAGTACGCAGATTTTATGTAACCGGACCAACAAAATACTGATAACAAAAAAGATGGCACTATCAGTACTGTGGACGTATCAAGCACATGTCGGATATTAAAAAGCCTTTACAGATTGCTTCATCCTGTTTACGTTGACTCACTTTTAACAAAGTATCGGCAAGATTTTGGAGCCGCTGACGGCAGTAACAAGCAACACAAATGCTCACTTGCAAGTCGAGTAAATGGTTAATATGTGCTTGTCTGGTATATTTATGAACAAAATGAACTAACACAGGCATGCTTTGAGGCTCATTTTAGAGCAATTGGGCACAGATGTGTAAAGTCACCGTTAAAGAAATGGGAATGATAAAAAAAAAACCGCATCTCCACGTGGTGAATGATGTTGATTGGGGCGAAGCTCTGATGGTGCTTGTCTGCGTAGACGGTGAGCCACAGCATGCCGAGCCTTTTGTTTGTTTTCATTCATGTCACACTGCGGTCAAATGCTCAAATGCGTATATAACCACGTTCTCTTTCTGACATGGATGAAAACGAACGAAAGGCTCGGCATGCTGCGGCTCACCGTCTATGCACACAAGCACCACCGCAGCTTCTCCCCAATCAACATCCTTCACGTGGAGATGTTTTTTTTTTTGTTTTTTTTTCCCCTACACGAGCACAAGAGCACGTGCACCCGACGGCAGACGGACATATTGACATGGCTAGCCCCTAAGGAGCTTCGCCCCTAAAACGGTAAAGCAAGGTTTTGCAGTTTGCACCACCTATCTTACCGCCACATGTTACCACCCGGAATGCAAGCTTCATGCCGTGCCAAAACGCAGCATAATGTGGACATAAAACAATCTGAGATCTCGATAACGCAGCTAATCAGAAGTCACGAATGTCCCGAGTCATTGCTTAGCAAATGCCGTTGTATTGCCCACATCCTGTCATTATCCATGCAATAGACCCTTTACAAAACGTACAGCGCCTTGACGGCAGGGAATTTGGGGAACCCTCGGTACAAATCACGAGCTCTCTCGTTGCGCCTCCGCGACTGTGCGCATATCCCGGCAGCTACCGCCAGCAGCTGTTGCAGCCATCCGCCGAGTCGTACGTCGTTGCCGGCGTACCGTATCTGTGGCAGCGTAAAAGCATTGCGACAGCTGAACTTATTTCAATACGTTATTCGTCGTAACTTACCTTCACGTATTGAAGTGTCACCAAATCCATTTAGTTTGCATTGCAACCGTGGCAGGTTTCGACCAGGTTCGACAAAGCGTTGGTGCAGCAGACGACAGAGCCGGTACAAAGGAGAGGGATGGGAAAGGGGCAGTCGTTGGCTCGTCGCTCGCCCGACTTGGCTGCTCTGTTGCTGTGGTAACCTGCGCCTGCTCGCGTATGCCACATGGTAGCGGGAGGAGGGGCGTACAAGGGCTCCCAATATTCGTTGCGCGGCTCGCGTATGCTTTTTGGATTTTTGCAAAGGGTCTTTTGCAGACGGTTATTTGTTGGTATCTGGCGCTAAGTGTGGCCACAGACCGAAACAAGTTCCCGGAACGACACACCTATGCTGATCTTGCGCAGTAGCACAACTTGGTGGCTCTGCAGACCCCAGATGCCAGTGCTCGGTTCATACTTTTTTAACCATGACCTGTACATTACATAGTTGTAGGGGACATAGACATACAAGAAATCTCTCCGATGGACAAACACTCTACCTATTGCCACCAGGCAGTCCCAACAAGTGAGGCAAATTAAGAATGTTGGCTAGCGTAATGATTCCGAAACGAGCCACATGTGTCGCTGCTTGCGCAAGACGCGTGGGCGCTGGCGATAAAAGCAAATGCTGAGGAATAAACGGGGCTTTTGTGTTGGAGACTCGAACAGTGTGGGCCATCACTCCTTGGCCGCTGCAGACACAGCCCCAGCGAATCAGACAGGTGGGAGGCACAAGTCACCTCCCGATTCGAAGAGTTTGGCCATACTTGTCCATCCATTCATTCGGTACTTCGATATATTCTAGCACTCCTGGTGCCAGTCGTCTCTTCACATTACGAAGCTTGGTGTGACCAGTGTTGCCTGCACCCCTCCAGATACGGTGGACTGATATCGTGCGAGAACCATTGTCGTACCTGGTGCAGTTGCCGACGGTGACAGCAACGAGCCAATAGGAGACAGCCATTGCTCCGGAAGCACCACGATTGGCTGGCTTCTGTAGTTCCAGACCAGGTAGGCAACAGTGATCGCCTAAACAGAAGTAACGGAGCCTTAATTAAAGCCGTGTCTTGCAAAACTAACGCAACATATAAAAGATTATCCAAATGCACAATACAGTACCATTAAAGCGTACAAAATAGCAGTGGCCGCCAAGCGGACTTTGAATGTGTATGTAGACTTCAGTTGACCTGGAAGTGTAGAACAATTGGTTTCAATCGAAGACAATTAAATAAGCATGCACGCATTGTTCCATTCGTATGTGCTACCTTGATGCGAGAGCTCCTCCGACATTTTGTTGATCTTGCGCTGAATCTTGGCATACTTTGCAAACTCGTCCACGATGCTGATTCCTCCCAGCTCTGCCCTCAAGTCGCAGACTTGACGTCTCAAGTTGGATTCCATCTCGGATTCCTGAGAAATGACCTGCAGCACCTACAAACGAAATCCGAATTGGTGGGGGCCAGATGGCGTGCAAATGGTCTGGTCCATTTGCACTTCTCCGCTACTTTGGCGAGGATCTAAACAGCAGGGAAACGCCTGTGTGTGTCAGACGGCGAATCTGAGGACCTTCTCTGTGCCTAAAGTGCTTGGTGCCTGAAACAAACACCAGGAACTAGCAGAAAACCACAAAAGCTCTTGTTTGCTCAAGGCTGGAATGTGCAACCGCAAGAAGCGCGAAATTCGCGTTCGAGTCCCGCTGGAGCACTAGCTTTAGCAGGGCTTTCTTTCAGAGACATTAAAAACGACGATGTTCGCTCCGCCGAGGCACAAAATGTGTACAAAGCTCCTCATTGCAACACCGGCGCGCAGCAACACGCAATACAGTCTTTGTTAATTTTGCCGCGTTAATGAGAAAAAAAAAAAAAGGGGGGGGGGGGGGCGAATGTTTTTTTTTTTTTTTTTCGCTATTTGAGTTGTCGGTTTCTTGTTGTACCGGTTACGTCGACCACGTTTCTAAGTAGGCTACGGCAATATCGATCCTTCGAGGGAGCGCGCGGACTCACCATTCTGACGACCAAAGGAATGAAGGCCGTGAACATGCCGCAGAATGTCACGAACCAAAAAAAGAGGTAGCTTTCCTGAGTTCCCATTTGGTTCTCTAATAAACCAGCATAACGACGTGATATTAGTCAATCGACGAATATGAGAAACAAAACTGTACGAAAGCAGAGGAAATTGACATTCAAAACGTTCCTATCGGAACACTCCACCGGCGCGATTTTCAGCTGGCGATGTCGCGTTCGTTTATACGACGCTAGGATCGCTAGCGTGGTCGTTTGTTTTATTTGAAACGTCCTAGGACTTCAAAATAATCGTTACTCTGATTAATTAAACAATATTTTGGCACCGAAAAGAATGTAACCGTATAATTTTGTTTCTTTTTCAATCTGAACGAGCCGAATACGGAGAAGCCGAACGAGCTCAAGGGCTAGAAAAACGATCAAACGAACGCAGTAACCGGATGCGCAATGTACGCCATGCCGCCCGAGACTTCCTGTTCTGGTTTCTCCTCGTCGCAGGTGTCTCTATCCCATATTTTCACGATTAATCGCCTCGTAACGATCCTCGAAGACCACGGAATTCTGCTCGATCTATAGATAACGATGTACTTCGTCGTCTTCGCATGGTTTCTGCGCAAACAGGTGCGGATATCGAGCGCGAAGCGGAGTTTCCCGAAACTGGTTTCAGCGCAGTGACAACTCGGTGCGCGCGCGTATATCGTTTCGGCGGCGTATATTTGAGGCGAAAATGATTTCGGCGCAGGCACCTAGGTATTTGGACGCCGTGTAGAGGTTTTAGCAGCTTATAGCACGATGGAAGATATTTTCTACAAGCTGGTGAAGGAGGCGTCTCACCAGAAACATCCGGCACTGCGACAAGCGTGCTGTGAAGCACAAGGTAAGACATCGCCGTTTAATTGTTCATTTTAAAGAGACATAAACTCTTTTGTTTCACAGAAGTACTCGGAAACAAGCATTCACTCTTGCGAAATCCACCGTACGAGATAAGGTACGCTATACTGCAATAATTCACTTTTTGATATATTTTCTGTACATCCTTGGCGCGACGTGAGCAATATAAAAAAAAAAGGAAAAAAATTGTGTATGCGTGGGTGTATATCCTTAAGAAAGTGCAAAGAATATATAAAAAAAGTACAAAATTATATATATAGATTTCAGCTGGAGATGGTGTCAACAAGAATTTCCAGCTGCCGTGAAGAAAGCAAAAGGAAACAAAAATAAAATGTACTAAGATCACTGTTACATAGTTTGCCTCAGGATTCCCTAAGCAGTGATGAAAACAGCCTACAGCTGGCGTCATATTTTTCTCATTTTGTTTCCTCCTTTCTCGGCTGTCCAAAATATGCAATCTCCTCAGGCAAAAATGCTTCGACGCTCTTCAGCTGGCATTGGAATCCAAAGACAAGAAACTGATCTCTCTCTCACTCAGTGGCATGCAGGTAAGCTGGCAGCATTACCTGCACTCCTGAAGCCGACTTTTTAGCATGGCCCACCTATTCAGGCCCAATGATTTTTCGATCTAATTTTATTTTTCGCAAAAACAGCAACTCCTGCGAGAACAACTGTTCAACCCAAACTTTGAGTCTGATGACGAAGAACTCTGGCTTCCATCGCAGTTGATGAGGGCTGTCTCGTCCTTGAATTCGCACTCCGAGGAAGTTCAAGTGGAGGGGCTCAAGGTAGGCTCGTCGCCGTCACTCGTGCTGTCTGGTACTGACGGCGCCTTAACAAACCTGACATGAAAGTCATATGTCGAGGTGCCAGACTGCTTCCCGCAGCTGCATGTATGACTCGGCCAGTGAAGCCGATTGGCGCGTGGTTGTAATTGGGCACAGACAGTGAGACGTAGAGTCCAGGGTCCCATGGTGGGGGGCACCAAGTTTCTATAGGCTGTTTTCACATGACGTCAATCCACCATTTTGTTGTTTGTTTTTTAAACAAATTTACTAATTTGAGAGATTACATTGCAACCCATTCAGGAGATGTCAGCATGTGAAGACTTGTGAGCTTCTGTGCTCTACGCATTTAAGGAGGTCATGTAAATCCTTAGAATGCTCACCTTCGGTACATGTCAAACAGCTCACAACAACAAAATGTTGGACGAACTTACATCAGTGAAAACACCGTATAATAAACTTGGCTGTCGTGTAATATTTACTGCAGCCAAGTTTAGGTTGGGGAAGGATATAGAATAGGAACAGCATGTTTAGAGTTGTACAGTACGCATTTGGGAGATAGTCTTTTTTTTTTTGTCTATTTTTTTTTAAATGAGCATAATTAGGAAATAACAATGTAATTAAATATGCCTAAATATTAACAAATTATATGCTTGGCTAATTTTCTGTATACTTTTTCGATGCATGCTTTAATTTAATGGGGCTTGGCAAAAAACGCTAAGCAATGAATAGAGCCTGATCTTGATCGGCATTTGTCTCTGGTTCGGATTACGGTCGTGGCTCTTTCAATCCAACTGGCAGTGATACTGGTCGCCATATAATCCCCCGGGGGTTTGACATTGATTTTTTTTTGCTGGGACGTTTTGTTTCGTCTTGGTAGTTGCATAATGGCATTAATCCCCAAACATTGAATTTATCATTGTGTCTGTCTTCAGTTCACAGTGTTTAATTTTTTTCATATTGAATTGTTTTAATAATGCATAATCTAGATAAGTGCTGCATTTTTTTATCTTGTCGTTAAAGTCCGACATGCAGGCAGCGCTTTCTGCCGGGCAGAAGACCCCGTCCTTCTCCCCTTTCCCTCTCGCACTCTTCCCTCCTCCTCACTCAATGGGAGCGGGTACGGCGCTGAGCTACTCCCCGTAGAAGGGAGAAGAGGTTTCCTTCTTTCTGCGTGTCAACCCAAGTGTAACGCAGACATCCCTTTTACCAGGTGCTGATGCAGTGCACCTGTCTCCAGAACTGGTGCCTGTCCCAGAACACCGTGCTTGCCATTGCCAAGCTCTGCCTCGACATCTACGGCAGCAGCTCGGCCGCAGCCAAGACTGCGGCCATAACCACGGCGAGCCAGACGGTTCAGGCCTACGTCTGCTTCCTCTTCGACTCGAGTGTCGAGGATGCTCGGGACGACGAGGAACAGGTGTGCTCGGGAGCTTTTACGGCGACAGTCATTATTTGCGAGGTTTTTTCGCCATATCAGTGTTTGTATGATGTATGGTGTAGCGGGGAGATGCTTCCTGCTAAATTTAGTGGGGAAATTGATGTCGCATGGCACTGTGACGGCACGTGACACTGACACTCAATGTTTCACCAAATATTGATCAAAAGTTTGGCGTAAAAATTATATGTAAAGCAGACATATAAGATAGGTATTGTAAGGGGCACTGTCAAGGGACCTTTTTATGGAGGTGCATAATGTTTAAAGTTGTCAAGCTTCTAAGTTTAAATTTGCGTAATTAATGTTTTAATTAGTGACAGTAAATTAGAAATGGGCATCATTGAAAACCACTAAATCGATCTATTCTGGAAAGATTTGGAGTATGTACTTCATTTCTCTGCATGGGATCCCGAAAGTGCAACTTACGGATGCGCCAGTGCGGTTTTTCTGTCTCTTATCATCCGCCGAGTCTTCATAAAATCTACTGATTTAATGGTTTTTGATGATGCTCTGCCAGTCTTTAATTTGAATGTTTTTTTGTTTATTATAATTAATTGGAACTCATTAAGGACTTAATTATTTGAAACACTGTGTTGCCACCTTGACAGTGGCTAATGCAGTATCAATTGTTTTTCTCTGGTGTAAATAGTTTTTGCATAAAACATTTGGTTGATGTTCAATAAAGCACCTGATATAGTACTGCCAAGGTCAGGTAGGAGCATAATGATCTAAAAATACCCCCCACCCCCCCAAAAGGGGAAAAAAAATAATTTGCATAGTATGTTTAGAGTACTATGTGAAATACCAGGCATGTGTACACGTCAGAGTAAGCACCCACCCCTATCTTTGAAACATTTCAAATTTAAGCAAAGTGTATATCAAAATGTCAATCTCCTACCTGAGCAAACTTCTGAGCCCATTAAGCTGTTTCTCTGAATCAGCTGCTCCTCCAAAAGCTGGTGCAAGGTGACGAAGCTTTGCACGCATGCATAGGTGCGAAGTGGTGAAGCTTGATGCGGGTGTGCCGGTGGAAAGCAGTTTTTGGGTGGGCGCTTGCTTGGTGTTTTACACTAGCATAAGGAGCACCTAGATTTCTCTACAATTTTGGTCCTACATTTCTAAGAAGAAGGGAGATAAGTGGTATATCTAGACATGTGCCAGAATGACAGGATCTCACATTAAATGTTGCAAAGGTGTTACAACCCTCAAAGCCTTACAAGAGATGGATCTTTTGGTAAACAGCGTAGAAGCATCCAACCCACGAGTGCGGATTTATTAAGCTTTATTTCGGTGCGTGGAAACTGAGTGTTGGTGGGTTAGCATTGTCGCATGCTTTGCTCCCACTTCGTTTATAGTTGAACCTCGGTTTAACGAAGTCACCGGGACCCGCTAATTACTTCGTTAAATCGGGAACTTCGTAAAATCGAGGAAAGGAGACCTTGCGCATAGGCTGCGCGGGGAATCCGTATTTGTTTGTTAAATTGGGAAATTTGTAAAATCGGGTTTCGTTAAATCGAGGTTCAACTGTATTTCCATTGCAGTTGTGCTTTCGGACAGTGCTTTTAAATTTTTGCCTGCGAAGTTGATCTTACTTCCAGCACTAACTGCATGTCTGCCTCCTTCTATCTACTTTCCACTAACAATTCTACTAACACGGTTTCTAACAGAGAAGTCTGGATGAAGGATGCGACACAAATATTGAAGGTTTGTCCGCCATTCTTTCTGCTTAACTGTTCCTTCTTTTGTTCAGCATGTTTAAGTGTATTCTTTGTAAAAAGTGACTGTCCATGTGAAGTGAAATAGTTTTTATTTCTTAACCCTCCCTGCCTGCTTTTTTTTGCAAACTGGGCCCTGTTAGTGGTCATAGTTTGTCTTGTTTTAATGTCAAAATTAATTTTCTTCAATTATCTTGCTGGTTAAGCTACTGCGGTAGTACAGAGGTGACCCACTCAGATTCCAGAATTGGGGGAAAGTGAGATGGGATCAAGTTTGGTTAAGTCATAGAAATTCGTAGAGGGAAGAATGTATTGCTGTTTTTATAACCCACCAATGTCGGTGGGTTTCTCAATGTATCACTTTTATACAGCGTAAATGCTTTAATGGGGAAAAGCACTACTCCTGTGTCAGTGAGCTCATGTTTGGTACGCTACAGAGTTTGCAATTTTAGCTGCATAAAGGAAAGCCTAGTAATTATGTCAGCCTATAAATATTGTTTCCTGGTAAAATTTTATTTCGTCAATCACGTTCTAAAAATATGACATTGAACGTTATTCTTTCTCCAATTTCACCAAGAAATGGTTTTCCAACTTTTCTTATTCTGTGTCTTGAGAGTAATGAATTACAGAGCTGTTCAAGACTGGTATAGGTCTTGTGTCTTCTAATAATATTTGATTGTTGATAGAAGTTAATATGATTGTTGTCTTTTTATCAACACATACATTTGCATCACTCTTGTTGTATAGGATAGCTTTTTACTTCAAAATACTATAGAAGTAATCCACAATATCTTTGAACCAAAATTAAATTGAACTGGTTCTGGTTCTTAGTCAACACACCTTCCCTAAGCACGTTTAGCTTGTGAAAAGGGAATGCTTATTTGTGCTTGCTTGGCACAGGATGTTGACTAAGTCTAGAAAATTTCCTCATGCAGGACACATCTCTCCATTCGATGAAATTGTGCCTCTGCTCTCATTCTTCTGCGAGAAGCTAAAAGAGGAAAAAAGGTGAGAGTCACTTCTTTCGTCTTCACGGTTGCCATGTTTACCGGCACACCTTTCATCTTGAGGTCATTTTTCTGTTGTCATCGCAGGGGTGTTTCAAGCTCTACGACTACTCTACTGCTGCAGTGCATTCAGACTGCCCTGAGTTCACTGAAGGGACAGGCAAAGCAGAGCCAGCAGTTTTTAGACTTCGTTTGGTGAGTCAGTTGCACTTGACAAATGTCTACTTGGGCAAGAAGGGATTACTACGCAGTGTGTTGCTTTGGGCTTTAGAGACTCGTTTTAAAAATGCCAACAAAGCTACACCTATGTGCTCTGTGCAGGGGGGTTTTATGGCCAGGGGGACATCTAATCATCACAATAAGTCAAATATTGAACCAAAACCTCTTAGTTCACTTTTTAATTAGAGAAAATTAACATACGGTTTGAAGTAGATACTTGCTGAGCATCGAAAAAACTACTATATCAGTAAATTTTAGAAGGATTTGAATGCGTGGGCAGCACGGCGGTGCATTAAAGTTTTCACTCGTGCAAGAGGTGCCAGGCTGGCGGTGAAGAACGTGGCTTATAACATGACCACATGCTTATGCTTATCATCTGCATTTTTGCATTACCTGTCTGGAACCTGCTGCATGAGTGGAAACTTCAGTGCATCACTCATGCAGTGATGCACTAAAATTTACTGATTCAATGGTTTCCTCAATGTTGCACATTATTGTGAAGTGTCCACAACCATATGCTCACAATAGAACACAAATCCTTGCGGCCCTCATTCTCTTGGGGGCTGCTTTATCTACTCGCGACCACTTTGTTATATTGAGGCAGGCTTGGCTGTTGAGACCAGAGCCACTTAAAGGGAAACTGAAACGGTTCTGTATTTGAGGAGGAACACTTAATTCGTCTTCATCTGGCCTCCTGGATCCCGAATATCGAGATTATTTTTCAATTCGGTGCATGATGGCTGCAGAAAATAATTTTGAAAGTACCGCCGGAGACCCTCCTTCCCAGAGTGGGACGCGCACTATTGCTACAGTCTAACCTCGTTATTTCAAACCCTCTCAATTCAAACTTTTAGATAATTCAAACTAACATGCGGGTCCCATCCTATGCGTCTCTATAGGAGGAAACTCCTGGCAATTCAAACTTTGCTGTATTCAAACAAATTTTCGGTACCCCTCTAGTTTGAATTAACGAGAATCGACTGTATTTTCAGAAAGGTCAACAAAAGACGTCACCACTGGTGTCAGTGCGGGGGAATATACCTTGCAAGCTTCCAAATGCACGAGCGACACACGCTTTGCGGCCGAAGGATATGAGTATGACGTAACGACTGGTCGTGATTTTTTGTGTTTTCTCTTGTGTAGTCACATCTTCAGGGAAAATGGTTGTGACATTCAGATTCACGGGATAAAACACTCTAGAATTCACCTCTAACTCGTTTTTTTAAGAACCTCTTCAGTTTTCCCTTATATCAGTTGTGCTTAGAGTATCGACTTTCACTCTTCCATATTCTTTTGTGAGCATTGCCAGTTGCCTGGTGCAGACCGGGCACAATTGGCGATAGTTACGATACGAAAATACGACTTCTGAAACTCTAGACATGCATTCTGTAAGCTCCAACAATATTGTTCCGCTCCGTCACAGACCGTTCCAACAGTCTCGGAGGACAAAAAAGAGTTTCCTGCAATTGCAGACAAAGTTTAAGATAACTGGCAGCAATGATTTCAAGCAATAAGATGGGTGAAGTTAAGTTATTCAGAAGCATAGCTTACTTAAAGGCTCTAGTTGAGACTATAGCTTGCATGCATAGTCGTATGCATGTCCTTACCAGTACTGGCTCACGTTCCCAGGCAACAGCTCTGTCCGCGGCTTGTTGGGTGCCTGGGCTCGCCACTCAAGGACAAGAACATAGTTTCGGCCCAGCGCTTCGAGAAAGGGGAGATGGGCAGGGGCTCCGGCTGCCTGGCCACTGCGCCCTCCTGCCAGGGGGACGAGGCCAAGCTGGTGTACGGGTGCGTGGTCCTATTGCGAGGGTTGTGTTTGGGCATGCCTGCATGCATCTCATTCCGTTTTTCGTGCTTATGCCAGTGCCACTTTTTTTGCCAGATGTTTGTTAGGAGGTGTATGTCTGTGTGCAAATTTTTTCTTAGTATGATTGAGTTTTGTTGAGGCATTTGTGAAACAAGAGCATATGACTAGCCCTTTCAGCATATATTCACTGGTCTTCACAGTCTCATTTTGCTTTCTTCAGTATTTTATTAAGTTTCAGAGTTTGACTATAGTTGGTACATTATGCATTGCAAATGATTAAAGGCTCTAATTAACTTGGTGCTTCATCTGTTGTGCCTTTGCAAATTTAAATTCATCAGTCAACTAAAAGTTAGGCGCGAACAAGCTGGTGGGGGGTTAAACATTTGACTAAAAACCCCGAGACTGGGACGAGAAGAGACGGACAGACACAAAGTCTCAAAACAGCTCTGGCAGAAGCAAACAGAGTCATTCGATTCAGTCTGTAATCATTGTTGAACACAGTGCTAATACCACATCTGTTCCCAATGGATTTAAGATTATTCAAAATTTGGTGAAACGAATGGAAAAACCACGCGCTTTGTGGGTTTAAGAACACTATGGCACTTATTCTTGACGGAGACGAGAAACAATAACTGATTGATAACGTAATCATGAGGGGACCCAGCGGCTTTAAAACGGTCAAGCGGACGCTTGATGGCAGACCCAATAATGTGGGAACATGATTTTTTCAGAGTACTATTGACTAGGTTGCGAATAATGCCATCCTTTACATATGTTTGAGTGACAGCTGTAAAATGATAGAAGAGGTTTTGCAGTTGGCTTGCCGTATTCTCAGCAAAAGCTAGGCGGTTGTTTCAGCTGTAGATCTAAAAATTGTAAGCTACCCTCCTCTGGTCTATCTACAGAAAACTTTAATTCTGGAGAACTTTCACAAGCAGCCTTTTCAAGTGATGCCTGTAACTTGGAATCGGTACTGCGGATCAAAGGTCGTCAACGTATCGCTTTACAAGAACGTCGCTAGGAGAACGGTTCCGGATGATATCATGCAGTTTTAGATCTAGATAACTTCAATACATTTCTGACAAAATTGGAGCAACTGCCGAACCAATGCATATTCCATGTTTCTGAATAAAATCTCGATTGTTGTGTTGAACCACAGCTGCTTGTAAATATAGCAAGAATCCTTAGGAAGTCAGATACCCCAATCCCTGACTGTGACTGGAATCTACCAAGATTGTTTTCAAGAAACTTACCTACGCGTTCAAGTAACGTCTTTGGTTCTAACGAGTAATGTAGGTCTTTGACGTCCATAGAGAATAGAGCGCAATGCTTCCCATGAGAAGGCTGTAATATGAGCAACAAAGGGTTAACAGACTTCCGACATCCAAAACACTTGGGGTCTTCTGAAGAGAGGACGACACCAGTTTTTCCCAAGTGCCATTCTCATTTCCCACAACTCGAAAATGAAGGTCCACCTTTAGAATCAAGAAAAACTTGATTCTAAAAGTGTCTCTTGAAGTTACATTTATTTTGGAAACCAAGGACGGAAATTCACTGTCCACGCAATTGGTATGGATGTAACATTGAAGTCCTTTTTAACAATTGCCATTGCGTGGAGAGGGGTGAACAGTCAAACTTCGTAACGATGAGTGCAGTCCACAGATTTTCGCTGAGATGGTTCGTAGTCCTTAGTCGTTCCCTGGATGGCACTTTCCCCGAATACGGCAAGCCAACTGCAAAACCTCCTACCATTTCACAGTTGTCACTCAAAACATCTAAAGGCTGGCGTTATTTGTAATCTAGTCAATAATGCTCTGAAAAAAATCATGTCCCCACTTTATTGAATCTGCTCTCAAGCACCTGTTTCACCGTTTTAAAGCCAATCGGTACCCTCATGAGTATGTTTTCAACCAGTTGTTTCTTGTCTCTGTTAAGAAAAATTGCCAAAGTGTTCTTAAACCGACAAAGCGTGTGTTTCTTCCGTTTTTTCACCAAATTTTCATATAATCTTAGATCCATTGGGAACAGATATGGTATTAGCACTGTGTTAAACAATGATTACAGACTGAATCGAATGACTCTGTTTGCTTCCGCCAGAGCTGGTTTGAGACTTTGTGTTTGTCCGTCCCTTCTCGTCTCAGTTTCGGGGTTTTAGTCAAATGTTTAAATTCATTATTTGTCCCTATTTCGCAATATGTGCTTTTTTTTCTTCCCTTGTCAGTTAGCATGGACATTTCAATGGTTGCACAAGGATATCTGTTCCAAGTGGGGCTGCGGGGAGTCACTACAGGTTTGCTGGAGTCGAATAAGCCAAACTTATTCTGCATTGGCTTTATAGCTGCTGGGTCGCTACTTACCGTATTTATTCGAATATAAGGCGAGGTTTTTTTCCAAAATTCGTAGTCTCAAAGTCATACCCCGCCTTATATTCGAAGCTCAGTATAGCAATATGATGATTTTTTTTCTTTGTCTTGGGTCCTTCAACTGCCCCCTCGCCATATAAATCATGACCGCCTTATATTCAAATAAATACGGTATCTCTTTATGTGTGCAAATGTTTGCAACACTTTCTTCATATATCTTGAGGTGCATTTGCTCACTTGACTCTCACGACCTTGGTGTTGTTGAAAACTGGTAGAGTAAACCCGCTTATTATTTCCTTGGTTTTGTTCTCTTGCGCTTCGTGCCCGTGATGCCGCAGGGACTCGGTTTGAGGAGATCTGCTCTATGATAGCATTGATGACATTGGGAAAGTGTTCTATGGTGCAACACTGCAATGCATACTGTCAAGCTGTTTTAGCAGAAAGGGCCACGAGCCAAGGAAATCCTACTTGCAGGATTACAGTGACCTTTAGGCAGGGTGTCTTGAGGTCATGAATATCTTCTGGTTGTGCGTGTTGTCGATAAAATAGAAATTTTCAGAGGTACTAGTAAGCCAGGCATTGTCTTCATGTTTACCGTGATATACCGAGAATGCGCCCATGTCACAGTAAATGCTTACCCGCTACTTTTTAAATGTTGGAGACGTAAGCAAAGGACGTATAAAGTACCCACCCGAGATTTCTGAGTACTCGTAGCTAACCTAGATGCTCCTGCGTGTCAGCTGCTTAGTGAGATGTGCCTGTGCAATACAATGAAGCTTGGCGCGGGTGCACCGGTGCTAAGCAGTAAAGCCCAGCCCACCTCGTGCCCTTTTCACATGCTTACGATCTAACAAGCACACATCGCGCAGTTTTTAAGATTGTCTGCAACCCTTGGGTGGGCGCTTGCTCAGTATATTATAGTAATTCCTGGGCTCTGGAAATCGAGTGACTGCACATCATTAGCTGTATGTCACATTTGCACCCAGTTTAACCTTGTAATTGGCACTTCCGACCAGCATTGCTGTGGAGCTGGTCAAGGTGGTCGGAGCTGTGGGCGCACTTCGGCCTGTGCTAGGGTCCCTGTTTCATCGTATGCTGCTCTACCCTCTGCCGCAGCATTGCCTCGAACCACTCAAGTTTGTCAAGGAGGTTTGTATAAGCTGTAGCGCCCCATAACACATGCTTCACCATTTGCACAATTTCAACAAATTAATTTTCTTTTTAAGGCCCATTGAGGTACCTGGATTGAAAGAATAAATCTGGAGCTTTTGCATGAGTATTGTGGTGAATGCTTCCTGGTCTTCCCAAATAAGTTATTCTTGCGTGCTTTGCAGTATGTTCGAGCTAGTTCCAGTTGGGTGAATTATTTTGATAACGAGAATCAAGAATGGTTTTGATAGAGGTCCTAATCTGCACGAGACATATTTGTCATCTTGAAATTCTTGATTGGCTTGTACTATGAAGGAGACACGATTTTAAGGTGATACAGGGCAAAAACAGAGGGGCTGTTTTTTGGTTTTTTTTGTGGGCATTCAGATGCTGAAGAATCCTGAACAGCTGCTCCAGTTTGCTGGCCCTCCCCTGTGGGAGGACACAAAGAATCCAAGGCTTAGTGACCTGGATCTGCTGAAAATGTAAGTAGTCTTGTACTTCCAATTATGAGCAAAATGAAATGATAGCTTGGTAGTGATTAAAGAAAACTTTTGAAGAGATTATATACTAACCTCTCTGCTTCAGATCTCTCAAGATTTCTAAGATTTCTAAGCTGAGAAAAACAAAATTTTAAATATACGGTAATTGGAACCCAAAAGGGCATTGTGGATCTCAGAATCTCTATGTTCCTTCTGTCCCCACTTCCTCAAGTTAAAATATACTCACCTGCATCTTTGGTTTAGAGTTTAGCATTTAAATACAGTTTTTATTTGTATTGACTGAGTAGTTCTCAACCGCTGATGTGTTGGGGGCTTCTTCTGGGAATTGGTGGAAGAGATGGGGGAACCCCACCCACGAAGTGTGAGGGGTTGGGGCATATATTTACAGTGGCAGAAGGGTAAAGTTGAAAACTAATTGGAGTCAAACCAACTTTAAAGCTTTTAAATGGAGAAATAGTCAGCTTTTCATTTCGGCGTGCATGCTTTGGTCTATTTAGCTTTGGGGGACAGCCAGCATCAATAAGAAAAATTAGCAGTCCTGCGCATTATTCCTCAGTACAGTCAGAAGCAATAGCTGCGATACGTCACGGCGAAGTCGTTGGGCACCGGCCTCACATTCACGCACCGTGAGGTGCGTGACGGTGCGTGAACAAAAGCGTTCAGAAGAAAATAAACATCTGCCACACACAGAAATGCATGGTTTCCTTCTCGTGTCCAGAGTTGTGGATGGTCTCGGGGAGTGCTGCCACAGCAACGACCCCAACGTGTGCTACGTAAGCGTGGAGTGCGTCGTCGCTCTGCTCACCAGCCTCGAAACGCTCATCTCTGGTGCCAGGATCTCGGAGGAGATGGCAGAACGCATTAACACCACTTATCCAACGCTCCAGAGTGCAGATTATGTCGGTAAGTTCCTTTCTCATGCACGGGAAGATGCATTTTGGTTGACTTACTTGCCGTTTAGGAAAGCTATATTAAATTTTAGAGAAGGCCTGCCAGATGTAATAACCATAAAATGAAACATTGAAAATCACTTCAGTATTTTTTTAAGGGGCTGGTTTAAGTTGGTTTAAGTTGGTTTAAGCCTCGAAAGATAAGGCTTTGAATATATTTATAATGCTGTTAACAGCGCTGTCCTTAACACAGCTACCTTAGAACTAACGAAGAAATATACTTATATGGTAAATTGCATTGAAAATGGTAATCAAAACTGTTTTTAATACCAGTGTGTGGTTTCTGACTTGTTTATTATGGATCTAACATGATCCACCCATACACGGCCTAAAAATCCATAAATTAGTAGAACCCCATTGTTATGTTCTTGGCTGGCACGTTTTCATAGTTTGGTTTATGAATGCTGGTTTCGTTGAACAAGCAGTAGGTTTACAAATTACCCGTTCGGGCAAGCACGACCTTGGAGTAGGGTTGAAGGATTTAGGCTTTTGCAGTAGCCCATTTATCTTTCCACCTCTTTCTTTAATGTGCATGCACTCTTCTGCTGTGGTGTTCGATTTTCCTGGCTTCATTAGTTTCATTTCGCGTAAAGTTTGGAATTAGTCATGTGCGAATAGTGGATTTTGAGTTTGCAGCAAATTCGGCTCGAATTGTGGTTTTTGATGAATATTTTCGAATTAAATATCAAATAGTTTGAAACGGAAATTCAGCTCCTCTCATGAAGGTTGTTTCCAACCTTCCACTTGTCCACTTCTAATCAGTTAATTTTAAATGTAAGCTATATATGAACTCTGGAATGTAAACGACAAAATTGTTGCAGCTATCATGATCGAGGGGATCTACAGATCTGTTGCTATATGCAAATATTCTTTCTTCAATCTCAAATTAAAATTTCATTAAAAAAATTGCAAGCGACCACACACAGTGCTGCGATTGACAGCGGTAGCTGCTGCATTGTGGACAGGAGATTTGCCTTCAGGCAGTGTGCTGTACAATATTTGCAATGGGCTCTTTGCTTTCAGTGGAATCGATGTAGGAGACGTGTGAGTGGATGTGTGCTTCGGTGGACTGATTGTCCGAGGTGTTGGATGTTTTGGAAAAGAACACAGATGTGCTTTTCTGTTTTTCTGCTGAAACATACCTTTAGAACGGGGGTGCCTGTGACCGCGACTTTAGTGGAAGAAGCGAAAGTGTGTACTGTAGAGGAGCAGAGAGCGTACAAAAACGGAACCTGGGCGGTGGCACTTGGGAGGCGAGGGGGCGTGTCTGCACAGCACGACTACGTGGGTATTTTGAAATGGCGGCTGCTGGTGGGGGGGTAGGGGGGGAGAAGGGGGGGAGGGGAAGGAAAAGCATCGCCGATGGGTTTATGGATGTGGGAGGAACAATGGGGAGGTGGAGAGCGCTCGCTCCGTGTTCACATAAGATTTTCAAAGCAGTGGCAGCCTACAGGGGGGAAGGGAACACCGGAGGGGGCGAGAGAGAGAGTCTTGCGGCGGTTGGTGTGTATGTGTGAGGGTGTGGGGAATGATGGGAAGGGAGAGAACAGCACCTCTGCTGTAAAATGCCTCCGCTGTAAAAAGAAATTGAAAAGCACAAATGATGATAAGGTCAATTGTCAAGGCATCGCTGCCTAACACTGTTGTAATTGCGGCGGATTATCCCCGTTAAATGCGCTAGTCCCTGAGCGCCCTGCACTGCGGCGAAGCCATACCCGTGAAGCCCGCGAGCGCCACAAGTATTGCTTCACTGCTGTGCACAGGTGCTCGGCAATCAGCGCTTACAAAAGTGCAAACTAACAACTAATTTGTTTTCTAAGCGAATATCGAATATTGTATTATTCAAAACTACTATTAGAAAACTCAAATATTCTCGCAATACTAGAATTCGGAGTTCACAATCACGCGTTGCGACGTCGGACTTGACTGCTATGTGCCGGCGCGCGAGTCGCGCTTGACTGTTTCACACCAGCGTGCTAGGAGCAATGGCTAGTCTGGGGGAGCATTTCGATTAGCTCGATGGGCTTGGAAATTCATACCTGCTCTTATAGGTTGCCATTTTTTTTTGCTATGATTAGAGATTGACCCCTAATATTAAACAGTTTTGTTGAGCTATATTTGAATAAGTAGGGTAGTTTTTCTTAGCCAGGATTGTTCTTTATGTGAAATAAATTGCTATGTGAGAATTGCTTCCCGTCTTATTAATAGGCCCGAAAAGTGTTATCGCTTTTTAAATTTTCCCGGATCACATGCCTGTTTACCGTGGTCTCTTGAAAAGGGTATTGTCAGGGTTCCTTTCACTCTTCCTCTTCTTTGTGATAAGAAAGAGAAAGGATTGTTGCATCTTTTTCTTGCAAGAAAAAAAGAAAGGGTACAGCTTTGATGGCGTATAATGTATTGAAGCGAGAAGCTTATACAAATAATTTGTAGATTTTTAGACTCTGCAAAGAGGATAAATCATGCTTAAGCTGTAAATAAAAGAAGAAACTAAAAATAACTGGACATCTAAATATTTAAGTCTTGCGGAAATTTACTGAAGAATTTTATCACCATTGCGTTTTTACATTTTTAGCACTCTAAAGCATGGGTTCTTAGGAACCCAGGAGTTCCCCAGAGTACTTTCAGAGGGCCCCCATGTGCTCCCAAATTTCCTCGGTCATCCCTGCCCTCAAGTGAAGTTTTTATCCAGTTCAAGCACTGTTTTAGAAGATCTGAGTAAGTCGTTGATGTGGGATTATGTACCAGACATCCCCTAGTATGTGCACATGATTTTTTACAAGCTCTATAGGCTTCATCACTTTCTTTTTATTAATGACGAAACCAGGAGGTGTTTCTCAGCTATCCATTAGGAGAGATGAGCATTACTCGAGATTAAAGAGTTTGATAACCCCTCTCCTAAAGCAAGCATATCTGTCCAAATGAAGCAATTTAACCGTATCTGCTAAACCCTTGTGTCTTGTTTTTGCAATGTAGTTCTTCAGATAATTTGCGCTAATTTTTGTTTTCGCTTCCAAGGTGCGTCCTTCTTGCTAGAAAAATCGGCAAGGGTTGGATTCACCAATGGCTGGCAGCCCTCGAGCACAGAGAAGGGCACGTTCCCAGTGTCTTCCCACACTCTGCTCTCAAACCTGGAGCGTGTGATTCTCGAGAGGCACAAGGACAACTGCCTGCCACGGGACGAGAGCCCTCCGCGGAGTAGCCCAGTGGAACGGGCGCTCGAAGCATGCGAGGAGTTTGACATGGAGTCCCTAGACAGTGTGCCGAGAGCGTCCAATGAAAAGGAGATGGACATCGAGGCGTCGGGGAAGGAAGAGGAAGAATTGGACAGGGACGTGGATAAAGAGAACACCGATCCTGAGCATCCCGGTGAATGTCCCGAGCATCCTGAAAATCTTGGTGATACCCTCGATCCTGGAGGGACCAATGCCACTGAAGCAGATGAAAACGCTGTTGAAGAACCTTCTGAAGGAAATGACCCGATTCAGCCTGATGAAGAAGAGTTTGTTCAGAGCCGAAACGATGAAGATTTGGATGCGGCAGAAAGTCTAGATGCGGAGATGGTGAGTTTATTGTGTTTTTTCGAGGGCTTATAAACATTCTGCTGGCTCTATCCGAAGCGTTACCAACCCTCAACTTTTTTTTGAGACTCTAGATACTTCTGTGCCTGACATTGTATGAACATTGCTGTTGTTTTCCTCGCTGCTATTGCCAACTATAATGTGAGTTGTTTGTTGTACAAGGAGATATTTGTTTCTGCTATATCACACAGGCAACCTTTTCATGATACAACCCTACTAGATTGTTACAAATTACAAATTCGAAAAATGATAACCATAGAAGGCCTGCATTGTCTCTCTGTGTTAAAAGACAACAACCTAGAGGAACAATGCAGACCCTCCATGGTGTTGTCTTTAGAGTGTACCAATCACGTTTGCTAGTTTTTAGGGTTGTGTGGATATTCAGAATTTCTATTAGTAGTGTCAAGTAATACACCCTTCAATATTCGCTGCGAGATGAACTTTAGTATTCATATTTTTCGAAGTGTTGATCATGGCGGGTTAGCCCCTCTGAGCTCGCTTCTTAGTGAGCACGAATGCACTGCGGAGAAGCAACACCTTCGGAAGAGAGGGCTGCGGGTGTTGCTTCTCTGCAGTGCACCGGTACTGGGTAAGAAGCCCACAGCTATCAACCCTTGCAAAAGTATGAATATCGCAATTGCGTGCTTGGGAGAAAAGTGTACTATTAAAGCGAGATGGTGAACGCATGCGCCCCGTGTATTTCAAAAGAAACAAAACTTTGTGAATGTTTATACCTACGTTGCAGTAAATTTTTCAAAATTTAGCTGTGACTGTTATGCAAGGGTGCATGTTTGTTAGGCAGAGATGCCCTGACGACCCCCGTTCATTTCAAATGCAGGGTTGAAAAAAGAATATCTGCATATAGCAAGATTTTTAAATCCACTCAATTAGGTATATCTGGGCATCTCTATAGCTTTAATATTAAGCTAAATTCATTGTTTACTTGCCATCCCAAGGCATCGGACTTTATGAGGTCACAGTCCATAAATATACCATAGAATACCGTGCATCCGCCCATTCCACACTAAGTGCCCATTCCCAAATTTGTACAATCTGAGAAAATGCGCACAATACATTTATATGTAAAATTTATGACCAGACAAGCACCCATCCCCCATTTTTTCGTGATTATCTCTAAATTTTGAGTGGGTGCTTGCCCGGTATTATACGATAGCCGAATTAAAATTACCTTATAAATGGACAACTGGAAGCTTGGGATTAACCTTCACAGGTTTATTTGGGTTTTGTGTAAGCCGGGTGCATCAGTAGTGAAAGGCTTGGAGAAACTATTTCATGTGTGTATTCAGAAATATTTGGCCAAAACCACTATTCGCTTTGAATTCGCTTTGAACTCAAAATACACTATTCGCACATGACCACTGCATTGGAATTTCGCTAAAACAAAGCGACAAGTGTGATGTTGGCATTTAGCTCAAGTTATGTTAGTTATGTCTTTTTGTTTGTGTTTTCATTCTTCTAAATAACTCTTCATCTTCTGTTATTACCGACAGAGGCCAATGTGTTATTCAAACAACCAACAAAACATATATGATGTTAAAGTGTATATTTGTTTCTCAAGATATTTTGAGCCTTTGACTTGTGTATTTATATTCTTCACCACCAAAATGATTTATGTGTAAATAGTCGATTTTGAGTTTGAAACGAATTCGAAGTGAATAGTGGTTTTGGCCAAATATTTTCGAATTGAATATCAAATAGGATCTCCAAGCCTTTTACCACCGTGCCCCATGCCTAAACGAAAATTCTGCTGTACTCATAAAGGCTGTTCCCAACCTTCCACATGTCCACTTCTAAGCTCAGTTAAATTTAACATAGTTATATTTATGAATTGTCGTGTAGAAATGGCAAAATTATTGCAGCTATTCTAACCGAGGGGATTTATAAGTCTGCTAATGCTATATGTTAATATTTTTTATTCAGTTTAAAATTCGACAAAAAAAACAAGAAGAAGAAAATGCATGAACGATGAGCACGGGCTGTCAAGTTAGGTCGCAGTTAGCCCCGTTGTGATTAACTGCGATCAACACTTCCGAAGTGTTGATCGCGACAAGTTAGCGTCGGACCAACTTGCTGCGATCAACAGTTAGAAAAGTATGAATATCGCAGTTCATTTCGAAGTGAACATCGAATAGTGTGTTATTCGAATCTACTATATTAGAAAATTTGAATATTCACACTACATTAGCCAGAACATTATGATCACCCGTGTAACACAACATTTATCCACTTTTGGCACTCAAAACAGTTGCAACCCATCTTGGCATGGATTCTACAAGTACTTTGTCAGTGCCTTGATTAAGAATGTACCAGATTTGTAAGCACAGGTCACACAATTTTTGTAGATTGCGACAAGGTGCTTTCTAAGCTCCGAGCTGGCGCCCTATCACATCCCAGATCTGCTCAATAGGACTTATATCTGACAGGTTATGTAGTCAGGGCATCAGCTGGAATTTATCATCATGTTCTTCAATCCACTGTAGCACAATTCTTGCCTAGTGACATGGAGCATTGCCCTGTTGAAAGATTCTGGTTCTGGTGGGGAGGACAAGCAACAAAAAGGTGTAACTGGTCAGCAGTGATCTTGACATCACAGTCTGCTCTTTGTCAGAGTCACTTAAATCAGCAACTTTTCCAATTACACGCACACATAGCCGACAAAATATCTCTCTATCCCTGGTAGCCATTATCTGCCATCAGCATCAGAAGATGGTAGATAGCACGGATGGCTCATCAGCTACGTGTGCTCATTCCCATGATGTAGTGGTGGCCATAATGTTTTGGCTGACCAGTGTATGTGTAATTTTAAATTGATTGTTACACTTCACACCTGTTATGAGCATAAATCTCAGGTATAATACACTTTCACAACTGAACTATTTGAAATGTATCATCTTGTTCCCAAACTGCTACGCTTGCTACATTTTCGGTTTATAGTAAATTGACCCATGGTGCTATCGTGTTCAATGAACGACACCATTAGCATGGAGATGGTGCCCTTTATGGGGTGCCAGAAAAGTAGTATCGAAGACAGGTTTTGAGCCATGAGATATAAACAATAAATAGTGGTGTCTGTGTGTGTATACTTACTGCTGCTGTCACTAAATGAGTCTAGACTATCTTTAGTCTCCAGCGATGCAGTGGGTTTTCAGTGTCTTCTTTTCACCCTACCTACTACCATCCGGCATGAAGATGAGAATACTTTTTTGTTTCTTCTGCCTGCAGTCGGAGAAAGACTTTGGAGAGGAGCCGGACGATATGCATGTTGTCCACGAGAAGGCATCTGAGCCGCTGATGAAGGATGCCAACCGGAGCGAGAGAGAGCGCCTCGAGAGGTTCTTCGAATCTAACGACAAGTTTGCAGAGCGTGAGCGGAAGACGGCCCGGGAGTTTGTCGGACGCCTCTCTGAGTTCCTGCCTCGCCTACTCCACATCCGCAGCTCCATTGAAGCTGACCAGGACCTTCAACAGTTTGCCAGCGACTACTCCGAAGGTGACTTCAATTGTTTTGATTATCTAGTTATCTATACCTGTGAGGTCAAAGCAGGAGTGGACGATTGCGATACAATTGGCACATCCGTCACTAGTATAAAACAGCAAAATTTGTTCGTGCATCCTCCTCATTCATACTATATATTAATAAGCTGCACACAGCAATATCTTTTTTGCCAAAATTTTATGAAGGAGGGGTAATTGATGACTTTTAAATGCATTTATAGATTTATACTACTTATACAATACACAGTACAATGTAGTGACTGTAGATATATTAAAACATTTCAGCAATGTTTTTTTCCCATTTATTTCTCATTCGTCTGATTGTTTGCTTTATGTTCTTCACATTTCATGAAACTGAATGTCTTACCTTTATAAACCTTAGATTGAACAAAATAAAATGCTATTTACTGGCAGTCTTGATGTTATTTTTAAGAAAGTAGTAAGTTTGTGTAAATATTTGAAATTTCGAATAGTAGTTTTGAATAGTATGATATTCAGTATTCTTTTCAAGGTTAACTGTAATATTCATGCTTTTCGAAGTGTTGATAATGGTGAATTAAGGCCTGTTCCCACACTTGCGCCTTTTTAGGACCGGAGAGACTAACAACTGGTTTTTAAGTCTTTCGTGATGGCTTACAACAGGCTCCGCATCCGCAGTGGCACAGCCGTTCATAAGCCGTCACAAGAGGGTTAAATACCTGTCGTGTCAAAGTCGATTGTAGTCAAATGCAAGTGGAGGAGGAAGACCGAGGAGGAGGAAGACCTGCAGAGTTGATACTGTAATCCCGTGAACCTTGCTTTGCCGGAGCACAGCCGCGTGCTCAGGAGAAATAGCAGACCTTCCAAGTAGGATGCTGCATGCACACGCCTGGTGTATAGGAAGTAAAACTGTATGGTGCACGTTAAAGACCCCAGGCTAGCGGTTCAGCTGAGAGACAAGTTGTCCGTTGAGGCAGACTAACTTCAGACTGTGTAGACATACATACACCCCCAATTGAAGAAAAAACAAGAATGAAAACTACATGTTAATATCTATTGTTAAAATATTTTCAAGATTAAGGTGTGGCTATTCTGCCAGATTATATGTTAGGCAGCTGTGTCCTAACAAGCTGCAATCATCATTTGTGTGTGTGTGTTTTTTTTTTTTTTAATTTGGAATTGAAGAAAGAATATTTGCATATAGCAAGAAGATTTATAAATTCCTTTAATTAGGCTGGGCATCTTTATAGGTTTAGTTTTATGTCAGATTTGTTGTTACTTATCACCTCAATGTAGGCATTAGAATTTTTGAGTCTACAGTTCATAAATATAGTTATAGCTAATTTTGCATAGAATTGGACAAGTGGAAGCTTGGGAACAACCTTCATGATTTCAGCTGGCTTTTCGTTGGAGCATAGGGCAGCAGTAGTGAAAAGTTTTGAGAAAGGTGCAGCGACTATTCAATATTTGACTAAAAATATTTGACTATAACCACTTCCCTCTTTGAATTTGGTTCAGACTAAAATTTCACTTCTTGCCCATGCTTAGTAAGTAGTATAATATAAAAGCCATATTTAATATACTGCATTGTGCCATTTTATAAGAAGGGCAAAGGTATCATTGAGCAAAGGGTCTGTTTCTTGTGTTAACAATGCCTTAAAGAAGCACTAAAATTAGTCACCTTTTTGTCTAACTAGAGAAGCAACTCAATAAGACTCCTTAAACGAGGCAAATATCTAGAAATAAATGTGTTTGGGCATTCCACCTCCCTATAAAATAATATAATTCAGGAGGAGAATACTATCTCTCGACTTTCTCAATAACGCTAGAGAGGAAAGATGGAGCCTCTCCTGGCACGTACGCTATGCCACCTCGAGTCATGCTTGATGCGCGCAGCCAGGAATTGGTGCTCGCTGCTCCCGAGGTGACTGGAGACATTCCCGATGACCCCGAGGACATTAGAGCTCTCTGCCGGCAGGCCTCAAGTGTGTTTCCATAAACCTCTGCCCTATCCCCCCCCCCCCCCCCCCCACCCCCCTTTTTCCGTCTGTTTGTATTCATCCGATTTTCACACCATTACGTCATTGCCATCTGTACATATTCATGATTGTTCAACCTTGCATTGTGTGGCATCGCAGATCTCTAGGGTATGGGCCATCGGCCTTTCTACGGCGTCATGGCTGTCCTGAGCCAGAGTAAATATTATTATTATTATTATTATTCTGACCAATTTTAGTTGCTTATGTGGAAACGGAAAGAACATATCCAGACTATTCGGATGGACGGATGGAGAGATGTTAACAACTGGGCCCTTTATAACGAGCGATAGCTTGCATCACTTAGCCTGGCCCAGCCTCCTAGCCACCCAACATTCTTCCTGCCAATGGCATAATCTTATGTAGTGTTTGCTGATAGGTGAAGAAAGTTTTATTGAACAAAGCTCAGGTTCTGTTTCTTCAATTCCAGCGCTGTGGCAGCAACAGCAGCAGCATTCTGGTCCTTCTGGGTCGGAGGACGGCCCACACCACATCACAATCGTGAATGCTGATGGAATCTACCTGGCCACATACTCTGCCCTGCTGCTCGACCTGAAGCTCATCCACAGTGGCTATTACCAGGGGCTCTCCACTGACGTCCCGTTGACTGAGGTAAGCCTTTTTGGAAAGACGGTGAAGTTGCCCTGGAGCCTGCATTGAATGTTACGTCGTACAAAAGCTGGTCTTGTAAAGACTTCATAATGCAAGTAATTTTGAGTTTCCTGACCTAGAACTCATCACATTTGACGCTGAAGATCTGTGTCCTATCAGAGACGGGCGGAGCACAAAGGTGCTTTACCACATATTAACCCTTTCACTGCCACTACCAAAATAACTCGTTGACCCCCCTCCCCCCCCCCCCTTCCCCCCCGCGCACTCCCTGCTTTTCCCAATTACCGTAAAATTTTGTAAGCGTGCCCTCCCCTGAGAAATCACTCATCCCGTTGACCCGATGTCTGACAGGAATCGTGACAAGCGGATTTGCAACAGGTACTCGCGTTTTGTCTGCGACCTCCACGCGTAATATTGGTTCCCATCACACGTGAATTCGTAGTGAGTTCCTGTGTTTTTTGTCTGTGATCTGCGCGTGCAATATCTGTTCCCGTGGCAAGCAAGTATAGCCAATTTACGCGAGTTTATTGCTTCATGGAAACATGAATCTGCGGCATCCACGGTCTGCGGTATTCTTTCTTGTGCCACACGGGATTTTGTAGTGAATTCTCGCATGTTTATAGCGTTGTGAAACGCGAATTTGCCATGTCTGTGATCTGCGGTATCAGCTCTCTTTCCAAGTGGTTTGTGGTGGGTTGTATTTATCATAAATTTTTAGGGGCGAAGCTCTTTAGGGTCTAGCCTTGTCCGCCCGGCATCCGTGCTCACATCGATTGCCATTCCATCTGTCTTCTTAAAAAAAGAAAAAAATGTTTGCGCAGTCGACAGGATATCGAACCTGTGCGGGGATATCCCAGTGGATTTCTAGTCAATCGCCTTAACCACTCGGCCACGACTGCGGGACGAGTAAGGGGCTCTGAGATGTGGTAGTAACTCAAGAGCTAGGGATGGCATGGATGGAACGTTGCATGTAGCCGCTCAACGTCTATACAGGAGAGGGCGCTGCGGTCAAATGCGTATATAATCGCATTAAAGTTTGCATGCATTGGCTCAACGTTTCTAGACGAGAGTGCACTGCGGTCAAATGCTCAAATCCCGTATATAACCACGTTCTATACCACATTCTCTTTCTGATGAGGATGAAAACGAAGGAAAAGCTCGGCATGCTGCGGCTCAACGTCTACGCAACAACAAGCTGCTCCGGAGGCCAGGGCGCGAGAAGCTGCTGTAAATCGGTATCATTAGCACCACCAGAGCTTTGCCCCAATCAACATCATTCAGCATGTGGAGATGCGGTAATTTTTTGATACAGTTTTGCTGTCTCATCCCAAAAGATAGCCCACTTTATGCCTTTCACCATTTATCTCTTTACTTGGAATGAATGCCCTTACGGGATTTTATGGTATACTTGTTTTGCGCTTTAAGCTCACTCCCTGCCACTTTCGAGATTTTTTGGTTAATTTGAAGGTTAATTTTTAGGCAACAAGTGGATTGCATTTTTCTTCCTCCGCTTCGTCTCAGCAGTGCAGCCATGGCGCATCAGCGTGGCACGTGCGCCCGCTTTTTGACGGACAAAATAATTTATGAACTTTTGATCATCTCTGACTTTGTTGAAAGCGATAACAATGAAGCAGCTTATGGTATCTAAGTGGCTTGTTCACGCGGGATGTCATGGACGCAATTGTTGAGCCGACAGACCTTTTTGAGTGCCAAGTACTTGTTTCATTTACGTCGGCGAACTGGTCCCATATTCACCAGTGGAAAGACGCGACTGCAGGTGATTCTACATATTTCTGGCTTTCATAATGCTGATACCACAAGCAAGGAAGAGCACCATTGCTGAGTTACTAGCATGAAATGTTCGCTGAACCAACCTGTGGAAAGAAACCAGGAGGAAGTAAAAAGCATTAAAAAAAATGAAAAAAAAAAATTTAGAGCCGTTCCACTTCACGTGAAGATGGAGGACCAGCTAAGCTGTTATCTTTACAGCGTCTTCGACGATGCCTAGAGGATGACATCTAGGATGACCTCATTGACGACTTCTTGGACGACCTCAGAAACGACGCCTAGAGGACGACGCCTAGAGGATGACGTCTAGGACGACGTCTAGGACGACCTCAAGGATGACTTCTAGGACGACCTCGAGGACGACGCCTAGGATGACCTCAGGGACAACGTCTAGGGCGACCTCAAGGATGACCTCAAGGGTGATGTCTAGAACAACTTCTAGGACAACCTCGAGGACAACGTCTAGGATGACCTCAAGGACAACTTCTAGGACGACCTCGAGGACGACCTTGAGGACATCTAGGACGACCTCGAGGACAACCTCAAGGACTACATCTAGACGACCTCGAGGACAAGTTCTAGGGTGACACATAAGGAAATTCAGCCCTTCCACTCTGGTGAAAAACAGAGTGGAAAGGCTGGAAAGGTGTCTGCCATCTATGAGCGACGGCGGCAACCAGACAACCGGCCTGCCGATTGTCTGGTTGTCGCCGTCTTTCACAGGTGGCGGTAGCTGTCTTGAGTTTTGTGTCGACATTTGTTTGTCCACGGACACGATACAGGGGAAACTAGCCCTTAACAGCTCCGCTGTAAAAAACGGCAGTGAAAGGGTTAAGCAGGGGACCTTGCAATTCTTGTTTTACCATAATATGGTGTTTGTGACAAGCTCATTGAGTAAAATTAAACTATGCTTTGTGAAGAAAATTCTACAGATGGAAGAGAATAGTGCTCACCCCAATTCTATTTTGAAGTTCACAACTAATTTTTAAAGCATATTTGGAAATATTCTAAAGCATTTATTCACATCTAAAAATTTTGTAATACCATAATTTCATTCGAAGGTTGACTTAGATTCACCGATGTATAAATGTGGGCATTGAAAAGTTCTGAATACTTTCCCGTGTATACAGTGCAATCCACTTATAACGATACCACATAAAACGATGTACTGCTTATAACAATCAGTTTGTAGAGTTTCTAGACTAGAAATGGTTATAACTAGGGTTCGTAGTTTTCGGTTTAAACCGATAAAAAACGATAAAAGTACGCCGAAATCATTTTCAGAAATTTGGTTTTAACCGAGAAACGTCAGTTTGTAGGTTCGGCGTTTTCTGTTTAAACCGATAAAAGTATGGTGGGGGAGGGGGAGAGAGAGGGGAGGGCTTTGCAAGGTTTGACATTGTGCGATGCCTTCGTAATTGCCCTCTTCCAAGGTTCAACCTGCAACAAAAGAGGTCTTGGATTGGCCTTCGCGGGACATGTGTGTCCTTTCTGTGATCGGGCTTAGTGTGTCAAGTTCCCGGTCCTAAAAAAAAAGTTTGGATGTGGGCTAGTATAAGGTTTTTCGCTTCATGCACTTCAGAGGTCATCGAGGAAAGCCGTTAATACCTTTCTTAACACCCTCTCTCAAACTTCCCTGTGGTCGAAAACATAAATACAATGGATTTTATTTCTTTTTTTTTTTGCCATTCCACTGGTCATTGTACGGTCATCACCTCAGACGGTCACGTCGTCAGAATGGGAAGGAAAAAGAAGCGCGCTGAAGATTATGCCTGCGAATTCCCCGATTTTGAGGTGTGTCCTGACGAAAGTTGTAGCGAAGACGACGCTTGTATATGTGTCATTATTTTTTGAGTGATCACAAATATCACAGCTACAAGGATCATCTGATCCGGTGTCCGATTGTGTTTCTTTCATATTCACCGAAAAAAAACGGTAAACATTGTTGGGAATAAATATACACCGAAATAAACCGAAAATTGAATTTTAAAATAAACACCGAAAAAAGTACGCCGAATTTTGAAAAACTAAAAACCGAAAACGCGGAACCCTAGTTATAACGATTGAATTTTCGGGTTTTCTTATTATCGTTATAAGATGATTTCACTGTATATATACTTTCAATGAATAGTGTAGCATGTATTTTGTTGAATAACAGGAGCTGACTTGAGCCTTACCGCAATCTTATCCTGGGCCCCCTGGAGGGGAAGAACCTCTTGTCTTTCAAATTCAGCAATCTATCATAATATTTCCAGGATGCACCAGGATTAATGGTTTTATACTAACTTCAACATTTTGTTGTTTATCCTTGTCATGATGCTTGCAAGTCTTGGCATGCTTCTGACATGAGATTAGGCTACTCGAGTTATGTGCTCACTCACTTCTCAACATGGATTATTAAGAACACTGTGAATATATACCAGAAAAAAGCTTGTGGAAACCCTATTTTTGAACTGATATACGTCGACATACTTCTCGTCCCCAGGAGAAGTTTATAGAAGAAGTGCACGGCAGTGGAGTCCTGGTTTACCTCTCGGCGACGTGGCTTTCCGAGCTGTACCAGCAGGTGCTTCTACGCAGTTTGTTGGAGGGTGCTGGCTATGAACCTGACTCGAGGACAAATCACTCTCTCATTAACCTCCTCACTGGTACGTATAAATCCCCCTCTCTTTCTCTCTCACTTGTTTTTTTTTATGAAGCTTATTTTACTGTCTTGCTTTGGCCTGGGCAGAAACTGCATTTTATGTCAACTGTGTCACTTACGAAGAAACAGACTGAAAACAGGCTTTAGAGCCATGTTTTTTTTAAGGCCTCAAGTGTATACTATCAGGTGCTTGTTCGGCATTAATGAATTTCGGGTGTTTGAAGACTTTAGCATTCATTTTTCAGCTTCGGGATTTCTTCAAATCATATATTTTTACATAAAAACAATTAAAATAGAAAATTAACTTTGCATGTTTATTGTAGAATACCAAGAAGGCGTCCCCCAAATTGCGGCAAAAATCGGATGAAACGGAGGCATGGGCGCTTGTTCAGTTCGAACGACAAAAAAGAAGATGGCAGCCAATAGTAAAGATGAAATACTTTGCAGTATTATTTGTAAAAAAATAATGACAGAGAAAATGTGAACTGCACAGTATTTACAGCATTGAATATCTAGAAAGCTTTCGGTGACAAAGATCGAATCTTCACAGGTGCCAGTGAAAAAACAGAACAAATTAGTTGTTAGTTGTTTATACAGCAGGAGTTTAGTCTGCCAGGACATGGTGACATTGTTACCCACCGTATATAAGCACTTTAGCCAGTGCAGTACAATCGCTAGCCTGGCGTCTTTAACGTGCACCACGCAGTAGTGATACACGACCGCACGCCGGTACGATGCTCATCCAGATCGAAATGGGCAGGGGTGGGGATTGAACCCAGGACAGGTGTCTTGGTAAAATTACCGCAAAGACAAGGGAGGGAGAGCGGAGAGACAGGGGAGAGTCTCCACGTTCTTCCTCCCTTGTCTTTACGCTAATTTTACCAAGAGGTATATCCAACTAGCCCACCAGATGATTTTAATCTATTTACAGGCAAGTAATAATTTAAGCAAGACTTACAGGCATGTAGTTGTAATGAAAAAAAAAAAAATACAGGTGCCATGTATTTTTTATTGCTTGCCTGTAAATCTTAAAAACTAGAAAAAAAAAAAACTGGTCCTAAAATTTAAAGTAAAAAAGGAACACAAAAAAACAATTGTAGCCCAACAAAAATATTAGCGAAAGTGTCATGTTACTAGAAAGAAGTGCTCGGGGAGGGGGGGGGGGGGGTCTGAAACATTTGTCAAAAGTGTTTGCTTTCTTTTTCTTCTTTTTCGAGAGAACTGTCTCCCCCTCCCCCACCGTACTTTTATCGGTTTAAACAGACCGGGGACAATAAAAAAAGAAGAAAAAGTGGCACAAAGAGTGTGTGGTTGAATTGGGGGCCCATGAAACATAGGGGTGCAAGTTTTTTCTTACTTTCTTCTCATTCACTAAAGTCTGTCGGAGTAAATGCGAGAAAATTGTGCCAATGACATGGGGGAGCTGGTGCTTGATCTATATTTTTCATGATTTTCAAAGCCTGTAAAAGTCGATAGTGGGTGCTTGTACGAACATGGGCACTTTGTTGGTATTTTATGATAGGCGTTTTTGTTTCAACACATACAACTTGTGTTTTTATATTCTAGTGTCAGATATACATACCAGAAAAGACTTCTAGTAATATAAAAATGATTAAAAAAAATGACAATGTCATAAATTCTAAGAGACTTGGCATCTAAGCCTGTAAAAATCTAAGTTAGCAATATGCTGACAGCTATGTTGAGGCTTCCATGAGAGCTTTCTATTTTCGGTAAAAAAAATAAGCATTTGATTGCTAATAGTATTTGCTTTGCCACTGCAGCTTTATTTGTCTTGTCCGGCGTCCGTGCTCACATCGATTGCCATCCCATCTGTCTTCTTAAAAAAAGAAAAAATGCTTGCGCAGTCGACAGGATTCGAACCTGTGCGGGGAGACTTTCTAGTCCATCGCCTTAACCACTCGGCCACGACTGCGGGACGAGTAGGGGGCTCTGAGATGTGGTAGTAACTCAAGAGCTAGGGATGGCATGGATGAAACGTTGCATGTAGCCGCTCAATGTCTATACAGGAGAGGGCGCTGCGGTCAAATGCGTATATAATCGCGTTAAACTTTGCATGCATTGGCTCAACATTTATAGACGAGAGGGCGCTGCGGTCAAATGCTCAAATACGTATATAACCATGTTCCATACCACACATTCCCTATCAACGCAACCTGGAACTCAGCACTACCTATGAGCAGTAAAAAAAAATTGGCACCATCAGCACTACCTATGGATAAAATCAGTATCATCAGCACCATCAGAGCTTTGCCCCAATCAACATCATTCACCACGTGGAGATGCGGCCATTTTTTACCTTCAGGGGGTTCACAAAGCTGTTTAGGAGCCATGAATTTTACACTGTTTGACAAGCAATAAATGCATTTTCGTTCGTTTTACAGTTATTGTGTCATATTCCTATATTTTTAATTTTATTATTGATATGGAATCTGAACTAAAATGAAGAAAATGCATTTTCGTTCGTTGTTCATTTATTTTGTCATATTCCTATATGATTCAGTCCAATTTTATGAAAATATGCTGTTTGCAGATATGTGGTGAAACTATCTGTTACAAAAGGATACATGTCTGGCTGTAAAAACACCTGTAACTCCACAGGTCAATGAAGTTTCAGCCCACAAAAAATCAAACATCACGTCTACTGCTTTTATCTGGCATAATCATCTAAATGAAGCACCCTAAGCACAGTTTTCAGTGAAGCTGATCTAGATAATAGCGGTCAGCTTGCCGCAAAAAAGAGCAACATGCATAGGTGACTGCAAATATGGCAGTATTTAAAATATTTTAACATTAATTATTCTTTTTGGATTAATCTTTTTAAAACAAGGAAGTCCAGCAGGTTACAAATGCACGCTTCATACATGATTTAGATCACTGTTGAAGCTCTATTTGCATTATAAATACATAGCGCAAAAAAAAAATAAAAACAGAGAGATCAAGCTTATGGTGTAGTGACGTATACGTGAGGTATCAGGCCCACAGGTTAGGAATTCAGTTTTCAAGAACCTTTTCAAATTATTGTTTTTTTTGTGTACCGCCTAAACACATCTTATGCAGAAGTAAGTTTAGAAGAGGCGGATGCCAGCGCATTAATTGTTGTTCAAGCAAGCGATTGTGCCTGTTTGTGGTTTCTGCAGACATGGATGGTCTCGAAAGCGACCAACTGGGATCCCGGCAACTGTCGGACTACCGGAGACTGGAGCGGGCCAGTACCAACGTGGAGCTTACGCCGTCCATGCTGGCAGGTTAGACTGATTCCCACACATTGACTGGGAACTCACACTATCTAAAAATTGCATAATTTGATTTCCTGTTTCTGTCTTTGGTCTCGTTTTGGCCTCATATTGTGATTTCACCTTGCTCTTGTAATAAATATTGCAAAAGAAAAAACGTTTAGCCTTTCTACTTTTGTGAAGAAGGAAGGCCAGCGGAGCTGTACTCGATACACTGGCGCAACGCGCATGCGCGTGTTTCCGGCTTGTTCTCGTCCGACACGCCGCCGATCGTGGATACGTCTTCGGCGAACCAGAGTCGGTCGCACACGGCGCACGTGACGCGAAACGGGTAATCCACGAATTCCCTCTGGAACCTCGCCGTCGCGCCCGGGAACTGTTCAGCCGGCGTGGAGTGCAGTCATCGCCAGGCCTCGCGCTTGCGCTTGGCCTCCGTGGCATGATCGTCGTCTGTGGCATTGGCCTGCCGGCGCCCTTTACATCGCTGGTTCCTTCTCGGCGGAAACTTTTTAGGCGAGCGATGTGCTCTTCTTTGGCAAGTGAATCTGAAGCGCTCGACGCAGTGGAAGTTGAGGCGACAGCTGCTTTGCGGCGGTTACGGACCCGTTCGCATTGCTGCATATATCGCCACTCCTTCCGCAGCCAGTCTTCTTTCCCCGAAAGGCAGTGTAGCCGACCCATCCTAAGTCTAAACCGAAAAAGAGCGTAGGAAACAGCGCGCAAAACAGAAGAGGACAAAGTAACACAGGGGGGATCGGTGGCCGAGTGGGCTGAAGCGCACACCCAGCTCGACGCGCGTGGAGCGAAAGCTCGCGCTGCAGAACCCAGGGATCCTGGGTTCGAGCCCCACCCCTGCCCGTTTCGATCTGGATGAGCATCGTACCGGCGTGCGGTCGTGTATCACTACTGCGTGGTGCACGTTAAAGACCCCAGGCTAGCGGTTGTACTGCACTGGCTAAATTGCTCATCTACAGTGTAAACCAGTGTCGCCCCTACTGGCAGACCAACCTTACGCTGTATAAATCACTAAACGTCCAATTTGACTTTTTTGACTTTTGACAAAGTAACACACGTGACGAGTGCTGCGCTCATCACGTGTATTTCTTCTTCGCCCTTTTCTGTTCTTCGCGCTGTTTCCTACAATGAATTCCCACCAACGCACCCAACTATCCATTCTCCTATGATAGCCGGAAAGGTTGCTGCCATCTCCGAGCGACGGCGGCAACCAGACTGGTTGTGTGCTTGCCGCCGTCACTTATAGATGGCGGTAGCTGTCCAGGTAGGTTTGTGTCGACAGGCGTTTGATACCGGACACGATCCTGGGGAAGCTAGCCCTTAACAGCTCCGCTGTAAAAAAAAGACAGGCCATAGAAACAAGGAATATGCGTGACAAACAAGCTGGCTCATAGTTGAGGCTTTTTACAGCGAAGCTGTTTCTGGCTAGGATTTTGTGAATTTTTCGTGTCCAGTGACTAAAAACTCTACGCTCACACCACCGCACGCGCACGCCTTCCTCGTATAAAATATTTAAAGTAAATAACCAAAATATATGGTACATTGTGTTCGATTTGTTTCTCAGGGTGACTTCATAACAGACAAAAAGCCAAACAATCGAATTGATGGGTGTTTGACGACTGCAGGCATGAAGTTTGCCCGCCGTGTGCTCACCACGTGCTGGGACACGATGCTGGAGGTGCTTTGTGTTCTGCTGAACGGGACCAACTCGTGCGGTGTGGCCAGCTCCCTGGGACTGCTCCTGGGCACTGACGGGGCCAAGGAGGATCGCCGCAAGGCCCGGGAAGCTGTGGCTGACTGCCTGGACGGGCTGCAGAGGGCTGCCAAGCTTTACAACGTTCTTGGTGAGGCACGGTTCTGCAAAGGACGTTCGAGGTTGACCAGGACTTTAGTTCCTGAGAAATCGCCGAACAACTGTTGCATTATGAAACTTACAGAGGGCGTTAAAGTAATCCTTCTAGAATATCCAGTGCCTGGATCGACGTCTTTGAAGCACGTGCAGTAGTTCTAGCTAGGCTGTGGAGCAGTGGTGCATAATCGAATTTCTCGTGCGGGAGAAAGTAAGCCAGCCGAAGTTTTGCGAAGATTGCAAGCACAGCATGGGAAACAAACAGTATCATGGGTAAGAGTGAACGAATGGTGTCAATTGTGGCGCGAAGGTCGACAAATGAACCACACGGACACATTCATCTGACTACTGCCGCACAGCCCAATTATTTCCACGCCAAAGGCGTCAAGGAGCTTTTGGAATGATGGCGGTAATGTCTGGACGCCCACGGAGGATACTTTGAAAAACTGATGGGAAGTTCCGTGCTTGTCGGATTTTGCATTTTATTTCTAGGAATAAAAGTCTCGGTCAACTTTGAATCACCCTTGTAGATTTGCAAAGCTCTCATTTGGTTTTGTTTTCATGAAAATTTTTTTCAAGGATAGAAATATCTGTTTTTCTTATTCTTGTTTGCATTGCTCTTAACTGGCCTTCCGTTTTTTTGAGGAGGGAGGTCAAGGACAGGTATCTCCCAAAGGGTCTCAGAATGGCAGCGGTTGTTTTGCTAAAGGGACTATACCTATTACTTAACTTTGTGCATGCTCAAGAGGGAGTCATATAAACCGGGCACTGCACCGTATGACGCTCTCGGGTTTACATCTTCGAAGGCGTTAGCCGCGTCGGAGCCATGGTGTCCAGGACTCGCGTTCCATAATGGCGTGCTGTGCCTGTCGTCGGGCGCTTGTCACTGCCTCGATTTGCGCGAGAGAGAGCTGGGCAGGTCAGCCAATCAAGTAGCACTGAAAGACGCCCTGAAAGGGTACATGGGCTGATCCAGCTTTGACGACAGGGAGGCCCGAGCCAAGCTGGGCCTTGAGCAGAACACTGAGGCTTCACTCAAACTGACATTAAGGAAGGCCTGCCTAGATAGGCCTTTCTTAATGTCTGTCGCAGAAAAGTGCCTACTGCTTACTCCAATTCAGTAGCAGGAGGTAGAATTTGGAATGCAGTGTTTCCTCAAAATGAGCTACAGCCACTTTTTATGGTCCTGGGCGTTGCTTGGGGTCTCGGGAAATAACGGCCCCGGCACCTTTTTTTTGCGAGTCTGCCTATAATGTGGCAAAATGAGTGGTAAAAAGAAAACAACTAACTATACTGTAATATATTGAGTTGTTGCCCACCCCCCTGCCACCTGAAATTCATAAAAAAAGTGGAGTGGGACATGTCTCGGTGGGTAAGCACAAAAAGTTTAGAAAAAGCTAAGAAAAAGCCAATTTTTCTGTACATATCTAGCGTGGCTGCACAAGACATACGTTTAACTCATAACTCAAATTAGTTTGTGTTATGCAAGAAATGCTTGTGAAAGAATGTTTTACTATTGCAAAGTCTGTTGCTTGCATATGCGCGATGAACACCGCCGATTGGCATACAGAACGAATGTTTGTTTCATGAAAGGATGTTTCTAACTCTGCTAAAATCTCTTCATTAGTAAAAAAAAAAAAAACAAGCACAACGAGTGAGTGAGCGAGCGGGCGAACGAAAGAAACGACGAAGAGCAATGCTGGGGAAGTGGGAAAACCAGGGATCGCGTTGGCAAATACCTTGGCTTCGAGCCAAGTAGGTTTCTTTCTCAATCGCAAGGAGCAACCTGTTGCCCAGCTTTTTTGTTTGGTGCATACATGCTTGCGTACATGTGTGCATCCGTGTGCGGCGTGCTATCAACATGGGTTGAGGCGGTGTTGGTGCGGGGTGTGGGCGACATCACGAACACTGAGCTTGAAATGGGACGCTCTGCAAATGTCTGTGTGTGGTGTTCCAGCAAATCTTTATATATCCGTTGACTTTGTCTGAAACATAGCACAACCTTACCAACCGTGGTCGCGACGTTCCAGAAGAAGCAGTGGGTTCGTGGTGACCTTACTTCGGTGGAAACGGACTTTGACCTTACACTCTGCGGTTACATTCCAGGCACGGTGATTCCAGGATAGGGTGCGTTTGCTGACCTCGCGATCCCTGAATGGGTTACTACTTCTGTTATCTCAATCAATCAACCTTTATTTAGTTTGAAAGGACAAACTAGGGTGCAAGAAAAAAGCAGTTTATACTGCTTGACGAGCCTCACCACTCTTTACAATTCAGTAGGGAAAAAAACACACATATAGCACTGTGCAACATATAATTATGTATTTACACAATACGCACTACAGAAATTTTACTTTTACATAAATAATGAGATTAGTTAACATACAGCTGAAACAATAGTGAGTTACAAAAAATTGTAGAGCCCTTCCACTTCACATGAAGATGGAGGACCAGCGAAGCTGTTATTTTTACGATGTCTAGGACGATTTGAGGACATTTAGGACGACCTCAAGGACGACTTCTAGGACAATCTCAAGGATGATGCCTAGAGGACGAAGTTTAGGACGACCTCAAGGACGACTTCTAGGAAGACGCCTAGAAGATGACCTCAAGGACGAATTTTAAAACGACGTCTAGGACGACCTCAAGGACAACTTTTAGGACGACCTCGAGGACGATGCCTAGAGAACGAAGTCTAGGACGACCTCAAGGACGACTTCTAGGATGACCTCGAGGAAGATGCCTAGAAGATGACATCAAGGACGACTTCTAGGGCGACGTCTAGGACGACCTCAGGACAACTTTTAGGATGACCTCGACAACGACGCCTAGAGGATGACGCCTAGGACAACATCTCGGACGACTTCTAGGACGACCACAAGGACGATGCCCAGAGGTGATAACAAGGGATCAGGGCCTCACTATTTAATAATGCCAAAGCAGGCTGACTTACGCTGTTTGCTCTCTCTTTTTATTTTTATTTATTCATACTTGCCTTGACCAATGAGGAGTTTTCTGTTCACATCCGCGGGTGCATTTTTTAACAGATCCTAGCGCATAACAGCTTTGCTATAAAAATAATTACGGAGAGTAGAAAAATGCATATGGTTCTAAAGATCACACAAGGGAGAATTAAAAATGTTTAGGCAACATAGAGCTCAGGGCAGTAAAAACATTTACCCTTTTCAACATTTTTTTTTGTCCGAACAAACTTTTGTTTTAAGCAAAACAAAGTTTCATTCTGTTATCTCCATCATTTTCGTTTTGCACACATGTACTATGAGTTGGGGTCGTGGAAATCGAGGAGGAAATGCGTAAACAAAGAGAAGTGTCTTTACCTCCTTCGTTTTAGTTTGTCACAGACGTCCTCCAACGGTAAGGTCCGTGGCCGCATCATTTGGGTAGGATGAACGTTTTCGGATCGCGGTGTCCGCGTTGGAGCATCTGTAGGGTGGGCGATCACTCGGGTGTTATTTTGGAAATCAATATTTGCCAAAAAGTGGGGTGAGCGATGACTCGGAGATGGCCTATGACTTGGGATATCACGGTATAAGGCATAATGATGCCATCTCAAAATGAATTGTGGGCGACCATTCTGAGGCCTCAAAGGAAACCTTTGTTTGCTGGTGTGTATTTACCCATTTTTTATGCTTTTAAAAGGACCATTCTCCGATAGCCTTCTTCCTTGACACATCGTGTGCGAAGTTGGGGGAAGTTAACCTTGGTTCGTCTACCTTCTTGTTCTTGTCTGTGTCCTTGCGCTGTTTTAATTTTTAATCATGAAATACCAACTAGCCTAAACTTCCACGTTAGTTAAAAAAAGTGTTGTGCGACTCTAATTTGTTTCTCTTGGACACTACTTGATGCAGGTCTACAGACAAAATGCGGCGCTATCTTTGCCCAGCTGGCGGCGGCATCCTGTCCTTCGCTCGGTTCCAGCGCAGCGGCATCCTCTGAAATGCGGAGGGCGGCGTCCAAGAGGGACCGCCTACGAAACACTGTCCTTCCCGGACGGAGCAAGGCGGTCCGGCTGCATTCCTCGCATGTGCTCAGTATGGACGTGTTGCTCAGTCGGGGCTTGGAGCTGGGCAGTCACAGCGCGGTCTGCTGGCCACACGTCTTCAGGTGAGCTCTCGTGCCAGAATACTACTGTGTTTACCCAAACACAGCGTGTTCCTCCAAAAAGTTTACCGTGTCTTTTTTACCGCAAAAATAAAGCGTACACATCATGAAATCCTCAGTCTCTGCCCAAATGTAGTGCTAGTGGTCTGAACCAGGTGCCAAAGTTTCAGAACAAACCCTTATTTTACTCAAAAGTTGTTCGTGATTTTCTGAAACTTTCAATGGGAAAATGGGGGCTCTTTGAGGTAGGTTGCATAACTCAGCCCCGAATTAATGAATATCCCTTATAACTTTCGAATTAGATAACGGTTTGTTCTGAAACTATGGCATGTGGTTCGGAACATTAGTGCTACGTTTGGGCAGAAACCGAGCGTTTGACGATGCATAGTTTATATTTGCAATTGAAAGAAAACAAAAAAAACATTGTAAATATTTTTGGGAGACCTTGTACATACGCAGAACACGTGTTGATAAGTTCATCGGGGGACTAGATAAAGAACCATAGGATCCGTAAAAACGTATATCAACCGATAATGCTCTTGTGGTGCTGTAGGTAAGACAGGAAGCCATTTTCACGCAACAATGTAGTGTGTCTATCATATTTATTAAAATATAGGTCGAGGTGTTTTTTTTTACTGTTCTTCAAAGGGAGTAACCAAAGAACTCTGACAAAACTTGTGAACCCATTGAGTGAATGGAGACATCTCTCTGCGTCATGACTGCTCTTAGCATGCTAACACAAAGCATTGAAGCTTGATGCGCTCGCACCAGTGCGAGCGGTGTAAGGCTGGTGTCAATGACGGGAAGAAATCTGGTTGACTTGTTAATATGTGCTCTTATTGGAAGTAGAAAGCACTGGGCCTGTTTTATCGTAGCAGCTGCCATCCAGCTGTTTTGCTAACTGTCACCTCAACTTCTTAGCACATTGCTTGCAACATCGAGACAATAGCAGCATCGTTGTTTCGCAGTTTGAACGAAGGTGGGGTCAGTGTGGTTGTTGAGTGAGTTTCTTTTAAAGGCGACTAGGGATTCTGTGGAATTTGTGTTTGTATGAACCTATTTTTAAAAGGGAGAGCCTTTCTTTATTGTGATGTCATAGTCACCAACGGGCATGAACTTTGAACTCCACGTGAAATGAAACTAGCAGATGCAAGGGAATCAAGTACATTAGAAGCGTGTGTGCATATTGGAGAATAAGGGGAAACATGAACGGGCTTTAGTGAAAGCCTTTTAGTCATTTTGGCTAAAAGGAGCTTTAATTATAATTTAACTGATTTTCATTTTTTTGTCATAAGTTACAATTACAACTACTTTTGTAATGATTTCATAGAGTCACTGACAGGAAAAAGAGTGCTCAGCCTTTTGTTCCCTAATGCTTTTGCTACAGTTGAACCTCGATTTAACAAAACCCGATTTTACAAATTTCCCGATTTAACGAACAAATTCGGACTCCCCGCGCAGCCTATGCCCGAAAAATGTCTACAAAGTTCCCGATTTAACGAAATAATAAGCGAGTCCCAGCAACTTCGTTAAATCGAGGTTCAACTGTATCATGAAACGAGCATCAAGTGACTTCTTGAATTTTTTTTTAAATTTTATTATATTGCGAAATTTGTGTCTCTAATGGGACTGCAAAAGCAATGGGTGCAGTTACCAAGCTACAGCAAGGAGTTTCCACCCTAGGTGCTGCTGCTACATTCTGGAGCTGGAGCGGAGCTGCTTCCAGGGCAAGTCCTCAGTGGCAAGCCAGCTGAAGCTGCAGTTCTCAGCTTTCTCGAGGTGTGACAAGAAGCAGCCGCCAGCTTCTCCCAAGCCTTCATCGGACAGCCTCGTCCTCCAGCCCCCAACCGAATGCTACGAGTAAGCAGCATTGTATTGAACTCACTTTGTTTTTTTTTTCTTATTTATTTATACTTGTACCACTGGCTCTTGTTTAAAACTGTTTTAGGAATGGTTGCTGGAATAACAGTCACTACAGCGAAAAAGACATGGTCAGAATGGCAAACAACCCCAATTGCAATATTTAACATTGCACAAAGGTATAGCAACAGCACAAATAAAACAAATAAAAAAAAAACATGCAAGCAAAACAAAGATAGGTTTTTGCTCAATGATAGGTTGTTTTCACACACATTTCAGAAATGAGTTTAAATAACTAGAATTCTTCTTTTAGTGGTTAGGCTATTTCAGTTTTTGAAAGTGTGAAGGAATAATGAATGCTGGATTGTACCTGAGTGTTTCTTATTAGAGCTTGGCCCATTGGTACTCTTTGAGTCTCTGAATAGGATGTGTCTACATACTGTAAAATCCTGAGAGATAGCCACCTAAAATCAAGAGCAAATCAGGTGAAAATATGGAGTGGGCTAACTTTCGATGTACAATCAAGAAAAGTAAAAAAAAATTGCTATTCTTGAGTCGTGTCCCTTCCAAGCTTGTTATGGTGGCGAGGGGCAATGAAGCAAAGGCGACTGTACTTCCCAGTCTGCAACATTCGCTTATATCCCGCCATAGCTAACTAGCCGCATTTATGCCGAGGCCATCATTGTTCCCAACACTAATAATTATTAGGAATGGGCTATCTTTCGGTGTTTAAAAAAATATAGCAAATTAAGCCAAAAATAGGGGTAGGCTATTTCTGGGGGGTGGGGCATCTCGGGAGATTTTATGGTACTTGTTTATCAAGCTCTCAGAAACAGGGTGACCAAGAATGTGCACTTATTCTGGGGGAGAATATAGAAGGATTGGAGTTTTCTATGTGATAAGTGTAGAAGTAAAAGATGTTTTTTCTCATTGCGTTTTCTTGCTCCTCTCATATGCTTATCTAATTTCATCTATTAAAATGCCCAAATGGATAGTAGGAAGTTGACTCATAATTAAAGTTGCACACTTTGAAGTCTAGTTTAGGCGAAACTTGAAGAATGTGCTTTAAGTATATTCAATATTTTGCTTACATTGAGATATTTGGATTGTTTCTCAGTTTTAGCCCTCAAGCACACACACTGATTTTGAAGTTGATTTACTTTCTCATTTTTCAAGATCAGAAATGTAAGATGCCTGCCCAAGAAGCTATATAATAACAAGCATAGTACCTAATATTTCAGTTTAGTCTTTTTCATCTGATGCAGTTTCCTCTTTATAGCTCGTCAAATTTCGAACAGCATTTCCTACATTTTTGGTGCTGTCTTTCACATATATCCCTATTTCTGAATTCCTGGAAGGTATGACTTTTCATCTACAGCCTCCTATAAGCAGCTTACCATTGTCTTAAAACAAGACTGAGCAAGTTTAGTTTGTCCTTTTTTTGATGCCGATGGAGCATTTTTGAAAATCACCGGCTCAGGAGGTTATGGTACGAAAATATGTTAGCCTTGAGCAAGCGTGGGCATTCCTTTGTCCTAAGAAGCTATCCTGCTGGCTCTATTCAGCCACAGTAACCTAGATTGGGCTCTCGCAAAAGTCCTTTTTGTGCCTATTGGGGCTTATCTTTTTGCTTCCTACTTAATTCTAAGGCACTTGTTCCTGCCTAATGCACTCATTGTTTCATTCCGAGAATCCTCAAACCCAGTTTTCCGTTAAGGTGGTGCCAGTTATTTCTAAAATGGTGGATTATCTACTTCATTGTTTGCATCAGCTTTAACAGAGAGTGTGTTTTATCAGATAATTCTTTGGGAAGACCGTCATGAAGAACCGTTGCGAAGAACCATCATGAAGAGCTGTCTTGGAGGACTGTGATGTTACATGACACCATGATGTAATGATGACTTTATAATGACTTCATTATGATGTCATGTGACGCCAGGTCAAGATGTCGGGTGATGCCGTGAGGACATCACTGTGACGTTATGCTGTCATGACGTCATCATGACATTACATGATATGATGACAGTGTTGGCCGGACAACCTGAGATCGCGGGACTGATGTCACGTGACATTATGACGTGTGACGTCAGTCATGTGACCTCATGATGTCGCACTAATATAGCATGTGCTCAGCTCATTCCCAACACATTCCATGCTTCCGGTCTTTGACAGCTTTTGACTTGAAAACCATGCAGAAGGTTTCTCAAAGCTTGAAATCATAACGTCATGGAGGTCACGTCGAAGAGCTACAGTCAAAGAGGCACCTGGAATTTGTTTGTTACTGCAGGGATGAAGCTATGTTGGAGCCGGCGCCCATGCCGGGATCCGTCTCGGTGCAAAGCATGAGCGTGGCCGACATGGTGAAGAGCTCCACCCAGGCTGCTGGTTCTTGCGTTTTGTCCGGCAAGCAGCTGGAACCCATTGTCGAAGCTCTTTCTCAGCTTGTGGACAGGTGAGTCCGATGGTTAGGATCACCGGAGACCACGGTTGCTACTAGACTGTAAAGCTTCCCCTAGCTATTTAAGAATATCTTTCGTAGCAAAGAGGCTACAATTGAACCCAGTAATAATGAAGTCGACAACATTTTGTCACATCTGGACATCACAGAAAAGAAGTAACGTAAAATACCGAGCATTCACCCATTCCACAATAAATGCTCACCCCTCAATTCTATAACATAAGAAAAATGCACAAAAGACTTATCTTTACATATTGATGACTCAAGAAGCACCCATCCCTTAGTTTTTTATGATTTATTTCCAAATTATGAGTGGGCGCTCGCTCGGGATTTTATGGTAGATTTCGATGCACTCAATGTGTCACGGTCATGCACGTTATGGCATAGGCTTGTGCAAAAGCCATTGTCCCGTTTTTATTTGCTTTTAAATGCAAAGTAACTACAGCGAACTAGCAGTCGTATTTGTTAGAGCCCTTATTCAAGAATCTATGAGGGAAGAAACCGAGGAAGAGGAGGAAGACGAGAGCTTGCGGGGCGTCTGAGCGCTGAGCTCTGGTTGGAATGATTAGTGGGGAGACGCAAAGACTTTGTCTCAACTCACTTTTCAAATGCATTCGAATGCCAAACTCCGGCATCCAGCGATCGGTGTTTGCATTCGAACGCGTTTGAACAGCGAATAGAGACCCATTATAATCATACCAGGCAGAGCTTGGCACTCTGGCATCCCCACGCACTCTCATCTCCTCTCCTCCCTCAGTTTGTATATGCTAACATGCCTGAAGATGAACATCTCTCTTTGCTGGAGAGCAAGGAGCTGTGGATATGCAGAAAGCACAACCTCTAGCTGGCACGTGGGGAGAGTACGTCCTTGTGAGCATGCTAAAAAGAAATGCAGGAGAGAGCAAGCTTCTATCGCAAACGAAAACATTTGATATGGGACTACTCGCAGTGCTTTCGAGCGTCTTTGCAGACTCCATTTTGGTTGCATCCAACCGTACATAAAGGATGCTTCTATAGAAGTACTAATGAAATACGCTCAAAAATATGCCTCTACTTTCACCACTTTTTTTTTTTGCTCGGTGCCTCCGCAGCATTCTTGTCAACAGCACGGTTGATGAGCACTTTGATTACCAAGTTCTATGCGGCAGCAATAGTGTCGTCAATGGAAAAACTCCACAACGTCAACGTCCAGTGGGATGAAGTGTTCTTGACCCATGCACTCTAAGAGTCGCTCTAGCGGTTCAAAGAACTCGCAGTGGCTTGTTTTTCATTGCTTCCTGCAGCCACAGGTAGAAATGGCATTGCATACAAGTCTTCCACGAGTTTTAGGTTGTTTATTGAGATTCTTGAGTGCATGTTTTACTGGTTAAGAATAGGCTACTAAATTTAGTAAACCATGTATGAACTATGTCAAAGGCAACACTCCCGAATTGGTCCTACTCTGCCTCAGGCTGTTTGACGAAGCCGCTGGCAAGCTGAACCTGTGCGCCCTGGTGGGGTTCCTGTCAGAGCTGTGTGCTGCCAGCCGTGCCCAGCTCTTCAGCAAGGGTCAGCAGCAGCACCAGCACCATCAGCCGAACCAGGGTGGTGGAGCTCAGTACCCTCTGCTGTTGCTGAACAGGCTGAGCGAGGTCATGCTGAGGTGTGCTCGGGGAGGCAGGCCCTTAGTGCACATCATGAAAGCCTGGAGCATCGTGGCTCCTCACTTTGTCGAGGTAGCCTTCCTTCAGCACTTCCGTTTGGACCCATTTAACTGTGTTCTTTATGTTCATAGACAGAGTTTATGAACTCAAGTACTCTTTAATGTATAAAGGAAGTAGAAAGCTGACTCAGTTGGTATGAATTCATGATTAAAATAATGATGAAGACAAGAACAAAAAAAAAAAAAAAAAATCACCGACCATGGACAAGTGTTTTGTATTTTGGCTTAAATATGTTTTGGCTACATTGTCGAAATGCCTGCTAAAGGTGTAAGCTTATGACGGTATTTTTAAGTTGACTAGTTTAATCTTCAACAAAGTGTATAGCTATATTGTGTTGCAGGTTAAGAAGGGCAAGAGAAGCCCCTACTAAAAAGCCTCCTCACTTCCATGACTTCCTCCAATGGCTGAACATATAGTGTGTAGATGGCTTCTTAGTATGGATTTCAATGCAAAAGCTGCCAAAAGTTTCTTTCATATATTTGCATTATGAATCATTTTTAGCACCGAAGTTTTATGTTTTATTTTATGTTTTATTATCCTTGTCCAAGAGTTATTGACATACTTAGAGCATAGAATTTTGTTGTTTATTTCTTAGGAATTTGAGAGGTGTTTTTTAGCACCTATTTCCACAGCCGATTTCATCGCTTTTTGTTTTCATCTTTCTAGTGGATGATGTTTTGTTCATCATCCACTAATTAGTCATGTGGAATAGTATAAAGTGAATAATGGTTTTGATCAGACATTGTTGAATTGAATATTGAATAGTTCCTTTTGTCTCTCACAATTAAGCGCCATGCTTTAGCTAAAATTCATCCGAAAGGTTCTTCCCAACCTTCCACTTCTCTACCTCTAAGCTCGGTTATTTTAATATAACTGCTATATAAACTGTGGCATGTAAACGACAGATTTGTTGCAGTTATCCTAATTGAGGGTGTTTATAAATCTGTTTACTATATGCTTATATTTTTTCTTCTATTTCAAATTTGACAGAATAAAAACAAAACAAGCACGAATGATGAACGCTGGTTGTCAAGACATTCCATTTCATATTTGACAAAATAAAAACAAAACAAGTATGAATGATGAACGCGGGTTGTCAAGACATTGCTGCCAAACATAAATTCCTGCATAATCGCACCGGGTCTGCCCCGTTGAGTGCGCTTCTCATCGGAGAGCTGTGCGTAGCAGGGAAGCAATACCTGCGGAGGTCGCGGGTATTGCTTTCCTGCTATGCATAGGGGCTGGATGAGATGCGCACTTTACGGGGTTAACCTGCCGCAAGCACCACTTCGAAAAGTATGAATATCGCAGTTCACTTCGAAGCAAATACCAAATAGTGTTTTATTCCAAACTACCATTCAAGAATTTGAATATTTGCACAACACTACCACTAATACGTTTTTAAGAAGAATGCGGTAAAAACGCATACCTATGATTGGAGGAAGTGTTAAGAACCGATAACATTTTTGCCGTCTACAGATATAACAAGAAGCAACTCTCGCACAATAAATTTTTTTACATAGGCTTTCACGGCTGTAGCAGGCTCTCATTTGTATTAAAATATTGTAAACTTTTTTTAGCACTGTTTTTAATAGATGGTCTATAATCATAGCCAAAGAATGTAGGCCATTAAGAGTGAGCAAAATTTCCGAGCCAGTTAAGCTGGCCCATGGGGTAAAGTTTGCTGTGCACAATCACAAAGTTTACTCAAAATAGAACTAGCTTAACCGGGGGAACTAGGGAAACAGCTGCCGAACACAGCAGAAGTGTGTGCATACTGGAAAGAGATGTAAAAAAGTAAACGGGCTGCTGCAAAAGCCTGAATTTTCCAAGCTTAGTGCCAGGTCATGCCCACCTGTGCGAGAATACAAGAAATGCGATGTGGCAGCTGCAGAGGGAAAGAAAGGTGAAAAAGATGGGGAGTGGAAGGGAAAGAAGAGGAAGAGGATTGACTCAGTAGGTTGGTCACGTCAGCCGTGTTGCTAGGCAGTTTTTGGGACATAAAAACTGGGAACGCAAGCGCGACACAGAAAATTAATGCACATACTCTGCGCAAGTTCAATGGGGCTGGCGTTCATGAGTATAACATTCAGGAAAACTTATAAGTTGAGGTGTCAATGTGATTCTACATTTTATGATTGGGAGTAAACGGTTATTGGGCCCCATGAACCCATTAGTGATGCACTTTTATGATCAGTATTTCTTTATTACTTTCTATTTGTGGAATTCATGAATTAGGTCACAACAAAATAAAAGTCGTTGACTGGCCTTAGTCTGAGTGAAAATTTTTTAATGCATGACTATTTGACTTATTTGAATCAATCCTAAAATCACTGTTTGCCATATGTCTGAAGCATTAAGTTGTCCTGCACATGCGATAAAATACCATCGAAAGAGATAGCTGCATTGGCAGCAAAGTTCATCTAAATTTTGTGTAATTGAAGAATCTACAAAACAACTTCCACTTAGACTTAGTCTTGCAGGGATGCCACACTTTTCTTATTTCTTGAGGACCCTTCCACGGTACCTTCACTTACCTGATGTTGTTTCTTGGCAGGTGGCCTGCCATAAGGACCAAGTGATTGCCAAGCGTGCAGTGGCCTCGATCCACGACATTGTGGGGGCTCTGCTGTCGGCCCACATTGACCTCCCACACTTTCACTTTAACGAGGCCCTCTTCAAACCCTTCGAGAACATCCTCTGCCTTGAACTCTGCGATGTCGACATTCAGGAACAGGTAGGCCTTGGTTGGCATCTTGCATTAATCTCCTTTTTTTCATGCAGTTGCATTGAGGGTATCTAAGTTTGGTCATTGTTATTTTAGAAATGTGACTTTCTCTTGATTGGATTGATTGCTTTCATATGATCTTCGGCTTTCTTTCCTTTCTGGCTGAAACAAGTGCATTTCTAATTTCCAAGGACTATGCTATTGGTTTCTTTGGGGCCATATTCTAAATGGGATCGGCATACTCTGCTTTACGTGTATCAGACGTTCTTGAAAAAGGTTGGTTTGCAGCTCAAGTTACAAAATATATTAACATAAAACATTGTTTGGCTAGGTGTTCGGCATTTCGCGAAGCCCAGATAAAAGCGTGTCCTCTTAAGGCTCGACGCTGATTAGGTGTCGGGCGGGTGAGGAGGAGTGAGGTGCTCGATGCTGATTGCTTAATTTGGGAGGTCATAAGACTAAAGGGGTTGGCAATGAGGAGCTGAACCTCCTGTGCACACGGAGGGAGTGGAGCTCGATAGTGTGGAAGGTAACTTACTAAGGGAATAAGCTGAGCTAGTTAGTTCTGATACATCTTGGGTGAAACCAGCTGAACAAAGGAAGGCGGACGACAGGAGGAAAGAATGGCGAACCGACCGCTGGACTACCAACTTTTCTATTACATCTTTCTTTTGTTCTATTAATTTATATCCATTCCTTCTTTTTCTTTTTCTTTGCCATTGTTCTTGTTTTTTGCTCTTATTTTTTTTCTCCTGATTTTAATCAATTACCCGTGAAGGGTGCCGTGTAGAAAGAGTTTTTCTTTGACGTGCAAGGTGATTGAACGGATGCTCATGCACTTGTCATCTTCTTCGTCTATATAGCAAGGGCCTAGCTCTAACACCTCCCTTGCAACCTGGTTTTTATGGTGTCCTCTTATGTGAAGATGGTCGAGCTCTGCTTTACACAGGCATGTCCGACAATGAGCAGCTAAATGTCCTGGTCCCGCGAGGTTCCTAAGGTTTGCTGCATGTTCGCATGCTCAGTGGTTAATACATCGACCAGTCTGTCCGATGAAGCAGTGCCCACATGTTAGCGGTATGTTATATATAACTTCCGTTTCACAGGGAGCGTATTGGGTTTGGTGCCTGGTGTTACACTTTTCTTTGGTGTTGATTTGTGTTCGATTAATTTTGCGGCACATTGAATAAGCCTTATTAGGCACCGATCAGAGGATTTGCACGTTTTGCCGGTTCGCTGTCTTTTATCTTATGGGTAACCCTGTGGAGGGTAACCCCATGAAGGGTTATTCATACTGCATCACAGATGGCCTCCATCTGTGATGCAGTATGATGCTGCACCATCAAGAGGAATAATGCTACGACTCAACAAACAAAAAAATTGATTGCATCTCCACGTGGTGAATAATGTTGATTGGGGCGAAGCTCTGGTGGTGCTTGTCTGCGTAGATGCTGAGCCGCAGCATGCCGAGCCTTTCGTTCGTTTTCATCCATGTCGCAAAGAGAATGTGTGGTATGGAACATGGTTACATACGCATGGTGACCGCAGCGCCCTCTCGTCTATAAACGTTGAGCCAATGCATGCAAAGTTTAACGCGATTATATATGCATTTGACAGCAACGAGGCGTTGAGCGGCTACATGCAACGTTTCATCCATGACATCCCCAGTTCTTGAGTTATTATCACATCTCAGAGCCCCCTACTCGTCCCGCAGTCGTGGCCGAATGGTTAAGGCGATGGACTAGAAATCCATTGGGGTCTCCCCGCACAGGTTCGAATCCTGTCGACTGCACAAACATTTTTCTTTTTTTCGTAATTTTTTTTTTTTTGCCCTACACGAGCGTGTGAGCACGTGAGCTCACGAGCACGAGCTCCAGCAAGATCGATGTGAGCACGGACGCTGGACGGACAAGGCTAGACCCTAAGGAGCTTCGCCCCTAAAAACCCAGACCACCCTTTGAAGTGATCCCATATATTCACGGGGTTACCCATAAGTTAAAAAAGATAGCGAACCGGCAAAACGTGCAAGTTCTCCGCTCGGTGCCTAATAAGGCTTATTCAATGTGCTGCAAAATTATTCAAGCACAAATCAACACCAAAGAAAAGTGTAACACCAGGCACCAAACACAATACGCTCCTTGTGAAATGGAAGTTATATATAACATACCGCTAACATGTGGGCGCTGCTACATCGGACAGACCGGTCGATGTATTAACGACCGAGCACACGAACATGCAGCAAACTTTAGGAAGCTCGCGGGACCAGTACATTTAGCTGCCCATTGTTGAACATGCCTGTGTAAAGCAGAGCTCGACCATCTTCACATAATAAGACATCATAAAAACCAGGGAGCAAGGGAGGTGTTAGAGGCCCTTGCTATAGATGATGAAGATGACAAGTGCTCTCTTCAATCACTTTGCACGTCAAAGAAAAACTCTTTCTACACGGCACCCTTCACGGGTAATTGCTTAAAATCAGGAGAAAAAAAAATAATAGCAAAAAACAAGAGCAATGGGAAAGAAAAAGAAAAAGGGGTAATGTATATAAATTAATATAAGAAAAGGAAGATGTTATAAAACAGTTGGTAGTCCAGCAGTCGGTTCGCCATTCTTTTCTCCTGTCATCCTCCTTCCTTCGTTCAGCTGGTTTCACCCAAGAGTATGGAAGGCTCTGGACTTACCAGGCTCTGGGATAAGCCGGATTAGCGGTAATATCGCTTCATTCTAGGAGCAACTATCAACTGTACACATGGTACGCATTAAACTATCTGATGAAGAGCACTGTGAAAATAGGTGTCTAGCGTCTGGAAACTCAGATTATCATTAAACATTTGTGGTGCTAGAATGTTTCATGTATGCAACAGAATTGCCTAGACATTGGCCAAAAAGCCCCACAAGTCTTTCCCCTGGCTACACCACTGCTTCATGCTGACCACTGGTAGGCAACACAGAAAAAACAGCAATACGACCTTGCTATTTATAGTTTGCTTTACTTTATGTGCGAGCGAATTCAAAGCTACAGGCAGGAGCATGTTGCTGTGAATAGTGCTTGCACTGCGCGAGCGTGCGTGCTTGGCAGAGATGCCGAAAGCCCGGAGCTCACTCTTGTAGCTTCTGCTACACACTTGAAGTGAAATGGAGCGTAGGTTGCGTTGCTGTACCCCCAACTGCTGTAGGGAGAGGAGAACAAATAAGGGTGTGGAAGAAATCCTCAGGAAAAACTGTAGGCAAGCCTTTAAAAAGACATTGACAGGGTATTTATGCTTGCTGAGGGTTTTATTTGAACATGACCTCTAAGAGCCCACCTATCCAGAACACAATTTGCGGCTCAAAATTCGTTTTCTTTCCCCCCGAAAACAGCTGGTTGAGAATTGGCCGGTTTCAGTCGCGCTCACACTCTTTTCCATGGTCACATGGCATTCAAACTCTGTCTACCAGATATATTTAAAGTTGTGGGTCATCTAAGGCACACATTTAATTTTAAAAATGGAAAAGAATATGAACCTCGTTTTTGTGGCCCCCAAAGACCTGCGAATATGTTGAACGAAAAAAAATCTTGCACAGGTCACAGGAAGTACAAATACATGTCATTCTCAATATGGCGACGTACTGTGGGCTGAACGGCTAAACGAGGCGACGGCGGCGCATGACAGACCAACGTTGCGACGGATGTGGTGCCGCTACTTCGGAACTGTCGTTCGTAGCACCGGCCAATCGACCTTCAAGTGCAGAACATCGAGCAGAAAGGATATAAGTGCAAAACAATCACACAACAAACAGTGCATGCAACTTTGCCGTCTGCTGTACATGCCGGAGAAACGAAGAAAAAAAAAAATGCAGTCGGGTGTAGCCACATGTTTCCAGCCATGAGCTTCTATGCTCATGTTTCAGTTTCGAGCAGTTGAGTTTTTTTGGATTTATTAAAAATATATGTGACTCTGTAGCAAAATATTCATTGGGTAATCTCCCGACACCATAACCTCTCAAAAAATTAAAAAAAAAAAAAAAAAAAAAAAAAAAAAAAATTTTGGAAGGGGGGGTGTCAGTGTCCCTCTAAAGGCTGGCACACAGGGAGCTCTTTCTGGGGCAGGAAACCGTTCTTCAATGTTCTTCCTCAGTTCAGTTCCAAAACCGTTTATTGATCTAAAAATCAAAACCGACGACGTTGGTGGATAATGCTGACGAGTTACTCTAAGGGTAAGGTAAGGGGAAAGGGTAGGGAATAGGACGAGCGGAAAAAATTGCGCGGGGGAGGCAGGAGATGGTGGTAATGGTGGTGAAGTTGTCTTCCTTTCTTTTGATCCTTGCTTCCTCTTGCCTCTTCTTCCTTTTCCTTAGATGTGTGCTCCTAGTCCAGTCTCCTCGAGGAAGGAGACGGGACTAGATATTCCCCCCATTCCATCTTTTGCTCTTCTCTCCCCCTCACCTAAAAAGAGAGTGTCCGAGAGCTACTCCCTACAGGAAGAAGAAAAGGGGTTTCTCCTTTGAGGGAAAGGAGAAATCGAGGGACGGTTTCCTCCTTTCTGTTTGTTCACTGTCTTTAAAACAAAGTTTTCGATTACTTTTCTCTTTCCAGATTGTGAGCTCCATCTGCGAGTTTGTGGAAGGCTCGACGGCCGAGATCCGTTCTGGCTGGCGGCCCCTGTTCGGGGCCCTGCGGGCGGTGAGAATGCCCGGCTCGGCCACCGTCTGCTGCCCGCAGCGGGGCCTTGGCGGCTCGGAGAGGGAGCAGCTGGAGCGGACCCACCACCTGCGGGTGGTCCTGGACGTCTTCGACGCCTTCCTGGGCACGGACAACCCGGGCGTCTTCGCCAACGCGGCCGTCGACTGCCTCCTCTGCCTGCTTAAGCACGTCCGGGGACCCAGTACGACTTTTGCGGCTACGGCCGTTATACGCGAGGTTTTGCAACAGATCCGGTGTGGCTTGCTAAATTTAGGGGCACATGTTTCCTGCCAAATTTAGGGGGGAATCACAATGTCACATGATTTTGCGACTTTGTACGACACTGGGACTTTACGCGGAGCGTTTCCCCATTAAATTTAGTGGAAGAATTTCTCTTCTAAATTTAGCGGGGAAATTGTGACGTCACGTGGCAATGTAATTTTTACACCTTTGCCAGGTCTGAAAGGATGATGGAGAATGGTTGCGTGCAGCCTATGTGCAGCAGGGTGTGCAGTGCCATGGCTGTTGCCTCAGTTCATTTGAATGACAGAACAACAAACCAGCAATTTTTGTCTTCTTTATTCAGGCATGTTATTCGCCCTCCATGGAGTGTTGTAGCAAGTGTGGGTAGTACGACGTGTCAGAGAAAAATAAAAAGATACAGTAAAACCTCGTTATAACAAAGTTGAAGGAGCGGTCGTAGTTATTTCGTTATAACCATTAGTTTGTTATAGCCAATGTCCATTTCTCCATTCTATTAGCAAGCAAGGGGAATTATGATTGCTTTGTTATATCCATTAGTTTGTTATATCCCATTTTGTTATAACGAGGTTTTACTGTATATAAATTTACATATTCAGGACGGTATACACAGGCGTAATTTAAGTATGCATACCAAGATATGATGTAGTGTAGGGATTAAATGTAATGCCAGTGCACATACCAGGGTACAATATAGAAAGGTCTATAGAAGAATGACATAAAATATAATAAATGAGACAGAAGTTTGCAAAGCAAATGTGTCTCGAGGAAAATTGAGGCAGGCTTATGCGACCGATGCCAATTGCAGAGTTTAAGACAGTTGCCACAGTATATTAGATTGGCAGGAATGGGAACAAACCCCATTGTCGTTGTACGCTGACCGTTATACCTTACAGGCCTCGTTAGTGATGTTGATTGCACTTTCTGCCCTGTCTCTAGCTGAGTTGCAAGATTTGGGCGAAGGGGAGGCAACCTTTGCCCAAGAGCTGGATGCCATTCCGCTCAACCTGTGCCAGGCAGCACTCAAGTACCTGGAGCGCTGTGCTCAGATGCTCTCCTCAATGTACCTGATGCCGGCATGTCCCGTGTTTCATTCTGCGATAAGGCAAGTGTTTACTAGACTGCACTTCAGCTGGGAAGGTCAAGGTTTTAACGTGAAAGCATTAGCTATCCCATGGAGTGGAGCCTGTCTGTAACCGCAAAAAGATGCGGAAGAAATGCCCATTCTCCCATTGGCTCAGCAAAACGGCTCCTAAATAGACATCGGCGGCCGGTTCACAAGAGCGTGGGCTAGGCCGCTGCTCTCGTTTCAGGCATTGCCGGAGGCGTGTAGGGGGGCTGCGGTCGCTTCACAAGAGCGCGCACTCGGCAACCTCGGCGGTAGCAAAACGTGGCCGTCCACGTGTGCATTGCAGACAAACTAAAGGAGCAGTAGAACGACATTCATGCTTTTGCATTCACAACTCGTAAGAAGTGCTTAGGTGTGCTTAGAATTTCTTTGGGATGACCCTGTTTATTTTGAGAGAGCATACCAAGAACAGTAGTTGTTATCATTCTCCAAAATCTACATGTGCAAGCACTGTGTCAATGCTGCTTTTGAACAATAATTTGGCATACAGTAAAGACACGAAAATGGCTCTTTATTAGCAGTTTACGTAACCTTGTTTACGCCAAACTTAATGGGAGATATTTTTTTATTCTCCTTAAAATTATGAGATGTAAATAAAATTAAAGAACAAAGCATTTTCTATTATCTATAGAGGTTGTAAGCAATGCATCAATGGTGCGTTTAAACAATACAATAAAGCACAAAATGTTAAGCACAATGAAAGGGATGTTTTTGTTGTCCATAAAATTATGGGATATGAATCATTTTTTAGATAGAAGTATTTTTTATAATCTGCAGAATGTGTGAGCAATGCATGAATGCTGCATTTTAACAGTAATTTGACTCACAATAAAAGCACTAAAATTTAGTTTATATAGTTTAGTTAATACACCGTAGAATACCGTCATCCGCCCATACCCAAATTTGTAAAATCTGAGAAAATATGCACAGTACAATTGATATGTATAATTGATGACCGGACACGTGCCCATCCCCCATTTTTTCATGATTATCTCAAAATTTTGAGTGGGCGCTTGCCCGGTATTTTACGGTAGTTTTAGTTCATAAAGGTTTATTAAACACCAAGAAAATATGGAGAGATGTTTTTGTCATCTTTACAATAATGAGATACCGTATTTTCTGGACTATAGTTTGCACCCGGTGTTATAGTCCGCAGAGGCAAATTTGGGGTCAAAAATGAAAGTTTTGGCTTAGATAGTCCGCACCCGCTGCATAGTCCGCACCCAGTGCATAGTCCGCACCTGGTGCTTAGTCCACACGAAATTCTTCTCATACGCGGCACGCCTTGACATATGTATGTTTTCTTAGCTCACAAAAAAAGCCTATAATATACATAAATTATCAATAACATACTCTTTTATTCACAAAATCCGTCCCGTCTCGTCATAATCAACGATATTGAAAAACATAATTCCTGTATAGCCCGCTTGGGTAGATAGTCCGCACAGCCAGAGATTTCAACTTTTAAACATGTATAGTCTGCGGACTATAGCCCAGAAAATACGGTAATAGGTTATTTATAGGTAAATTTCTTTTTTAAAGTGATACTGAAGTTTTCATATTTTTGGAGAGTGAGTGAGTTGACCTTTGGTGCTGATGCTTTGCCCTATCAGGATAAAGTTCAACCTGGAGCCGAACTGTGTGGACCCTGTGATTCCCGACATGGAGCTGATACTCTTCAGGGAGCATGACTCGGTGTCTGAGCATTCCAGAAAGGGCAGCATGACAGATGAAGGAGATGACAAAGTATGGTATGTTCAGGTACGTGCATCTACAGTTCCATCCTCTGGATCTTGAATGGTTCAAGAGTGTGGGGAGAGTGATTTTACAAGGCTTTTGACAATGTGATGAAATTTCAAAACATTATCATATTACTGATTAGGGAACATCTCTATGAGGGCTGTTGTAGTTTAGAGATATGTCTGGAGGAAGAGCATCGTGATGTGAGGTTGAAAGATACTGGGGGTATGTGTCCCTAAATGATAGAAATAATTATGTTGGTGGCAAAAATGTACTATGCATAGAAATTAATGCTCTTGCTAATATTGTAGTTATTTTTCTCATTTAATTTTTGTTATTTATATTAGGCATCAGTTACATTAAATCAGTTTTTGCATTATTATTATTTAGTCTATCATTATTTTAGAAGCTTAGGCACTCATAGGAAAGTATGTTTACTATACCTATCATCAATCATTAGTTAGGCTAAAATAGTTCTTCCACTATTATTATTTATCTGATCATTCTCTAAGGTACTTAGGCCCTCGTGGGAAAATATGTCTACTAAACCTATCATCAATACTATATTAGACTAAAACATTTTTTACCTTATTATTATTTATCACTTCCAACTTCTCTAAGGGGCTTTCGTGGAAAAATAAGTCTCCTGAACCTATTTCCAGTAAACCATCGTGGCTTGTTGCTAATACACTATGAAGACAACTTTGTTGGCCTCTTTTCATGTAGAAGGAGATTATTGGACTGAGTTAGGTATATACGAATGAAAAGTTGCAGCCTTGCCTCGCTATAAGAACCATAGAGAAATTAGAGGGATTCTAAAGCAGTAAGTTACGGGACGATTTCTAGCATGCTTGGCTTTTAAGAGCATCGAGCGTTCCAATCACCTTTGCAGAACGACATGGACGAAGACATTGAGCTCCTTCCCGCCAACCACACGGTGTCCCTGGAAGAGCTGGACCGGCCCACAGGCGTGCTTCACGTCTGGTTCCTGCTCCTGGAGGGCCTCGCCGGGGCCGTGGCCACCTGTCCTCGCAAGTACCAGCCCCACACCATAGACACCCTCTTCCAGATGCTCCGCGGACTCCGGGACGTCCCAGGTACCAACCCTTGGTTCTTAAGTGCGTGCCAGGAAAGCCAAACAAGTTACAGTGGCCCTTAACTAGAGGTCTGCAGTCACTTTAGGGTTGCTGAAGGTCTCCCTAGGTTCCCCGAAGCCCTTCACTTTCAGTTAAGCTGAGCGTAGGGCAGGTTTATGGGTCAGGCTTGGGGGGGGCGGGGGTGGGGTTGCAGAGAGATTTGACGTCACGGGCGATGCATTGCCCAGATCTATTTTGGTAATGGCTAGTATATGCCTTTTTCTCAAGAACAAAACATTTGTTCCTAATACCAAGCATGGCATTTCTTCCATAAAAAAAAAGTTGCTCTCGCTGGGTTTAGGAGGGCAGTCGCTGCACTGCCCTTCCCTCCCTTCTTCCCTAAAATTTGCTCCCGAGCCAATTACTGAAAAGATTTTTCCTTTTTATTGATGCCAACTGTTCCACAAAGATAAATAGACCAAACCATGTGTGGTGAGCGAGCAGCATTGATTTTTCTCTGTTTCAGAGCTTCAAAGTTGGTTTGCACGCATCTAGTTTTCTTCATTTACCATTCTGTCATTGTAATCGTCCAACAACCCTTCCTACCCACCCCCGGTAGGTGGGGACCCCCATCACTTCCACCAATCCAGAAGGGTGTAGCCCGAAACCACCCATTCCCGTTTGAACCCGTCCCATTTCGACCCATTTCCGAATATACCTTCCCATTTGAACCCATCTTGTTTCGACCCATTCTCGAAACGATCTTCCCGTTTGAGCCCGTCCCGTTTCGTCCCATTCCCAAAATGCCCCTCTCTTGTGAACCTGTCCCGTTTCAACCGATATCCGAAAGACCCTTTGCATTTGAACCCGTCCATTTTCAATCCATTTGTATAAGACCCTGCACATCACAACCTCTTCGTGAAAAGTCTAATCCTTCTAGCCTTGGGCTGCGCACCTTCTCTGCTTAAGAATATATGTTCTGAAATATTATTTCATGCCAATGTATTCTAAAAATATGCACCTCTTCCAGGCAAGCTTCGAAGTAATATATTATTCTTACTTCAACCACTTAAAGGGACACTGACACCCCCCCAAATTTCTTTTTCCTTTTTTGTCAGGCGATTTATTATGGTGCCGGAATACTACCCAATTAATATTTTGCTACAGAGTCACATATTTTTTTAATAAAGCCAAAAAACGCAACTGCTCGAAACCAAAACTCCCGCACCCCCACGGAGAAGTGGGGAGGAGAGAGTGAGTGGCAGAAGTCACGTGGTTACACCCAACCTTGCGTTTTTTTTATTTTTATTCTCTGCTTGTTGCAGACGAAATGTGTTTGCTGTGCAATTCCTTTGCAGTTATGTTTGTTCCGCTCGCTGTTCTGTACTTCACGATGAGTTGTTTTGTACATTTTAGTGTTGGCCATTAGTAGTGAGTGCCCGTGGGGAATTCCCGTGATCGGCTCCGAAAAGAATACTCCCAAGATGTTGTGTAAGAGCTGCCTCACATGGCCGACATCCGAAAGTAGCATTGTGTGGCAGAGTGCGCAAGTTTCCGAAAGATCAACAGGTCGGGATCAATAGCTGGCTGCAATTCCTGTAGAACAGTTATGCGAAGCTCGGAAAGCAGACGCTACCCGATTCATATGCTCCTTGCATTTTGTGGAAAGTGACTACAATTGAGTTCGCAGGTGTCAAAAATGGAATCTCATACCATTTAGTTTAGCGATGTACTGTCCACAACAATTTTTTTTTTTTTTCTGTGATAATTGTAAAAAGAATAAATGTAAACATTGTAAAATGCTTGACAAAAAAAAGGAAAAATGGTATACCCACACCAGGGATTGAACCCGTGCCCACTGCGTGTAAAGCGGACGTCTTTCCACTGAGCTACTGAAGGAACTCTTTCATGCGTAGTAATGAAGCAGGTAGACTGTATATCGGAAGTTTGCTGCCGATTTCCCTTCAATACATGCACTTCTGGCTTGAATTCGGGCAGCACCACGCATTGGCCACATTCACACCTAGTAAAGAAACCGTACGCGTGCATATTCAACTCGAAGTACGCACTTTGTGCTTGACGTTTGAGCGAGCGATGTCTTTAGCCACGAGAAGGGACGACGGCTCAGCGACGTCTTCGTGCAATCGGCTTGCTGGTCGGGCGTGTCGTACAGGATGAATATCAGATCTTTTGATAGGTCCAAAATTTTTCTTTTGAAGGAAGAGAGAATTCGCCGGTACCCTGAACGACAGTTCTGAAGTAGAGGTCCAACGCTCGTCGTCCGCTGCAATCCGCTAGTCCCACGATACGCGAAACGACGCCATGTTGAGAATTCTGCAGTTAATGCACAGAATGCTTCCGGTTGCCTGTGCTGCCTTTTTGTTTCAATCTACGCATTTGCAGCTTTTTGGAAGCCACAAAAAATGGGTTTCATATTTTTTTCTAGTTTTAATATTGACTGTGTGCCTTCAATGACCCACGACTTTGATTAAAGGGACCATGAAGGCAGTTTCGAAGTTTTATTCGACGATTGAAATGGATGTCAGGCACGTCTCGGATACTGTTGACCAAGTTCTAGCCGGAACAGAAGTTTGGGTGCCGCACCAATCGAGCAAACAGGCGCGGTAATAATAGCGCCAGGAACGATGCCTGAGACCCCACCGAGGCGGCGGCAGAAAGGTGAACTAAAGTGCGCCGAAGCGTGACCACAACGGGCTCTTCGTCTGGCGATTGGTTCAAATGATAGACGCGCTCTTGGTTTCGATTTCGGTGGTGAGATGTGATGAAAATTTTTTATTTGAACGTTGGATAATCTTTTGAAGTTGTAGTTGGGAATTAATAGGTTTGGTGGTCGCGTATAAAAGCATAATCTGAACCGATCCCTCCGTTTGTCACTGGTTGAACGCATCCCCCACTGCTACCACACGTAACAAGCATCAAGCAACCATGGACAAAAAAAAAAAAAAAAAAAAAAGCGGTACGAGTGTTGGGGGCGGCGAACTTTTGGTTTTGGTTTCGTGCGTCGTCTCATGTTCGCTTTGCGAACTGGTGTCTCACCAATCATGCCGCGTTTATGTGCAGTAGTAGGTTGCGCGAAAGGTCGGCTAAAGACGTGCGATCGATCGGGCGACGTTAGTTTGCATAAACTGCCGACCGATGCAGCAATGCGCAGCATTGCTGCATCGGTCGCCGATTCAGAGCTCTGCGTCCTTAGCAGTATCTCCCGTTCAGTCGGCGTGAGGTCGCTGAACGGGAGCTGAAACTCGTTTGCGAGCGCGGCGTTGTCGTTCATTTCTTCCAGGTTTTCTTCATAGACCGCCGTGCACTAGAGCGAACCATGGGAACCACACTGAGTGTGCACTAAATCCTACCGATGCTGACAGTACTCCCTGACGTCACTTCTCTTTCCAGAGGCGAAAAAGGGAAGAAATCTGAATGTTTGTTTCGGTTTCGCAAATTTATTTGCAGGTATACAAATAAGAGTCACAACGTTCTAGAAAAAATTGTGTGGCATGCCAGGACCCCAATGGCTTCCGAAAACACCTTCTTTTTTTAAAAGAATTAAATTGCCTTCATGGTCTCTTTAAACTCGGTGGTCGCGTCAAAACCTTAGAAAACGGCCCGTGACCACGGAAAAGAGAGTGAGCGTGACTCAAACCGGCCAGTTCTCGATCGGCAGTTTTCAGGCGGAAAGAAACCGAATTTCAAGTCGCAAATTCTGTTCTGGGTAGTTGGGCTCTCATATGTCACGTACAACTAAAAACCTCGGCGAGCATAAATACCCTGTCAGTGTCCCTTTAAAGTGCTTTTGCTTTTCTTTTTTTTATTTTAAGATGATCCACATAACATGCAACCGCGAAACGGTCTTTGTACACTCTGCGACACCGTTACTGCAAAGACGACCTTGTCCTTTTTTTTTTCTTAATTTTACTTCGAAATGGTATTAGCAGGCACCAAATTTTAGGACTCAGTGTACTGGCTGAGATGAGCACTTCCAAAGATCGTAATAATTTTTATGGCAGCCTTTTAATTTTATGAGATAAACAGAAACACCGCCGATGGCTTGTTTGCGCTGCGTACAATAATGAAGTCTTGCGTACACAAGCACATTGGGTATAAGCTAAAACTAGATTCGCCATCGCAACGCTATTTTTAGTCTACCCAAAGTGCTTGCATACATTATTCTAAAACCTCATATTAGTTATTTTGATATTTTGGAGAGCGATGAATCAGACAGGGTGACAGGCATATGATTGCGACTTTATTTTCTTTCACAATTTCAAACTCTGAAAACTCGCACACACATGAAAACATCATAGATCAGAAAATGCCTCCGCCTTGTTGAGAAAGTTGAACAGGGAAATCGTGCCATCAGAAAGGCGACACTCCAGTTCTGATAGTTCGCAGTCCTTGCTGACCCACTTGTGCTCCCTGGCTCACATGGCACCACTCTTTGCGAGCTGCTGTAAACATACACTTGTCAAAGCCTCATCTTGTTTGATCAAATCGATGAAGCTGTAAATGTTCGGGCGAGCCCTCCCTGACGCCACGTTTATCTTACAGTGCCATGTCTTCAAGGTTGTTTCGGGAGAGGGAAAAGCAATGTCTACAAGGAGGACAGACATTGGGCACTTGAACCTAACCAACTGTTAACGAACAATACAAACAAACCGACCCAACTGATAACGAATGATGAAGCGTGAAGGTTGTTTGGGGATAGGGCGAAATGGGAAAGGATGAAACGAGAAGGTTGTTTTGAGCCGGGTCGAAATGGGAAGGTACAAACGGGAAGGTTGAATTGGGAATGGGTCGAAACGGGAACCACCCATCTAGAAGGGGTTCCCGAAACATCGGCGGTTGAGAACCGTAGAATATGTCCCTTAGGGTGTTCTATCGCACCGACGTACACCACCATACATTTTACAAAGAGGGTTTGAATAATAATTGGGAAAGATGGCACTGCAGGGGAGAATGGGAAGTGTGCATTCCGTTACATTTTGTTGTAGCTAGGGTTCCGTGTTTACGCTAGATACCGACAGGCGGTGAAAAGTGACCGCCGAGCCAGTTTTACCGAACTCGGGAAAAACGAGAAAACCCAGAATCGGAGCTGTCCTTGAATAAGAAAAGCTTCACAGCCAGATCTTGAAAGGAATGGGGATGCTGTGTCCAGTAGTGTTGAATTAGCAATATTCATAATAAGGGGAACTGGCTGTGTTCATTCGACACTATCTGACTTGTTCGTGGCTTGCCATGGGCCAAAGCGGTCAAAGGTATTTTGAAATTATGTCAACTGAATATTGCCTATACAGAGAGGATGGTAACCAAAATATTTGTTAAGGACAATAGCTTTCATAATATCCAGAGGTGAGCTGTTGTGACAATTTAATTTAACCATCTCGACAACGTGTCGAGGGAGTAATATTGCATTAAAAATTGGGTTTGGGCTAGTTGGTCCATACTGGTTAAGAGGTTAAAAAGCATGAACAAAATGAAGGCAATGAAAACACAGACGACACGACAGGTGCCTGTCTTGTCATCTTTGTGTCTTCATTGTCCTCATTTTGTTTGTGCTTTTTAACCTTTTAACAAGTAATATTAGCTCACTGTACCGACGTTGCCTCCCCTAGTTCCTGCATTTCTCAAATACCTGTTAATTTCAACCAAGAATATGATGAGTCAGTGGGAAATCAAATGTGTTCTTAGTGGGGACTACCGTAAAATCTCGCAAGGGCGCCCACCAAAAATGAAGAGACAAATAGTGAAAACATAAGGCGGCCGGATGAAACTGAAAAACTTAATAAAAAATTAATGATAAACACTGGGGCACCCGCTACAAACCACGTGACATGGGAACTGATACCACAGATTGCAAACATGGCGAATTTGCATCTCACGGGGTGGTAAGCACATGGGAATTTGCTACAAATTCCTATGTCACGGTAAAGGATACTGCAGACTGCAAATGCAGCAGATTCGTGTTTCACGGTATAATAAACACGCGGAAACCAACTACCAACTCGTGTGCTACGGGAACCAATATTGCACGCGCAGATCGCGGACAAAAAACACGGGAGCTCGCCACGAACTCGCATGTCATGAAAGTCGATATTGCGCATGCAGATTGTGGACAAAAACGTGGGAACCCGCTAAGAACTCACTTGTCACACGTATCAGTACCGCAGATCACGCAGTTGAAATGATTCCCGTCGAACATCGTATGATGTCCAATGGGAATCCCATCAACTGCGTGATTAGGGGGGTGGACAGTGTGGAAATCAAGGGATGGGCGATGTTTCGGAATTTTTATGTTACGGACCTTGAGCGAAAAAGACGGGATGGGCGATTCTTCGGGGGAGGGTGCCCTTATGGGATTTTACGGTATTCTTGGTTTTGTTATATAAAGATTTACAATTCCCCTTTACTTTTATCCTATCATGTCATCATTACAGGACCAGAGTTTGGGGTATATGCCGTCAACCACCTGCTGCTACCCATGCTCCAGGGATGGCTGCGAAGGGCAGCCAAGACCCACCGGGGATGGGATGGCTTTGCCACAAATTTCAAGCAGTGCTGCGGACTTGCCACGGAACTGGTCGTCGACTACCTCACCCAGCTCTCGGGTGTGTAGAATCAAACTGCGTTATAATCAAAACAATGAGATGTCCTCTTGGCAGAGATAAGTTACCATATTTACTCGCATAATGAACACACTTTTTTCCCCCAAAAATTGACAGATATTTCGGGGGGGCGCTCATTACACGGGGTAAATTTTTGCATTTACATACTTCGTGCAAATGTCATATTAGGAGCAAATATGACACGGCAAGGTACTTTGGCACGTCTCCAGGGATGGAGGCGCACCCACAGCTAGTCGGGGGCGTGCCACAATAACCATGCTTTATAAATTGCAAATCTTTTTAGGGCGCTTTCGGGGTGCCTTTTGCTGAAGGAAAAGCGCCCTGGGAAGCTCACTCAGCACGGAAAGCAACACAAACGTTTTTAGGCGATATATATTGCTAGTATCTGGGGGGCACGCTCAGGTATATCTGTGAGTGCGCATAAAGGAACTCGTACAAAGTCCAGCCCCTGACCCTCGAAGCCCGCTCGCATGGATCAAGTTTCGTTCATGGAGACAAGAACTCTTACGAAGTCCAACCGCTGACCCCCAAAGCCCACTTGCACGGATCAAGTTTCGTTCACAGAGAGGCTACCAGATACTCTCAGCCTACAGCGCACTGTGCTGTTTTGTTACGGATTAAATGAGCGCATTTACCCGGAGTATGTGAAATTAGGCCTAACCACTTTCACGATTTCACTGTCCGAAAGCAGACCACAGACGACAGCTTGTTTGTTGACATCAATGCATCCGACAGGCGAAGAATGTCCGGGGCTAGGCAATGCCTCGACCCAAGCTTCGTCAGGTGTGCGCAACACTCGGTTTCACGGTTGATTACTTCCGTAACTACCGCAACTACGCACTTACGGCCATTACGAGAGCGGTTTGGCTTGGCTTGACCGCTTGGCGGCGAAAGAAAACTGGCTTGCTGGCTTGCTAAATTGGACGCAATTCGAAACTCGCAGATCCGAAAATTGGAGGTGCATTGATTACGGGAAGGGGGAAAAAAAAAGTCGATGCCCTTTGTGGGGGTGCGTTTATTACGTGTATGCAGCATTCATTATGCGAGTAAATACGATAAGTGACATTGGCATGGTATGACGTCTGTTCAAAGTCTCTATTAAGACCAGCCTTAAAATACCTGAGCAAGTGCATGCCCATCGACAACTTGATAATCACGAAAAAATGGGGATGGGTGCTTGTAGGTATAAGAGTAGCAATGCAGAAGGGGCACATGGTAGTGTAGGTTTTTGATTGGTCCAACAAAAAGGTGTAAGTGCTGTATAGGGTCTAGCAGAACCACTAATTTTTAAAGCAGCCGCACCACTCTCATTAAGCATGCTTTCGCATTAAACTTCACCACTTTGCACTGGCGCACACGTGTAAAGCTTCACCGCCTTGCACTGGCTTCTCGGAGAAGCAGCAGACATGGAGGAGCATCTCGGTTAGTGCGGTGGGCTCAGAAGTTTGCAGGGTGCTTGACGAGTCCTTTGCTTATATATTTAAAATGCTTTAAAAGTAGGTGTCAGGCATTGTGACATGGATGCATGTTCATTATTTTACTGGCTGCCATCTAGCCTTCCCTCCTCTGATTTTCAATTTTGAGCACTTTCATGGAGAGCTGATAATATACATGCTGCATTTAAAATTTTGTTTTCCACATTTACTCGAATTGAGCCCATGCATTCACTTTCCCATGCACAAAGTGGAGGTCCACTCATTGCAACTTATGGTAATCTGTATGATTGGCTTATTGCAATGTCATAGATCAGTAGACCAATCGATAGCAACCAGCTTTAGGATTCTGAGTACCGTAGAGTACAGCGCATCTACCCATACCACACTAAGCGCCCACACCCAAATTTGTAAGATCTGGGAAAATGTGCACAGTACATTGATATGTAAAATTGATGACAGGACAAGCGCCCATCCCCCATTCTTTCGCGACTATCCCTAAATTTTAAGTGGGCGCTTGCCCGGTATTTTATGGTATGTCATTGTGTCTGAGAATTCTAGCCCTTGGAGAATTCCCATCACGCGTCTTGCGGAATGGAGTATATTTTCAATATTAAAGGCACCGGGGTGCTGCCACCTCTTCACAACCTTTTTCTGCTCAGTGTCCCTAACCTGTCCCCTTTCTTTGTACTTGATATTCGTCGATTTGTAGTCCCGATAAAATATGTGGGGGTGTTGGTGGCAGAGGCTATAAAGGAGAAAAATGTAGTCAGAAGTTGAACCTGATTGTTACCCTCATTCTTATACCAAATGTAGTGATGTAATTTATTTTTAATATTTCACTTTATTTTTTTGTAGTCCATAGAATACCGTGCATCCGTTCATTAAGTGCCCATACCCAAATTTGTGAGATCTGAGAAAATATGCACAGTACATTGATATGTAGAATTGATGACCAGACAAGCGCCCATCCCCCATTTTTTATGATTATCTCAAAATTTTAGTGGGCGCTTGCCCAGTATTTTACGGTAAGTAATTTTTTTCTCCTTAGCACTGTGAAACCTTTGATATGTCATCAGCCAACGCGATGCTGAGGATGTTTTTTCCCTTACACTGATCTCTGGAAGCATTGTTTTCAGCCTCCGGGACCATGTGCCAAGTGCAGGGACTGCACCTGATGGTGCATCAGCTGTTTCTGGTGCTGACCGAGTGCATTGCCCAACCTGCGGAGGTCATATCTCGGCTGGGCTGCGCCTGCATTCGGTGAGCATTACCTAGCTTGAAGCCAGAGGTCATAAGTAGGCCGTAGACATTCCGGTTTTAAGTGAAAAGCACAGAAAAACATCCGTCAATGACAAAAATACGAAATCGGCTAAAACCGTGAGACACCCATCAATGTCAAAAATGCAACACTTGGAGGACGCTTAAGCTTCGCCTTTAAGAGTGTAATGCGATAGCGTTATCGGGTGCCATTCGCAAAGCCTTCTCATATAAAGCCCCGCTCATTCCCAAGCTCTGCAAGTGTGTGTCAGTGGCCTAGTCGGTAGCATGTGTCGGTGACGTCACACGTGGCTGTGACGTCATGACCCTATCGACCCGCTAAATTTGGCAAGAAAAGTTTCTGCTAAATTTGGCGGGAAAATTTACCGGGTCAATAGGGTCATGACGTTACAGCCACTTGCGACGTCACACGTGGCTGCTCGCATTGCATTATAGAATTACAGTATAGACCACTTACAACGTAACCGGTTATAGTGCAGGACCGGGTATAACGCAGCTTTTTTAAACCACGGGTTTGCCTCCCATAGAACTCCATGTAATTGCATACCGCTTAAAATGCAGGCGCGCAAAGGGAAATACCGGTTATAGTGTGGTTTCTGGAGCAGCCCGCCGACTGACCCGCGCAGCGAGCACGCTTCCCTGTGCGACACTAGATAACGGTGCGAGCTGCAAGCGGCACTCGCGGGGCAAAGAGGTTGCTCGAAGAAGCGGGGAGAAGCGAAGAGAGAGGCTTCAGTTGCCATAGCAACGGAGGGACGCACGCACGTGTCGTTCACGTGCGTGCTGTGCATCCCTCCGCTGCATTGGAAACAACCGCAACGACAGACCAATTGCAGGTCAAGGAGAAGTGTTCGCGCGCGTTGCATGCCGGTCGCGGGCCGGCTGCTTCTATCCGCAAACATGGCGTCGGTGGTGAATCTTGTGATCATCGACGTAGACGGCGTGGTGGACGCTCATCGTTCCCCGTAAAAGCGCTATCCTTGACTGTGAATTTCCGTTGTGTGTCGCTATGATGACCCAGCACGTACTAGAAGGAAAGATCCTCCTATTCGTGCGGCAATGTCGGCGGCACTCTCAAGCAGTGTTGCAGAATGGGCACCCCCATTCCATTCCTATTCCATTCCGGGGAATTAGAGTTTTCGATAATTCCATTCCTTTCAACTCCTAGGAATGGGGACATTGAGCCCATTCCCACTCCTGGAATGGCTGAGTCGCTCCACTCCATTCCTCCAATTCCTGAACGTTAAAAGTGTCACTTGACAGCTGCATTACATTGCAGGGTAGGGAAGAAATGTTCAGAAATGTATTTGGAAATACAAATACTGGGATAGATGAAAATAGTTGCTAAGATACTGATACTCAAGTCTCAAATATATCTATAAAAATGTATTTAGATACATATCGGAAATACATATTAAAAAGAGGCAAAAAGTCTTTGGAAATACAAATACAAGAATACATTTTAGGGAGGGCAGAAATATAGATACTGATAATACAATACATTTTTCAAATTTCTTTGAGACGCCAACTGAGATGAGGCTTTAAGTTTGAAGTGGAAGTTTCTTTTTTTTTTTAGTCCCGAAATTTACTGTTCCTTGCTTTGACGCTTGTTTTTTGTATTGCATTTTTTTCTTTTGCGCATAGGTCTGGTAGGGCCTTTTGCGGGTTCGCAGTTTCCTGCTCATTTTATTTCTGAACAACCGACTCCCTGACTGGCTCGGTATAGCTGAACGTAAAAAATAAATAAATAAAGAAATAAAATATAAAAACCTGGCCCATTCCATTCCCATTCCATTCCGGGCAAAAGGCATCCAATTCCATTCCCATTCCATTCCCCTCGCCGTTGCCACCATTCCATTCCCATTCCATTCCGGGGTCGCAAAAATGCGGAATGATTCCGGAATCATTCCAACTCCGGAGTGGCAACTCCGCAACACTGCTCTCAAGACGGCAGAAACGCCCGTGTCGTCGTGTTTGTTTACTTCGACTACAGTGGTGCTTTCTAAGCATTTGTGTTTTCGAACATCGCCCGGATTTCTTATTTGGAGCATTCCATGCCTGTGCTCAAGTTGAAGGTATTACTGGCGCGTACCGTATAAAGGATGCGAATTTTCACGCGTTTTCATCACCGGAGAAGGGTGATTAGGGTTAGCAATCCTGAACGCTCGCAGCGTTCGTCCGCAACCTGCAACTCCGTTAAAAGGCTGCGCCAGCCAAAAGTCGCTCATTTCTTTCAAAATGTGTGACACACTTGAGAGAGAAGTGTACTAGTCTGGTGAAGTAAAGACTTTGCTCAAACTAAGCTTTATTTTTCATCTAACATAAAATAATTTTTTTTATAAAGGTAAGTTGTTTGATGGCATGTATTTTGGCCTGAAAAATTGATGTTTTGGTTATAACGCGGTACCGCTTATAGTGCGGATTTTCGCGACTCCCGCGACATACGTTATATGCGGTCTACACTGTATAAGGTCCCACCGACGCTGACGCTGGGTTTTCTGCGACAAGAGCTTTTAAATGCTAATGTGTTGAAATCAGTTAAAACCGAAAAACAGATTTCTTGAAATCTTTGCTTTAGCTAGAGCTATTTCTGTCGAAACCCTCCCCTCTTAGACTGGGACTCTTAGATTTTGTGGGATTTTATCACTGATAATTGCTATAATTACCAAAGTTGGAGCATAAGTATGTCACTTGCCATGGCGAGACGTTAAGTGTTCCAACTTACGGTTTCACATCATTAAAATATATGTTGCCATCTTTACTTAATGAACTTGAAGCGAATGATATTTATACTTCCAAAGACAAATCGAATGTTAGCAAACATATTATTACAATCTCATTTTCTTTGTGATACTGTAACGCATAAGTTTTAAGATAGTTTTTCTGGTTGGCAAGTGTGTCTTTAATTAATATTCTTTGGTGACAGAGCATCAAAGAAAAAGACATCCGTCAGATGCGGGAACGCAGGGCTGAAAGGCGACAAGCGCGCGTGACGGATATAAAAAAATAGTCTTGGCCCGAGTTTCGTCGTGTCCAGTTCCTTTCTTTGCTTCTCCACCACACTGGTGACCCGCGAACCATGACCACGAACACATGAGAAACTTCTTGATTCTACCACCATACTCTCCGTAATGGGCAAGCCCACAACCACCTCATCTTTCACCTTCACGAAAAAATGCTGCATACCCAAGCCATGCACAAGTTTTATAAAAGAATTCCCGATTTTGACTGCCTCCCCCAACTGGACCAAACCTGCGACGCATGGCGTTGTACACCTTATCTCCACCCGTGGTCAACCTACTCATGCAGTACCCCGGCGATTATTTTGAGGAACTTCGCATTGCCCGGCAAGAATTCAAACAGATGTTGGAAATGGGAATCGTTATGTCATCCTCGAGCTGTTGGTCCTCACCCCTCCACATGGTTCCTAAGGAAAGTGGTGACGAGAGCCGTTGTGGGGATTACCATGTTTTAAATTTGGCCACCCTCCCCGACCGCTACCCATTACCCAACATTCAAGACTTTACTGTCAGCGTCAGAGGATCTACTATTTTTTCGAAAATAGTAGAAAATAGTAGATTTAGTAGCTGAGTGGTATTCTAATTAGGATATATTCGAATTGGAAAAACCATCGGTATTGCTATCATTGTTTTCTACGCAGCGACGGCGACACGACATATGCGCTAGACGTGGTGGAGGTGGAAAACGAGCTTAGATAAAGTTTACTCAGAAGCAGAAAAAAAAAAAAGAACACCGGAGTGGACACTGGCGACCATAGCATGCGGTTTATGATGTAAATTGTTGCGAATGTTGTTTTTTGCGGGTTGTTTTTCCTTCCTTTTTTTTTTTAATTAGGTCGGGGTTTGACCATCCTCACACTTCGAAATACATTGAAAATATTAGAAGTTTCTGAATACAGTCAAATCATGCTACAACGAAATTGACGGTGCACGAGAAAAAATTTGTTGTAGCGAAAATTTTGTTGTTGTGAAATTCACAGAAGAAAGGCGTACCTGAACTGATAAAGTACAGAAATTTTTATTTCCAGAGTGTATAGAGCGTCTCCTGCTTCCTTTTAGAGCGCAGCTCTTAGGGGCCCGTTCCCGGCTTGAGCGGCGTCGCCGTCGGCGTAACCAAGGTCATCCCAAGGTCACGTGGCCCCGAAGGTCATCCCAAGGTCACCCCAAGGTCACGTGACCCCTCCCCCAGGGTCACGTGACCCCTAAGGTCACGTGACCACCCCTGAAGTCACGTGACCCCCCGAAGTCACGTGAACCCCCCCCCCCCCCCCCGGTCACGTGACACCCCCAGGTCACGTGACCACCCCCAGGGTCACGTGACCCCCGTCGAGGTCACGTGACCTCCCCGATGACGTCATCGTCACTGATGACGTCACCGGCACCCACATCGTCATCGTCATCATCATTGATGACGTCATCAATGACGTCACTGATGACGCCATCAGTGATGATGACGATGACGATGCGGATGCCGGTGAGGTCATCAGTGACGTCACTGATGACGTCATCAGTGACGTCACTGATGACGTCATCAGTGATGATGACGATGACGATGCAGATGCCGGCGACGTCATCAGTGACGTCACTGATGACGCCATCAGTGATGATGACGATGACGATGCGGATGCCGGTGAGGTCATCAGTGACATCACTGATGACGTCATCAGTGATTATGACGATGACGATGTGGATGCCGGTGACGTCATCAGTGACGATGACATCATCGGGGAGGTCACGTGACCTCGGCGGGGGTCACGTGACCCTGGGGGTGGTCACGTGACTTGGGCGTGCCACGTGACTTCGGGGGGGGGGGGGGGGGGGGCATCCGCATCGTCATCATCGCTGATGACGTCATCGGAGTCCGCATCGTCATCGTCACTGATGATATCATCGGCATCGTCACGTGACCCCCCAAGGTCACGTGACCCCCCCCAGGTCACTTCACCCCCCCAGTACCCTTCC